ATTCCTGAACCAATGAATAGAGGGCATGATATGTGTTTTGCCATCACAATTTGCAATTCTCTTTTGTTGACAGCTTCGTCATCAACATATGGATGGTGGATTGGATATTTATTAAAAAAAGAAAATGCCAAAGTATTCTTCGATGCGGATTTCAGTCATTCACTGCTTTCAATTGAGAATTTCCCTTACAATTGGATTCCAATTATTTATGACACGAAGTTAAATAAAATTAAAAAATTCAGGAAAAGTATTAAATATAAAAAAATAAACTACCGTGAATAATCTAATTGAAGCCCACCTCTTATAGAAGTCCACATCTAATACGGGTGGGAGAGAGATGAGGAGAGATGCGAAGCAGGGTTGCGTCGTAATTACGAATTACGATTACGAATTACGAATTACGGCGTTTTTTCAGTTACGAATTACGAATTACGATTACGAAAAAATTTTTTAAATTACGAATTACGATTACGAAAATATAGGGAAAAATTACGAATTACGAAAATAATTTTGCCAAAAAATTTTAGAATAAAAAGGAGAAGAAATATTTATTTTTCTCTTTTCTTAGTTGTGTTAATCGGTGGTTGAGTGGGTTAAGAGTCAAGCTTCACTCATTTAATATTTTGTGGTGTTTGGTTCGAATCCAAGTGTGGGAAATAAAATTTAGACAACCTATTTTTTCAAAAATAAATGTTTTTAAATTTGATTTTGATTTTAGGTTTTTAAATTTATATTTTTAATATCTTAAAATTGAAAAAAATTAAAAATTTTTAATCTAGCCATGAATTTTCTAAAAATTTTTCGCCTGCGGCGCTGAAAATATAAGTGTGTTGGCTCGGGATTAAGTGAGAATGATTTGACATGATATCAAACTTAATCTGGGACGATGATTCCTCATGATTGATTAAAGAAATATCGGAGGATTATTAGGATTAAGAGGGATATCAGGGAATTAATTGGGATTTAAATAATATCAGAGAAATAAGAAGACTTGGAGAGATTAATGGGAGAAGCAGCAATTATTAATAGATAGTTGATTTTTAAAATTAATTTAAATATTTTTGAAAAATTACGAATTACGATTACGAATTACGAATTACGGCATTTTTTCAGTTACGAATTACGAATTACGATTACGAAAAAAATTTTTAAATTACGAATTACGATTACGAAAATTTTTTTAAAATTACGAATTACGAATTACGATTACGAAAAAAAATTTTCAATTACGACGCAACTCTGATGCGAAGAATGAGGAGATTGAAAAAATGAGGAGAGAGAGAGATTGAAAAGAGACTGAGGAGAGAGCTGACCCATTGAAAAAAATAAGCCCAGGGCTTCAATTAGAGTATTTACGGTAATTTTTAAGTATTGATATGTAAAATTTACTTTTTTTACAAAATAAAATATAAACTAATTAGGTGTGATATTTATTTACATAAATAAAATTTAATGCTACTCTCTTAAACTTACAAATGTAATTGATTTCAATATTTTAATAGAACACAAAGTAATAATAATGAATAATGGCTCAACACCCAAATCCACACCTTTTGATCCAATCAGAACATTTAAGTTGATGAACAATTTTTATGATTTTTTTCAAAAAAGTATAACATAATTATATTTACTTTACCAATCAAAAACTAAAAATTTACAAGAACCAATTTAATAAAAAGATAAAATTTTCAAATTAAGTAACTCTAACAATTTGTAAATTTCTAATTTTCCGTTCAATTTCCCCTCCATTAGAAGAATTTTTAATTTTCTGTTTATTTTCATATATTTTAGAAGCAAGCTGTTCTCCATAGGGGACAGTATCATGCAAAAGTATAGGCAAAATAACGAGGGCGTGGAACACACCGATAACTTGAAATATTTTTGGATTAAAAAATTTTCTTTTTCTAAAATTACCCAAAACGAGAAATATTGTTTTGAAGAAGACTCTGACCTGGAAGAAAATTTTTTTAAATCATAATACTTAAACCTATACCATATAGGAATCAATGAAAGCTAGTACTAGAACACCAAGAATCGTAGAAATAGAGCCGTGAACCACTAGAAAAATATTTTTAAAAAAATTTCAGGCTTACAAATATCTAATTTATATATTTTTTTACAATTATTTGTAAAAAATTTCAGACCTTCGTTTCGAGTCGGGCCTACCTTCAAGTCATTTTTATCGGGCCGGCCCAATCAAGTCTATTTAGCGCCAAAATTCAATGCCCGACTAGATAATTCGGACTGGGCCGGATCGGGCCTCAAACCCTATTGTCAATATCCATTTTGAAGGATATCATTATTGAAGGATATTAATAGGAAAATTTTAATATGAAGCTCAATCTTTAACAATATCCAAGCTAATTGGTTTTTAATCCCAAAAATATCAACAAACTCACTCGGCCAAGCCAATTTTTCTAGAGTATCAATACAACGTTCACGTGGGTTTAAATCAGCAGGGCCGCTAACAAATCCATAGGTTACATGCGCACTGAATTCTATTGAAAAGCCGATTGCAAGGATTAGAGTTATCATTGAGATCGGGTCGAGTTTGACATTCCAAAATGAGAGGAAGCCTATAACACCTAAATGGATAGGAAAACAATTAATTTTTAAGAACATTTAATGGGGAAATTAATCTCTCAAATCTTCTTAATCCTTCAAATCCAAAGGTATATCCATGTCTAATCTATTTTAAATATGCTTTTGTCTAAATTGCCTCTATGTACTTAATGTTTAGAGTTAAGTCCTTCCTTGACCGTTTTTAAACAACAATCCCAAAGATCTGGAGACCGATTTCACGAAATACTGAATTTCACTTTTATGTCTGTTAGATTCCTGATCCATACATACACAACAGGGCTGGGCGAAATCTAAAAATGAAAAGCGAACTGCGAAACTTTTCGCGCTAAAAATGCGAGAATGCGAAAGATGCGAAACGCGAAAGTGCAAAATAAGCCCAGCCCTGATACACAACATTGATATATAGATTTTATTATTGAAGCTTATTCTACCAATGTGTACTATTTGAAAAAAAAGTAAATTATTGTTTTAATACCATTGATTGTTTTAATACCAATTATAATAATTGATGACGAATTAATCATTTTAAGGTTAATTAATTGATAACAAATAAAAATTATTTGTACTTATTTCAATACTGAACATAGCTAACATAATCCAAATTGTGCAAATTGGATTAGGAATACAAAGGAGAGAAATAACAACCATACATGCCATAGCTATTAAATCATTACGAAGTGTGAAAGGAAGAAGAACGTTCAACTGTAATTTATAATTTTTACAAAATTCAGAACGCAAAGAGTGAGAGGAAAGCAAAGAGTAATAAGTTAATTTTTACTTGATCAGCAATAGCCCTTCCATGTTGAAAAGTATAAACTTGAAGGTCCTTATGCTTTGAGGCTACTTCCCTCAACATTTGAGTAACAAGAACAAGGTCATTGGCATTGTTGAAATTAGTAACTCCGATTCGAAAACTTTCAAAATAATGTTTACATTTTTGATTTTCAAAATACCGAAAAGAACTCATTTCAAGAGGATCCCAATTCTCTGTAGGTGTGATTTGATCATTTGCCCAAACAAAATCTTGTGACCTTAAAATAAGTTTTTTATAATTTTATATAATTGTTTATAAGAAATGGTTATACAGGGTGACTCAAAAGTCTTTGCCTGCACATTTTTTATCATAACTTTATTAAAACTTAATCAAATAATATAAAAATACAATCAAATAATAGAGAATTAAATGGAGAACAAAATATATTAGGATTTTTCGAAATACCTCCCTTTGGCTTTAAGATAGAGGCGCAGACGCAAGCAAAAATTTTTGCAAAATTGCCGCACCTATTATGGTGTAATTTTTTCCCATTTCTGAACGAGTGATTGTTGGAGTGACTCCAAACTTTGGAGTTATTAAGCAAAGAATGTTGCCTCCAAAAATGACCAAAAAGATAAATCCACGGATTCAAACCCGGTGTGTACGGTAGCCATTTTTGAGGCACACTAAAACCAAGTAAATTGGCAACAAGACAACCTTGCATCACTTTAGCCTTATAATCAGGGGATGAATTCTACTTATAGATCCAGTCCTTATACCAAAAGTTTTCCCAGACCCAGTGCTTTAAAACATACTGAAGGATTTCGAGTAGATCAAAGTATTTATTTATTTTGACCCAAGGATTCATAAAAATCAACGAATTTTGATCGTTTTGCAAATAACAGTCCATATCATTTCGAGGGAAGGGTTTTGGAAATCCTTAACAACTGGATAAGAAAGAGGAGATTTTGAGGCCCAATATCAGTCATTTTTGCACTTCGCACATGTCTCTTTCATAAAAATTTTAGCATCTGAAAAGGTGAACCAAGGAGGTGCGGCAATTTTGCAAAAATTTTTGTTTGCGTTTGCGCCTCTATCTTAAATCTAAATGAAGGTATTTCGAAAAATCCTGATTTATTTTGTTCTCCATTTAATTCTCTATAATTTGATTGCATTTTGATATTATTTGATTAAGTCTTAATAAAGTTATGCTAAAAAATATGCGGGCAAAGACTTTTGAGGCACCCTGTATATTCATTTATCAATTTTGACTAACATAAGTTATTCTTCAAAAAAAATATTCAATGACTGTTAACTAAGGTTAGGCCCCAACATTCGGGTCGAGAATTTCGGGTCGAATGTTCTAAGGTTAAGGCTCTCGTTGTAGGTTCCGCGAGATCTCCGATGAAAGGTTGTTAATAAGACCAACCACCACGATTATAACTTTCAGAGATTTCGAGGGGTCGGGTAAGGAACGGTCCCAGACCCAGTGGGCATAGGTCCCGAACATGAAGAAATGGTTTGGAGCCATACCCCAACCTTACAATACCAAGAAAAATCTAATTTTCTTTTTATTGGACGCATAAACTTTCATTGGACGCATAAAAGTCGATTGGACGCATAAACTGGAGTAGAGCCAATAAAATTTTGAAATTATCCAAACTTACCACAACTTATAAAAAGCAAACAGTCTCGACCATTCATAAACACCCCTATTCCACGACCAATTATCATTTTCAATTAAAAAAGACCCGGTCTGATCGGCATATTTAATATATTCTCTCAACCAAAATTCTGTCCCATTTTTGCCTATACAATAAGGAATATTTTCGAATTCTTCAACTAATTTATTTATTCGTTCCCTCTCTATTTTTAAGCTCATATTTGGTGCCCGAACTATTGCAATTTCTATCTGATCGCCGCCGTGAAAGAGATCAATTTCCATTTTCATTGTACGCATCTTGAATAAATAAGTCATTTGATTAATTAATTAAGAGACTATAAGTTAGAATCCAGACATGCTCACGGATACTGATCTTGGTATCCGTATCCGCATATTTACGGCGGATACAGACGATACAGGCGGATATCCGCAGGCATTTTTATATTATCTGTATTCATATCCGTATCCATGACCATGCCTAGCTAGGATTGTCAATTTGTATTAGATTAGAAGTAGGTTCCGAGGAATCCTAGTAAGTTTCGAGTTGAATTAAATTGCCGATAACGAGTTTCGCCTACGATAATGAAGGTTCTTGTTGGTCTATTTAAACCTAACCGTTTGAGTTAAGCAAACGTTTTTATTTTCAAATGATTCTGATAGATTTATAAAATTGAAGTAGGCAGACTTTTAGATTTTAATAGGTTTCTAAACTAGACCCTAAATTATCTTAAATCAAACCAGTGGATCAGATTTAATCAACAATTTTTCATAATCCAATCCCTGTTGCATTGTAGCAATTCCATAAACAGACAAAACCAAATAAATTAAAAATATTATAATTACGACAAATTTGGTTCTTTTATCCAAAATAAAGTCCACATAAAAATTTCTTTAAAAATAAATTTTTTAAATGATCCCTCCCTCCCCCCCCTCTCGAGGGAGAAAAAAGTCAACTTATAATATGAGTTATCTAAAACGGAAAAACCAAATTAGTGGAAGACTAGAATGGAAGAACCTTCCATCCAATGGCTAACCAAACTATGAATTGAGGTTGCCCCTGACCCGTCGCGAAGAATTATTTCAGTGATCATGAGGATTGTCGACGATTGGGGAGTTGGGACAGAGGTGAGCGTAGAAACTGCATAATAAAATGCTTGATCACTTTACAATAAACTGTTGTCTAGGGAGAATTTTAATATGTATACACGGGGATTTAGCACTAATCCCTATAAAATTTAGGCTTATGCGGCTAGAAAAAATGTCAGTTTATAAATAAATTTGCCTAATAATTTGTATGTATGTATAAGGCCATGTTTTATTGTAATTAAAGGAATTTGTAAATAATTAAACAGGAAATTTACCTAAAGAAATTGCACATTGGCGTATTTTTTGATTTAGTATTATTAATTTTATTTTCAACCGATTGACTTGTAGAAATTGAAAATTCAGAAGAAAATGAAGCAGAAGATGTTATTATATTTAATTTATTATTTAATTTATTTAAACCGCCGGATTCAACGACTTCTTCTCCTATACCTTCATCGGCTTCTAAATTTTTGGAAAAAATTTTTTTGGAAATTTATTTCCTTTTATTCACCTTTTTCTTCCTCCATTTTTGTTTCTTGTACGGATTTGGATGTCTTTTTACTCTCCTCATCATCCTCCCTAACCCTTATACAAGGACAACAAGCATTACGTTCATTCATTTGCAATTTCGCACTAATTACCATCAGACTGGCAAAGAATGTTATCTAAATTTTGAAATAGTTTTGTGTGTAAAACCACGTCCTATAATCTCAAGTCGGATGGGGGCGGGGGTATTATTAAGGATTTATTAAAAATAATTAAGTATTATTCGGTTTTCGGCCTTCGGTTAACCGAAACCAAACCGACAAACCAAACCGAAAATCTTCGGCTTTTGGGCTCGGTTCGGTTTGAAACCGACAACCCTATTCGCCAATATGTTTAGCAGAGGTCGTTTGGAACTCTAATTTCAAACTTTGAGTAATTTCTGTTATTTTTGGCTTCGACCTTTCTGTGTTATCTCCTGCCGTCATCTAATCTTCAGAACCGGTGTCGATGAATTGAAACTAATATTAGCCACATTAATAAGTACGACACTGAAGCAAAAAAATCCTCTGACAGAATGTGACTATAGTGGGACAGAGGTACCGCGCTGGTTTATTTAAATTTAAAGGCTACCACCTTTAAATTTGATACAAAAAATCCACCTGATAAATAAACGTAAAGAGCATACAGGCAGAAGTCATCATACAAAATCCCCTGACTGCCAGAATATCCGTTGTTGACCCTACTGCAAACGAAATAACATCAGTTATGGAGGTAATAAAAATAGCAACAGAGGATTCAGACATTGCCTCAACCATTCTTTCTTTTAAAGAATTTGAGTTTTTTGCTTAAGAAAATTTTTTGGAAATTTTTTAAAGGTTTTGAAGTGCCTGGAAATTTATTTTCTGTATTGTGCCAAGCAGCTACTACAATAAACATATCGTCTACACCAATAGCTGTGGAATAAATAAAAATTAAAATGTTTACTTAATATGCAAAAATTCAAATATTTATTGTATTTATTAATCTCTAAAATCAGAAAAGTAACTTATGTTAGTGATAAAAAGTGAGCAATTTTTGGAACGTGGGTTGTGCGCACACCCATAAATTAAATTATTAAACTCTGAGGAGAATCCCTAAGTAAAAAATAATTTGTCGCAAGGCGGAACCTAAGGTCTTGTAATATGCGTGTGTATCAAAACTCTGGGTGAGAAGAGCCTTCTATTCACATAGATTTTATGGTAATATATTGCAGAATCGGGTTATGCGACACATAAACTTTTAATAGGTCGTATAAAGGTTGATTTGGCGTATAAAGGTACGATTGTACACATAAGCAGGATAAAGGAGGAGTGAACAATCATGAATGGGTTAGTTTTTTATTTAGTAGGCCATTTTTATCGCTCTTACAGTAACCGAATTTATGTAATACACTACATTATGAAAATTTAATATCAGCTTTGTGTTGCTCATATTATCACTCATATTATTTAAATTAACAGAAAATTCCAAAAAACATACAAAGCACTAGGAAGGGAGCAACAAGAGTAATTTCAGCAAAAAATGCCCCACACCACAACAATAAACCTATACCACTTATAATAGCCATAGTTGTTGAGAGGACTCCTCCAAGGGCTAGCAATGGTTTAGAACGAAGCCAGTCAATAGAAACTTTCGAAAAAATTTTTTAAATAGTCATTGAAAGGTGTTTACTTGATCGGCTATTGAGCTTCCACCGTAAAGCATAAAATGTAGTAAAGGCGATTAGAACCATTACGGTGACGGTAAAATAAGGTTTTAGTCTGGTTTTGAGGAAAAAATGGTAATTGAATTTTAAAAATTTTTTGTATTTTTTAACGTGAAAGGATTTTCTTTCTTAAGGAAATTTGCCAGTTATAGTTAAGTATACATAGTATTCTAGGCTTTATAACTTTGCGTAATCCAAACCCGATTTTGAGGCTTATTGTTAGTATCATTTAATTGAGGATGAAAATTGGCTACAAGAATCACTTAAATTTTCAGAAAAATAAGCAAAGCTTTTAGATTGGTTTTTATGGGTTTTTTATGCCAAGTTTCTAGATCAAGACTTCAAAAATTCCATTTTTCATCTAAAATACTATGTTAGTTTTTTGATTATAACTTTTTGTTAATTTAACCTAAAGTTCTGATTTAAAGCTCATTTTATAGATAATTTTCTCCTCCATCAAATATCCCAAAATTAACGAAATAGGTTTATGGGCTCAAAAGTTATAGTCTCTTAACTAAACTGATATTTCCCTTTCACCCCTTAGATACCTATTAGCATTTCTCGTCAATCCATTATCGTAGCTACGTGAATGTTTTACGTTGACCTTTAAATGCTTCATTTAAACAATAAAAATATTTAAATGCCTCAATTAATTCATTATCAGACCACTCCTTTTTGACAAACTGCTCGGCAGCGTCTTCCCAAGCTTTGGACATTTTATCAAATTGAGGTGTATCTGATCGGAGAAAGTACCAAAGACGCATTCCTTTGACTGACTATAAATGAATAAGATTCATTTTGAGACAATTCACAGTCATCTAAACATGAGTTTCGGAAATCCGGATCCGGTATCCAAACCGAAAATTTCCGGATATCCGGCCTTTTTCGGATCCTCCAACTTTATTAGCTCTAGTACGCGATATAAATCTTCATTTAAGCAATTCACTAATTTAATTCGTAAATATTAAGTAGAAAAATAAATTCGAGTCTTTTTTTATTGGAAAAAACGTTCAAAATCTTTGAAGCATTAAATTTCAGGTAATTGACAAAATTTTAGCAATCTAGTCCTTATAAGACAAAAATACAGTAATACATATTAAACTTGCCTTGATTGTATCGTTTATAGGCGCAAAAGTACTAACACCTCCAATATTGAATGCCAAATAAATTGGATTTCCTCGAGTATTTGCTCTAGGGAAGGTAACATCAATTCCTTGAGATTGTAATTCGTGTCTTTTTTTAAGAAGTTGAATAATTCCTGTCTGTCTAGAACAAATGCCATTCCAATTTAGGCATAAATCCTTTAAAAAAGGTTATTAAAAATGATAGGAAGATATTTATATTTCCTTCATCTTAAAGAAAAACAGGTAAGTGGAAGAAAAAAAAAGGATTGTTAAAGCTGCGGACGGAAATCTTTGTTCACTGTCCAACTCTTTAATTGTACATATGTATACTCATAGTTGCAAATTGATAATTCTCTTATTTATAAGTAGTCCTAATCTGCCCAATTTACAAGGTACATCTCAAGTTGATTGTCCGTAAAGTGAATCAAAGAAAATTAAAAAAAGATCGACCGTAAATCAAAGCTCAAAAAATGGATGAATGAGAATGAAATTTGCGTATAAGGGCTGTCAACATTAAAAAAATTTCTTCGAGCGCAGTCCTCAATTCTAATGTTAAAATCCCCAATACACAATCCGCAATTTCGGAAACACTATGTTTGTATTCTCTTTGCGGACATGTAGGGACATAAACTTTATATTTCTTTACCCAATACAAGGTGGGTCAGTAATTTAAAATAATCATGGCTCTGTTGACCAACCTCAAAACGTAGCAATCCATCCTTTCCAAATCCTTCCATACTTATCCCATTAATCTTTTGTCTATTAATTAATATTTCATCCTTCCATCCATTCATTAATTTAATGACAACCCTGCTAGGTAAATCATTTTCTAAGAATTCAATTTGTTCCAGATAATCCTCCTCAAGTATATTTGGCAATATTCCTCCCTGTTTCTCTCTTCCATTAATTATTAAATAGACAAATCGTTCCCATTGAAAGGTACGTTCGGGGACAAATTCTTTAGGGCGAATAGGCCAGAGCTTAAATTTTTAAAGTTTCTTCACTTGAAAAATTTTTAGCTGTAATTTGCGAACACACATTAAGCTTCGAAACAGAGCCGCGTTGAAATTTAGATTTTCGAAGATTTTTTTGCTCTGCTTCGAAGCCGGAGCCAGAATTAGAAAAAATCAGGAAAGCGGCTCAGGAAAGTGATAAAGCAGACTTGATACGGCATGGACCTGCGGATATCCACCTGTATCCGCCGTAAATATCCGGATGCGTATACCAAAATACATGTCCATTACCAAGTTTGGATAAAAGTCAGGAAAAGGGTATTTTCTAGAAAAGCACCTCTAGATTAAAAATCCAAGAATTTTTCCAAATGGAATGAATTTTTTAAAAGATTTAGTGGGTTATCCAATGTTTAAAAATATCTTATAAAAAGTTCAGATTAATTGGACAGCCAGAACCTAGAAAATCGGAAAAAAACTAGATAGTTTTACAATTTCTTAGGACCCCAAACCTAAAATTTCCTAATTTTTTCGCCCCTTGTATTTTTTTAAAATTTTCAAAAAATCTATGCCTTCGAAAATATTTCTTCCTCTTTCCAACTAAAAGCACTTTTAGGTGTATATAACAGTTTAGCATCCAAAATAGTCAATTGTTCTATCCAAATAAATCCAAAACCCAAAAATATCGTTAATAAAATTGGAAATAAAATAAATAGAGGGTAAAAATCAACAAGTAAATGGCGAGTATATAGTGAAAATAATTGTTGTAAAATTCCGTCAAAAGTAGGTAATAATTGAGGGCGACGTTTGTGTATTTGGGGGGAATTAATTGGATGGTTGTTGTTTTTTGTTTGTTGTTTTGAAGGACATGACTTGAATAAATAAATTAATTTTTATTTTTTTTAAATATTTTTTGAGGTATAAAATTTTGAAATCTTCGTAAAGTGGTTTTTGTGACCGTTCAGAAGCACTTATTTGGGATATTGAGCTTGAATCTCGATTAAGCATAAAAGCTGCCCTTAAGTTTTGGTTTTGGTTCTTAGAGTGAAGTTATTGGTAGAGTTGGCCGGTATCGGAATCCCGAACGATATCGGGCGGTATATAACGGTTTTTTGGCATCCCGATACCGATTTTTCTGATACCGATAACGAAAGGTAAATACCGATACCGATTTTGTGTCGGAATCCCGATCCAGGGGGATCCCGATCTTGATAGTTATTGGTTCGCAAAATTTTTGGTCCTTGACCTAGACTAAATCTTCAACAAGGTGAAAATATGGAGGAAACAAAAGTATTTTTGAAAAGCCCTTCTACTCGAGAATGACCCTACTCTATCTACTATTTACGAGAGGTGCCCAAGACCTTTAATCTTGAAAATTTTCGGTAATGATTATTATTTACCCTACATTATGTGTTGTATCAAAGCATTCAACTACTCTCCTTTCATTATTCCTTATTTTATTAATCTTTTCCATAAATTAAAGGCTAAAATAAGGGGAATATTTAATTAAATTTCGATTAAAAAATTTAATTAAATTTAAATAAAAATTCTAAATTTTTTAAACAATTTTTGGAATTTTTTAACAAAGAAATAGGCCATAATAAAAATAAATGACAATTGATAGAAAATAAAAAAAACAAGTTGATGGGCCAGAAAGAGGGAAATTTTCAGGAAAATAAAGAGTAGAAAGTGTTCTACTAAAAGAAGAATTATTTTTAAAAACAAGTTTTCGAGACTGAACTTTTATGGAAAATAAATAAAATTAAAAATAAAAAAAGTATTTTTTCTCAATTTGGATATTTTTTTGAGTTTTAAAATTGTAAATATTTAATTTAAAAAAGTAAAATTTAAAATCGAATATCAAGAATGATATTTCAAGTCCAAAATTAAGAGGTCTTCAAAAATTTCGAAGTCTTCATAAATCTTGGTTATAAAAAATCAGCAAAATGTCGATTACCGTATTTTCTCGATTAATTCTCCTCCCTCGAATAATTCACCCTCTCAATTAATTCCCCATGCTAAAGTTGGGTTGAAACAATAATTCCCCACCCCCAAATAGCCTACTGCACGTTCAACTTCGAAAACTCGATTAATTCCCCATGCCAGGGAAGGGTTGAAAAAATAATTCCCCATGGGAATTAATCGAGAAAATACGGTATTCTTATATTAGTGATAAAAATTCTGTAAAAATTGACTTTCTGAAATTGAAATATCGAAATTTCTGAATCAATAAATTTCGAAAAAATCTCGAAATTTAGTAAAAATTATAAGCACTTGTAATAGAATATTAAACTAATATAATATGTAAAAAGCATTTATTTAAAAATTTTAGTCAGAAAATGTTGCAAATTTTGAGTAGCAAAAGATTATCCTAAATAAATAAATAGTAGACAAAATTCCTCCAAAAATATACTAAATATTTTCTGGTTTATATTTAAATTGATGCGTTTGTATTTTTAAGCTTTTCACTTTTTAAATAGGATAAATAAATAAATTTGACATTAATCTGGGTATTAAATTTTTATATTTATTTTTTTCTTTGTTGTTGGAGGAAGAAACTGTGTCCGCAAAAATTGTCCGCGAAATTGTCAGTGAAAAATTGTCCGGAAAAATAATTTGCAAAAGTTTGTCCGCAAACATATCCGTAAAAATCATCCGAAAATTGTCATCGAAAAATTGTCCGCAATAGTGTGTCCGCAAATATTGTCAGTAAAAAGTGTCTGCTATTTTCAAGACTTAAATTATCCTACTAACAGCCTTTTTAAATATAAATTATAAATATAGACTCTGTTCATAATTAGAGATTCACCAAAAATTTTCATTATATTTGTTATTGTCTCCGGTTGAAAATTTGGTGAAATTTTATTTTTAACAAAATTTCTACTTAATTAAAATGTGACAAAATAAAAATATAGTGAAATTGACAGCTTTTCCTCTCTGTTACATTTAAATAAAGTTTTTATGACACTTTTTTCATTAATATTATGCTAATGTAATTTTTTTATTTTTTTAAGAAGAATAAAATTTTTTGTTTTCAATTTTCCAAATTCTTTTCACACTTTCCTATTCCAGTTTTGAAACTGGAACAAAAATTTATTTGTCCATGTCTAGTACTCAATAAGTTTGTCGGATTCGGATATAAGAATCCGGATATCCGAAAATTTTCGGTTCGGGTATCGGATCCGGATATCAGATTTCCAACTATCCGATAACCTTAGACCCAATCCTCTACTTGTATGGAAAGCCTATGTAGAGAGAGAGAAAGTCAGAATTCCTTTATTCTCTACATATAATTTTAGATATGTACCAAGGGGTGTGCCAGTTTCGCCTTTCGCAAATTTTCGCATTTTTTGGTCTTTCGTGTTTCGCGTGTCGCTTTATAAAATCTGTTGGCATACCCCTGATATGTACCTCACGCTTTTATATAAGATTTTTAATTTCGGTAATCTACAAGTGTTCGACAAGATAGGGTGTAGAAGAACTATTCGAGGAGCGTCTCCATTCCTCGCGTAACTGTACCCTCAATCATACTATATACCTCCATTTTCATTTATCATTTTTAGACCACCTGGAGTACTTTAAAAACAAAATTTGACTGCCCTTCTAAATTTTACCACAAAAATACTAGCTTTATTAGCATTTTTGCCTTCCTCTTTTTCATTTTTTCACGACCCTTTTTTTAAATTAAACGTTTAAAGCTAAGAGAAGGATGTGCAAACAAATCCCAAACAAATGTTTTGTTATTTTTTCATTTAGAGTGGTTTTTAAAGTTAAACCAGCACCAACTCATTAGCATTCAATAACTGTTTGGGAAAAATAAAATTTTTTGTTAAAAAATAAAATTTCTCGGCTATTTGCTCTAATAATTTACCCAATGTATATTTATTTTTTTTTATTATTTTTTTTCTATAACAATGGATGGATAATTAAACGAAAGAGGACATTTATTCGTTTAGAATAATTTATCGGAAAAATATTAATTTAATAAATACAAAATTGCCCGCTTTCGAAACGAAAAGACGAAATTTCGTTTTGTTTCGTGAAGGGTAATTTAATCATTTTTTGTTCGCTTAGATCGAAATCTGTTCCACAATCCCTTCACAATTTTTTGCTAATTTCTGAGAAATATTTTGGTCGCTTTAATAAAATGACTTGGAATTAACCCCGAGAGGCAAGGGGTTAATTCCACTAAATTTTAAATGTGTCGCTCTTTCTATTTAATAAATTGCTTTTTTTATTAAAATAAAATGTCAATAAAAGTCCTCTTTACTATACATAATTTTAAAACAAAGTTGGTCTAAATTTAAAATAAACCTAATATACCCTCAATTTAAGATATGTTTTTTACTCAATCAGGTAGGCTAAGGTTAGCAGATCCGGTATCAGGATCCGAAAAACCTAGATATTCGGAAATTATTGGCTCGGAATTCGGAGCTGGGTCTTTATCTCGATGCTTTTGTGAAAGTGTCGTTCAAGGGAGGGTCAAGGCTAAACGCTACAACCCGATACCCGTACCCGAAGATTTTTTTACCCGCGGAAACACTGATATACTATACATAATTTTAAAATAATGTCGGTCTAAATACACCTAATATACCCTGAATTTAAGATATGTTTTTATATCAGGTATCCGGATTCGAAAAATCCGGATATTCGGAATTCGCAGCTGGGTCCTTATATCGACTCGACTGTGAAAGTGTCGTGTAAGAGAAGGTCAAGGCTCAGCTGTGTGTTTTATCTTTTCTTTAAAAAATCTGGCATTAATGTGGGAGTTTAGTAAACTAACAATAAGTTTTATTCCATTCGCTAAACTTTTAGAAAAATGCTCAAGATAAACCTAATTAAAAATAACTTAATTCTACTCTGTCTACTAATCCCTTTAAATGGACAAATATTAAATTCAACAAATTCAACAATAAATAACCAACAAAATAGATCATTAACAACACCAATTTGGAGCTTAACAGGAAGGGAAGACCATCACGAAATTTTGGATGAATTGTTAAAAAATTATGATCTTTCTAGGATTAGGCCGCCAGTAGAGTTGGATTCGAATGAAACTGGTGAGAGAAATTATTTTAATTTCTTAAAAATAATTTGGGAATTTTTGATAAAAGATTGTCCTATTCCAACGAAATTAGGAAGTCTAATAAAGTTACGAAATTATCGAAATTATTGCGAAATACACGAAATTACACGAAATAAAAGTCTTCTTTAAATTTGAAATTTATTTTTAAGTAAATTAGTTTTTTGCCAAAATTAGGGAGTGCTAACAACCTTTAGCAGAAGCGTGACCGGACAATCCGTCAGTGGACAATCCGGCAGTGGAAAATCCGTCAGTGGATAATGCGTCAGTGGTCGGACAATCCGTCAGTGGACAATCCGTCAGTGAACAAATTCGTAATTCCTACCCATACCCAGACTACTTGGCCAAAAATTTTAATTTTTTCGTGTGGGGGATTATAAGAGATATCGAAAATTTGGAGATTAATTAGGAAATCGGTAGATTTAGCTGGATTAAAAGAATATCAGTGGATTTGAAAGATATTGGACAATTTGATTCAAATAACCGAATGTCAATGGATTTAGAAGGATATAGGGGATTTGGATGGATTAGATTTACATGATTATCGTATCGGATTATATTGGATTTGGATGAATATTGTGGGATTGTGGGAAATCTATTGATAAGAGAAATTGGTTTTAGATGGATATCATGGAACAAAGCTCCAAATCCTCTTAATCCGCCTATATCACTTGATATCCCACTTAAACCCTGAAATCCATCTTAATCTCTCTAATTCCTCGATAACCACCATAATACTACAAATCTCTTATATTCCCCTTAATCCTACTTTAACTTTGAAATCCCCGATGACTCCCAAATCCACTAATATCCTTTTAATCCAGCTAAATCGACGATTTCCTCGTTAATCTCCAAATTTTCGATATCTCTTATAAACCCTCAGACGATGAAATGAAAATCTTTGGCCTCGGTAGTCGGGTATGGTTAGGAATTACGAATTTGTTCACTGACGGATTGTCCACTGACGGATTGTCCGACCACTGACGCATTATCCACTGACGGATTTTCCACTGCCGGATTGTCCACTGACGGATTGTCCGGGAGCCAGCAGAAGGAGGCTTATTATATGGTTAAGGATCAAAGTCTGTTATTTGAATAGAAATTTAGTCTCAGTTCCTTAATAACCCCTCCATAAACGTAACAATTTAGACTAAATTCAAGAATGATTTTTTTAAAAGCTGTTCGTGTACGTGTCAACATACTAGTCAGAATGCTTAGCAAAATAGACGTTGTCAATATGGAATATACAATACAAATAACATTTAGAGAACAATGGCTAGATAACCGATTGAATTACCTCAATCATGTTTTTACACCTCCAAGACCTCTACCCCCGTTTTTGGTTGTTCCGCACGTGAAGGCTCGTATTTGGTTTCCTGATACTTTTTTTCCTACGGAAAAATCAGCCCATCGACATATGGTATGCATTGAAAATTTTTGAAAGTTTCGGAAGGATTAAACAACACAGTATTCACGTTAAGCTTTAGGATTACCTAGGGTAATTATTTCCTTCTGACACCGGCTGAAAGGATAATTAATAGAAGTGTGATAATTAGGGTGAGGCTAATTAATACATAGATGCTATTCTACATAAGTGAATAAAATTAACCCTCTCTTCGAGTTGAACTTAATCATCTCACTTCTACATCGATGATTTTCCATCTATAATTCTATGCATTATATTCTATGCATTATAATGCAGAACCGGATAAACAGGACTAAAGCTGACTAGGTTGTCTTTAAAAACAACCTTTCTAAAGACTTTAAAACATAAAACATTTGGCTAGAAATCAAAAATATTCTTAGTTAATTTTCCAATTTGAACAGATAGATACAGAGAATATGCTAGTGAGAATATATCCAAATGGAAGCGTTTTGTACAGTTCCAGAATTTCTTTAGTTTGTTCTTGTCCAATGTATCTTCAATTGTACCCTCTAGATGTTCAATATTGTGACTTTGATTTGATTAGTTATGCTCACACAACGAGGGATATAATTTATGAATGGGCTGGGAATGGAGATGGTAGTTTCAAATTAGAGAACGGATTAAGACGGGTCTAGAAAACAGTCACGGCATTGGGATTGGTATTTTTTGAGATATAGGCTCGATTTACGTATGACCCTCACAGTCGATTCTATAGGAGATACCGTATTTATTCTAATAACACCACACCTCTATTTAAATCACAGTCTCTAATATAACACCAAAAACGAAGGGTTGAAAATAAAACCGCAGTGGTAGATCCTTGGATTTTTAAACTTAAGGTCTAGAATAAGACTAGGGCTGCGACTGAAATCATGGCTAAAGACCAGGATTTGTTTATTTTTAGTTGTTAAGTTGTTAAGTTGAGTTGATAATTAAGTTGTTCCAAAGTATCAAACTATCTCGAGTTGCGCTTACCCTATCTATATTCTATCTACATAATAAACTACCAAATTTGAATCTTGATCCGTTTGTGACATTGAAAGATTTATTGAAAAATGAAATCATTTTTATCTCAGATAGTGTTCAAATAAAACAAGGTGTTGGCCAAGACCTTCCCGACTTTAAATTGGATTATATCGATACAGGAGTGGAATGCACAAGTCACACAAACACTGGTTGAAAAAATTTATTTTTAAAATTAGAAAAAAAATTTTTTAAAAGGTTCTTATGCATGTTTACGTATGAGAATACGTCTTTCTAGGCTTTTTACTTATTTTGTTCTTCAGCTTTATATTCCGACATCCATGGTTGTTTGTGTAAGCTTGGTAAGGTGATTAATATTTGTGAACTAAGAAATCAAAATTTTTCTGCGAAAATTATCCGAAAGAATTGTCCGCAAGACTACTCTCAAATTTTACAAGCCAAAATTTTTTTCTTCTAAAGGTCAGCTTCTGGATTGATATGCATTCAACAGCTGGACGTGTTACCTTAGCAATAACCACTCTATTAACAATAACAACTATGCAATCTTCAATTAACGCAAAATTACCTCCAGTCAGTTATGTGAAGGTAGAGGCATGTTCTAAAGTTGATTTAAAAAATTTAAGGTAGTGGACATATGGTTAGGAGCTTGTGAACTTTTTGTGTTTAGGTCTATTGTTTTTTGCAGTGTATTAAAAAACTGAACTTTATAAATTTTAGTGCACTTGTTGAATACGCCATAGTTTGCTATCGGGATTCTAAACTGAGAAATTCTAGGAGGGATTCAATGAATCTTAGACGGAAGCGAAAATTGACAGCCGGAACTGGAAATGATGATTATGAGCTCATGCTTCCACCAACGGAACGGCAATGGGATGATCTAGCGGCTATAGAAAAATCCGCCATATATGATGAGGAGAATGTGCCTTGTTCGTGCGAATTGGTTGGGCTTACCTTATTTTAGTGACCGTAATCCTGGACCCACAGATCCCTTCCCTTTAACTTATCCCACGGATCCCTTCCCTCAAAGATATTTTGGAAATGACTCTAGATGTAGGATAGTGCATGTAGGACTTGCCATTGCCTTATATTAATTTATATTTTAAATTAAACTCCCATCTTGAACACGAAACCCGAACTCGGAATTATCACAATTAATATCTAATAAAATTAAACTTTAATTTATAAGGGTGGAATAGGCAATGCTGTACTCGTGAGCCTAGGAATGGTGCCAATTGGCGGTCTGCTTCCTCAATCTCTTCTTATTCCACTTGCAGCAACCACACAAGGAGACTTTAGTGAAAAACATAGACAACGCAATACATTTTGGTCTTGGCTCAGAAGAAAGTTGAAAAAGTCGGATTATCAGCCTGCCCGAATTGACTATTATGCTCGTATTTGGATGCCCATATTTTTTATTTTGTTTAGTTTTATTTATTGGACAGTTTGTTTGTTTATGGCATCGAAACAATATGTATAAAATAAATTTTTAGATTTTTCTTCCCCCTGTCCCACTACCTAAGTGACCCAAAGTGTAAGGATGCATCCCAACGATGAGTGACGAGGTTCTGTTATGTTTTATCACAAAAAACGAAACTAGCTCTGATCCAGATAATCAAGTACAAATGATTTACTTATAGTTAAATTTATTATTTTTCTGTCATGTATTTATTGCCTTTAAACTAAATTTCCGGAACATATGGATTTTGAAAAATAAAAAAATTTTTGAAGAATTTAAATTCAACTTTGCAAAGTTGGTAGCAAATTTAATATGCAATCCAATATATTAATAATCTTCCAATTCTTCGTCCTCATGTTTTTTGTTCAAATCAAAAAATCTAGTTTCTCTCATTTGAATCTATTTGAGTTATGTTATCTCCATGCATTTTATTTGGGTCTTCTACCTCGATTTGATTTTCTTCACCATTATTGTACTCCTCCTCACTTTGATTAAGAAGATTTCCTTCATTCTCACAAACAATTGATAATTTAACTAAATTACTAAAATCTTCAGCCCGTGGATTAACAAATGAAGTTCCTTCATCATTATTAGATTGATTGTTTCTCTTCCTTTGTTTATATTTTCGTTGGTATTCTTTCAATTTTCCTTTGTTATTTTGGTAATAAATTTTTTTGCGATTCCTTATCTTTTCTTTATTTTTTTGGCAATAAATTTTTTTGTTTTTTTGTATCCTTTCCTTATTTTTTTGGTAGTAAATACTCATATATTTATTTTTTTTCTCTTTATTCTTTATAATGTAGTTTCGCTTTTGCTCAATTATCTTTACTTTATTTTGTTCTGGGTAATTTCGCATATTTTCATTCAACTTTTCTTTATTTTTCTGATAACATTCTTTATTGTATTCCATTTGGTTAAACACTTTGCCTTCTCCTTTGTCTGTATCCTTTTTAGTAATTTTTAATTTTGGTTTTAACATTTCTTTAGATTTTCGAATTTGAGGATTAACCGACGATTCAGCCCCATCATTTAATATTTTATTAACAACATTCGCGTGTAATTATTTTCAGCATGTTTAGCTAAACTTTTTCGAATGGGAATAGTTTTGACAAATGTCCATAACCCCCAAGTAAAGATTAAAACAATAAAAAAACTTTTAAGTTTCATCCTAAAAAAATTTAAAATTTACTTAAAAATTAACAAAAAATAATAAAATTTAATTTAAAATTGAAAATGTAAAATGAAATATTGTAAGGAATATAAGGGCATTATGTAAATTATTTTTTGTATTTGATGTATTTATGATATCGTCAATGTATAAAAGTGCAATAAATCAGGCAGGCGATTTAGAAAGGTGTAATTTCACAACTATATACTTTTTAAGTCTGAAAAAACAAGTAAAATTCATTGAAAGGAAAGTGCATAATCATAAAAACAAATTACTTAATAGTTAGTTAAATAATATAATAATAATTAAATTTGACTCTTTGATTTCTAGTCTGACCCGGTTTTAGCTTATATCTTATCTCTGAAACTTTTCAGGTTAATTTATTGAAATTAAAAATACAAGTCTTTTCCTTTAAAACAAGCTTATTTAAAAGGCAAAGCAAGTACAGAATAATTTTGCTAAGTTAAATTTTGAAGAATAGTAAGGTATTGAGTAGAGTTGTTGGCGGTCGGTTAACCGAACCGAAAACCGGTGTTTTTGGCGAAAAACCGAAAACAGAGGGACAAAACCGGCAATAACCGAAAACCGGTTACATAAACCGATCGGTTTCAGTTTATAAAATACACCCCAAAAGATGGAATTTTTTGGGAATTTTTCGGCCATTTGAATTTCCAAATACATTTCGCTAAAATAATTTTGTTGATTTATCCTTCAATAAATAAAAGTTTTTTCACTTTTGTGCATAACATTGTGTGTGGTTGAGTGTAGAGGTCGGAACGCGGGACACGTTTCCCGGTTTTCGGGTCCCTTTTCCCGGTTTTTTAAGGCAACCGGGATGAAACCGGATACGGGAATTCCCGGTTTTCCCGGTCTGGGTTCCTCCCGGTCAATCTTCAGAATCCGTTTCCCGGACCCGGTTTTTTTTCAAAATTCCGATCTCTAGTTGAGTGGTTATTTGATGGGGCAATTAATTTGTTTCTGGTGTTTTTTCATCAAGCCTATTTTATCAGAAACTTCAACTTTATTAAAAAATTGAATAAAGATTTTTTGAAATTTATTTATCAAAATTAATAAAAATTTCAAAATATAGTTGGAACAAGTCTTTCATTTTTCAAAAAATTTTCATTCTTGTAAAGCAATCGACGAGTAAACTGTCTAGCTGGAGGAGGTCGATGTGCCTCTGCCGGTTCTCTATCCACTAATGTTAAGAACACAGCTAGCTCATAAACAGTTATAATGGTTAATCCAAAGTAGAGTCCTAGAACACCTCCGACATCGGCTTAATTTAAAGTGAAAATTTTTATGGGTAAAATGATGTGATCTCTATCTATCACCAAAACAAATCGAGTATCCTTAGATCTACAGATTTTCGACCTATGACCATTGTACCATTCTCTTGTCCACCTATCACACAAAATTACTCTTAATCCCTCCAAATCATCCGATATCCCTCAAAATCTGCCTTATCCTAGTACCGATTCCTAAAAATCTGCAGCCTAAATCCGCAGTCCACAAGTCAAAAAAACCAAACAATTTACGTAACCGCAGTTCGCAATTGCGGAAAGCCCTGGTCCCTTCTATTCTAGAAACAATTCCCTTTAAATATAAACCTACACATCAACTCCCAAATATTATAACCATCTCTATAAATTATACGTTGATAAGTCAAACCGCGATAATAAACAGTAATTAATGACATTCTTGCCCTAAATTTTTAAAATTAAAAAAGTTTAAAATTACTTTTACGTTAAAAAATCGTTTAGCATTCTCATAGCTGTATGCTCTTGTAAAAATTTATTAAAAGTATCCATCCATTGATTGTTCCAGTTGGAAGAATTTGACGGTGGTCTTAACACTTTTGTGTTCTGTAAAAAAATTCTCTAATTTTTTAAATCACATGTATAATGAGATGACGTCGGCACGGCAATAACGTTTGCCATGTCTCCGAACTCAACGACTTCTAAGTGCAGATTTATGAGGATACCGCTTTATCCAATAATTATGAATGAAAAAATTGGAAATTAAAGTTACAAAATTGCAACTTTATAAAATAAAATTTAAAAATTTTATTTTATATTGTGTAGAAGGAAACTAACAGGAGCTAAATGAGCCAGAAACAGTTCAAAAATTTTGGAATATCCAAATAGGCTAAGAATTTAAAATTCTCTTTAAGCTTTGGTATTTTTTTATCTCTATTTAGAATCAGAATTGGCTTAAATGAAGAGATGCAAGAATTCTTAAAATGTCATGTACAATGACTGTTAAGCTTTGCTTAGAAAGAATTAAGTTAAACAATCGCAAAAGGCATTGGCAAGGTAATAAAATAAAGTTAAACATTGCATAGGGGCTCAACATGACTCTTAGAGTTGCATAAGGTTAAGGGATTTTTTGAAAAAACGATTCTGAGGATTATCGGTATAAATTTAGTCTGTCTTCAGCAATTAACAGGCAAGAACTAAGACGAAGGCTCCTAGATTGTTTAAACCGCGATTGAGACGGGAAGTGAGGTTTGGATTAATTTATATTACCAGCAACTCCTTAAGCTCATCAATTTTTCTCTGCTGACATTCTTTGTCAGGCAATTCAAAATTATTTTTTAAATTTAAAAGCAACTCTGTTCCATGACTTCGGAGCTTTCTAAGTGTCTAAAAATAAAAATTTTTCTTTAATTTAAAACTCCAAACTTTGTTAAAATATAAGAGATTCTCTACTGCATAGCTATAAAATTGAACAATACAAATTGGATTGGCGGGAGTTGAATTTAATGTTAGGGCCAATTCAAGTGTGCATTGACGGTAAAATGTGGTCCTTTTGAAGAAAAGAAAATTTTTTTAATAAAAATTTTTAAATTCCAAGTGATTAAAGAAGACCCAGGTGTTGATGGATAAATGGGTTTACCTTAGCATGAGTAGGGATGTCCTTGGAGAACCTCATCCTAATGATTTGTCTTCAAGGAGATTTTTATGGAAGAAAGGGAAAAAATGATTCGTTTCTCCGATTTTTCAAGGACGCAATCCTGGGCAATCTATCTACTTGTTCAATATTTTGCATAACATGTATATAAAAATTAAATTATGTTTTATTAAGGTATTTAAATGGAAATTTGCCATATTTATTCTAATTAAATGACCTCTCTATTTGAATGGCCCCTACAATAGAATGACACTTCTGAATTAATGAAAAATAAAATGGCGGCCATTCAATTAGAATAAATACGGTATATTATAAAGGCGTCGATTGAAAGGTTGAGTAATTTTTGGAACGAGGATCTGCTGGCAATCCTCTTAATATTTGCTTCGCCAACCTTTCAAGTTTTTGAATGTCACTTATTTTATTAGTGTTTATCGTTCCATTAATTAACAATTGTTGACAATTTTCACTAGATATGCTAATTGGGCAAGGGTAGAACTTTTAAAAAGTCAAAATTATTTAAAAAATTATCAATGCTTAATTTACTTGATTCCAACTCAATTTCCGAAAAATTTCTTCCAGGAAAATTTTTCCAAATTTTTTAAATTGTTCGATAAATGAAGAAAGATTGTTAGCCCCACAAATATCAATTTTATCATTTTTTAATTCTGTCAAGTCAAATAATGGGTTAATTCCGTTGAGTGATTCGTTTTGGAAGGCAGAGACGTCCTCAGCGAAAATTGTTGGGAAAGCGAGGGAACAGAAATTTTAGGATAATTTTAAAGAAATAATAAATTTTAAATTACCTTCCATATAAAAATCTAAACAATTTTATGACAAAATTGTAATATTCATCCAATATTAAATCAAGTCGCTTACTAGCTCGCCAACTGTGAAAAGTGAAGGAAAGAAATTAAGATTTAACTTATCTTTCATTGTGCATAATATATTAAAATTGAATTTTTATTTATATTAAAATTAATCAGTAAATTGATAAAAATCAAGAAAGGTAAATTTTGGAGCAAGGATTTTTTCAAGTTGATTTGAAAAGCGGGAGGAGAATAAAAATCATATAGGGATTATTAATAGATTAAAAGAATATTGCGTATAAGAGGATTGATTTTTGACGATAATGGTGTTCTGAGTGGTTAAGGGTAGCTGATTTGATAACAAGAGATAAACTGATTACGATTACTCATGTGTATTTAGAATATTCGGGGATTTAGAGGATAAAGAGACCAGAATTTGTAACAGAATTAATTTTTAGAAATTCAGAATATTCTTTAATTATTCCGAAAATTTCAACTTACATTTTTGTATGTTTCCCCCTCACAATTTTCATTTTAGGCCATTTAAATTCATTCAATTTATCCAGCAAAAGCATTTGTTCTCTTGTATAAGTCTTTTCTGCTTCTTCTATACTTATATTTAGCATTTCCAAAGTTAAATCAAAAGCAGCATAATCTCCGGTATATTCTGTTGTTGAACAAGGATTAGGGCAATCAACTAGAGGATTTAATTAAGCAAAAAATTTATTGTACAAAGTAATGTGTTTTATGCAAAATTTGTTTGGTCATGGATTACACCAATTTTATCTTTGGATTCTACGGCATCTTTGGGTTCTACGGCAATTTAGTCGACCCAGATAATCTTTCTCTAGCATGTTTTGAAGATTTAACTTTTTTTGTATGCTTTTCCCTCACAATTTTCATTTTAGAACATTTAGGTGCCCATTCACAAGTTGGTTAATTGATTAATTAATTTAAGCGAATTATTCCTGTTCTGACTTAGTTAGGAATGAGAAGGGGCAATCAAGACGTATTCTTGAGCTGCTAATTCACTTTTTTCAAAATTTTCTGAATCACCTCAAAGACATAATACCCCTAATGTAGAGGTGATAGCTTTTATCAATTTAAGAGTAATCTCATTTAAGACAAGAATTTTAAAATCAAAATTTCTTGCCTCTAGTAAAAAAATCCTTTTGTCTAGCTCCACACTCCAAAACATCCAAAAGTGTGCAATTTCTCATATCTTTTGAATGCTTATATTCAGCAAAATAAAGATCTGGATTAGCACAAGGACAGGCTGCTCTAACTTGTGGTTGGCACCATTTACAGACCAAAAATTTGAAAAAAATTTTATTTAAAAATTTTTAAAACACCAGAGGAGAATAAACAAAATCGTTGGAAGGTGTACAATCTGATGGGTATGAATTGGTACAATCCTCTTGCTGAAAATTGAAAACCATTTTATGATAATTTAATATTGTGTTCTTTGTTAGGTCCCTAGTCGGCTTACAATCAAAAGAAAATGATGCGAGACTAACCCCTTATAATGAGGTTATGTCCTAGGGCGCGGTCCAACCTAGTGACTAACAGAATAACACAAGAAGAGATTAACATGTTTATCCGAATAGTAAATACAAGAATAACGATGGTGGCGAAAGGAGAGAATAACTAAGGACAGGCGTCGACGGTCAGCCAATGTACCGACAGAGACTGATCACTAATGAATAATTTTATACTAGACCCTCACATACATAACAGAACCTTGACTTAATAATAATTCGAATCTCTACCTTATTTGGCTAACAATTGGAAGGAACAACCGACCCCCCCCCAGAAAAGACAAAACCCCGGTCTTGACAAGTTGAGGTCAACCATTAATTAATGATTACCATAATTTCAGACATTCCTCTAACTGTAAGCTCTAAATTCTTCCCAGAAATCAACTCATAGGAATTTGCTTTAATTAATTGTTTCGTATTCGGGTCTTCATAGAGAAGGTAAAAATAAATGCGAGCGTTTGGATGGCCCTCGAGTCGATTAGATTTGACCAGAATATAATCAAAATTTTGTTCAATACTTAAAAGCTTCAAGTCAATAGTACGTCGTTGTTGTGGGCCACCTAAGGCACAAAGTCCATTGTCTACTTGCCAACTATGCAGCCAGCGGCCTGGGCCGTCATTGAAGAAATGACCTAGGAAAATTTTTTTATTCAATAATTTGGCCTATTGGCATTGATGCCAGCCTAGATGATCAAACTAAAAATGAAGGCCTGTTGTTGATTGTCTAGGAGATCTCTCAGGAAACATAACCATTCAATATTGTTTTAAATTGAATGGTTCAATATCGTTTTTTTTTATTTTTTTTTTAAATTTACATTTTAAAAAATTAAAGTTTTCGTAGTTATAACTGGCTACTTTAATCGCTATTGAATCCGAATTATTTTATTTGTTTGTGATAGGGAATTTTTCCATTAAGTTTCGATTTTGAGGTCAAACTCTATCTCCCATCATTAGAAAGATTGTCGAAACTTAGAATCCCTAGGATATCAGAAACCGGAAGCTAAAAACCTTGTTCTCTGTTTGGTTCCGAACAGAGTCTTGTTTGTCTCTTGTCTGTCTGTCTTGTCCCCCCCCCCCTCCCTCTCTCTTGACTTCTATTCAAGAGTCTATCTTATCTTGAGTCCTATGTTTTGGAAACTCCTTCATGTTCAATTCTAATAATTAACAAATTCCCCACTTTTGACAATCAACTGATCCGGATCTAACCAAACACTTCTCGCATAAGAAAAATAATCTTTTTGTTGTTCAACAAATTGTAAATAAATTTGTTTTGCTAATTTAAATCTACAATTTACAAAATTATCAATTTGGGAGGTTTTGATATATTCTACAAGACATGAGTCTACTCGGTTGCGTTGTTGACGATATTGATATCGTTCAGTTTTGTAGTTTAATGTTGAATTGAATTGTAGTGGATTAGCAAACTTTTCGGCATCATCAAACTGTGGAAAATATAAGTATACCGTGCTTCGTATACAACATCGTATCTATTTTTCAACTATAATCCAAAGTAGGGGCATATTCCAGGATTCGAGGAAATGGCCTTATTATAAGAAATAATTTTGTTTCACATATATGTATGTATTTCCTTAGAATCACGAGGATAATTCAGTAGTTTAGATGATAATATTAAAAAAATAACTTGGGAGAAAAAACGGTGTACGGAATTTTCGTATCTGGAACTATCTGGAACTTTTTAATAGATCTTAAACGTCAGTAATCATTTGAAATGATAGGCTGCTGTGTCACCTAGTGATGTCAAAGTTCCAAAATTTCTCTGGAACTAGTTCCAGTTCCAGACTAGGTTTTTAATTATTGTAGTTCCAGTTCCAGAACCAGGTTTTTTGCAGTTCCAGTTCCGGAACTCCATTTTTGAAATTCCTTAGTTCCAGTTCTGGAACTAGTTCCAAGCTAGTTCTAGTTCCAAATTTTTAAATTTTTTTGAATATGAAAATATTATCGATTTCAACAGATAGTTCCGTAGTTCTAGTTCTGGAACTAGAACTAATTAGTTCCGGAACTGGAACTTTGACTCACTGTACTATTTATTTTAAAAATAATTAAATTGCTTACAGCCATAGCAGCCTTAACTTGACGTAGCAATTTAAGCTTTCCAGAGATTAATATCCCTTTTTCATTCAACGTATTATTGGAATAAATTTCAGAATTATTAAAAAAGTTGTTTAGCTGTTCCATTTCGTTTTTTAGCTAAAATTTTAAAAAATAATATTTTTGTTTAAATTTAAAGACCCAAACTTGTTCAATAACGCTAGTCTGTGTCATAGCTTCAATTTGGTGTCGATAGACTATTTCACGGAAATCTACAGATCCATAGCCTCGCATTAGTGATCTTTTTAATTAATCAATAGATTTTAGGAAGCATAAGTTTAAAATAAATTTATGCCCTCAGGCATCATTCTCGGGGTCCCCACTAATCATTGGGCCCCCCTCCCACCCCACAGAATTTTTGCCCAACCATAATCATTAATTGTATTTTAAAATTAATTAATTTCAATTAGGGCATTTAATTACTTTTTTATCTTAATACTTATTTTTTGTTCATCTTACTTCAAAATTTTTTAGAGATATAAAAAACTTGCTAGATTAATTAAATTTACAAAAAAAAATTAAATTTTAAAGATATGCCCTGAGGGCATTTAATTATTTATTTTATTAAAATCCTTATTTTCCCCTTATATGTACATAAGTATTGTTTCCTAGTTTTTATTCCTAATTTTTATTTCACTTTTTGCTAATTAATTATTCACATTGTTTGATGGCTAAAACAGACAAGAAATCGGGGTTGTAGCAATTCCCGATTTTCAGACTCCTTGACCGTAGCAATTCTCTGTCCTTTGGACTCGACATATTTTTTCCAAAAATAACTTGTTTGAAGCAATATTAACCCGGTTGAAATGACCATTAAAATAGCTGAGAGAATTCTTAACCACAAAAAATGCTTTGAATGTAAAAGTCGAAAACCGACGAGGGAGGTAAAGTCACAAAATTGGTCTAATGCCGATTTGTGTTTTTGAACTGCTTGAACTTGTGGTTGTGCAAATTTTGTATTATTTTTGTTTTTGAAAGAGGAATAGATTTTTTTCATTTTTTTAAAATAAAAAAATAAAAGTAAAAATAAATGCCTTCTGGGTATACATTTAAACATGGGCTATAAACATTTTAAAAATAAGAAAATACCTTTTAGATGATTTATTTGAATATTTATGTTATCTTTAAACTATAATTTATATAGTAAAGCGGCTGGGCTATACTATTTCTATCCTTTAGCTAGTGCAAAAGGTTATTCGACGGCTCGGAGCGAACCAGCATCTTCAATAGACCGGACTAATGTGTTAGCCATTACACCACGCCGCTTACTGCATAGCCTTAGGAAATTAATAGCTATATGCTTTACAAGATAAAATTATTAGGCAGATTTCAAGATATTATTATGCTTCTTATGTTCTACTTGACTTTATGAGCCAGGACTTTGTGGTTATCTCCCCCCATTTTATTTTTCTTCTCCTTTCCTTTTCTTTCTCAAAAAAATACACATGAATCAATTGGTAGGTTATTTCTGTTAATAGTACTACAATCATGAACTAATCCATAAGATGGGGGTTTATCATCGTCGGTCTGAAAATCAACGTTGATGGTGTTTAGTAAAATTTTGAAATAGATTTTTTACTCTATAATTTCTATAGTTTCTCTAACTCCTTCTTTATATGTAGTGTATGCATAGACTACATATAGAGATTTTGAAATGAAAATCTATTACAAAAATAGACAAAATAAAATAGGTAATATGTATAAATGCACTTTATCGTTTAAAGTAAATTCCCCGCATTTCCATTTCATAATTTATAATTGAGAAAATACTTTCATTATTCATGTCTAAGAAAATAATCATTAAAATATAAAAGTCTAATTCAACCAATTATAATTAATTTTGAAGAAAAGTGCCTTCTTGTGACTTTTCAATTAAACAAAAGGTCATATGGGTGTGTTAGGGTAAGGTGTCAAGACAAATTAGGGTTTTCTAAAAAATAATGGTAACACTCTACCCTGCCTCCCCTTCTCTATATGTTTCATTCATTATTGGGGTTGGTCAAAACGAATTTTGCTAGAATTTAAGCTAAAAATTTAATGCCAATTTCCAGAAATTTTTAGGTTAATTAATGTTTTTTATTAAATTTTTATTTTTTTGTCAAATAATATTTTTAATATTTTTCTTCTCAATTTCTGAATATAAAAATAATCAACGAATTTTGGTTAAATCTACAGAAAATAACAAAAATGGGGATGGAAGTTTTAAAATAAAATTGTTGAGAATGGAAGTAAATAAAATTGATGAGGAAAGTGGAAAAAGTAAAATTGAAATTTTATATGAAATTGATGAAAAAAATGAAAAAGATTACATTTATACAAGTATTTATAAAAGCAATTGCTATTACATTAACGATGGATTTCACAAAATAAAAAGTATACACAATGGAAATAACGGAAAGAAAATAATTTTAATTGAAGAGAATTACTATTACTTTAAAAGATTTGGAATAAGTATTTGTTTAAAAGAATATAATGGAAATGAGGTTATACAGAAGGTGAAATTTAATATACCGTATTTTTCCCAATAATTTTCAAGTCTACTGTAGACTGCGCTTCTAATTGAACGTGCGCTTAAAATGGGACGTGCGCTTCTTTTGGGAACTTGATTTTTTTTATTAGGAACGTGACGTTCTATTGGGAACGTGACGTGATTTTTTAATTAATCCCATAAATTGCCACCGGCACTGAAAATGGAAGGAGTCCGAGTCCTAGGCCTTCAAAAATTCTCAGAAATTTTGCATGCGTTGCTGAAAAGTTGAGCTCAGATTGGTGGATATAGAGGGATTATGAATAATAAAAATTTAGGTGATTAACAGAGATAGGGATTGCGAGGATTATGTATTTCTAGGTGTATTAAGAGATATTTTGGGTTGGTTTCAAGAGAAATATCGTGGAAATTGGAAAGCCTACATATTGATAATTTGGGACGCATATATCTGATGGGACGTATAGTATATACTATTTTTGGACGCATAAAAGTTCATGGGACACATGTCCTAAACTAGAGACAAATTCTGACTATTTTATTCAAATTTTTAGGAATTAATTGCCTTGATTCCTATATATTTCGCAAAAATAAATTTAGAAGTAAATAAATTGTTAGTTTATAATCTAGCAACTGATGCTAATTTTCAGAGCAAATGTATAGACATAAATGGGATAAAATCAAACTTTCTGATAAAAATTGAAAACAATTATAAATTGACAAGATTAATATGTTTTTTTAATCCGGAAGGACCTAGAAAAATTTTAAAAAGAGAAAATTTTAGCAAAGCTAATTTAATTGAGTCGACTTCATTAAAAGGCAATAAACGGCAAGAGAAAATGGAATATTCTCACATTGAAATTTGTTTAAAATTTGAAAATCCGGGCAATTATTTTATCATTTTACTGAAGAGTTTTACCGAGGGTTTTTTACAATTCTATGTTAAGATAAAAAAAGCAAAAGAGGATAAATGTGTTATAAAAATGTTTAAGAAAATGAGTGATTTGGAGAGAGAAGTATTGAAAGGTTTGAGACATTCCATATCAATAAACATAATAAAAACAGAGGAAAATGATATTGAGGATGGTCAAATGAATGTATTTAATGAAGGTTTTGAAGAAAGATATAATGATGAAATAGAATTTGTTGCCTTAATATACCCAATTTTGAACGATGGAATTTATAAATTTTATTTGGATGAGGAAGGGATAACAAGAGAAAAAGTGATGTTTAATACTGATACGAATAACGAAATAATCAACATTGGGAACAAAAATGAGGAAAATCCTAGCAAAAATTTCTTCTAATATGTATAATTACCAAGTGTAATTATATTAGCGATTTAAATTTCCATATCCTTTTTTCTTTGATTCTTTTTTCTTGTAGTTTCTTATTTATTAAAGACTGTATGTAGTAAAAATTTGACATAAATGATTTTGATTCTGTCCTAATCGACTTTATATCGACATACCGTAATTACCCAGGACAATAATTACCAAGTGTAATTATTGTTTCAGCCTCTCGCTGGACGGGGTAATTAAAAGGAAGGGGGTAATTATTTGAGCTTCTTTTGAATGGCTAATTATAACTATTTTTAAGAGGGATAATTATTTTTTCAACCTCTCTCTGAAGCTGGTAATTAATAGGGAGGGTGTGATTATTTGAGAGAGGAACATTATTTCAGCATTTACGGTAACTATCTAATCTAGTAAGTTGTTATTAAAATTAACTTGCTCTAACATTTTTACGGCTCCCGGACAATCCGTCAGTGGACAATCCGGCAGTGGAAAATCAGTCAGTGGACAATGCGTCATTGGTCGAACAATCGGTCAGTGGACAATCTGTCAGTGAACAAATTCATAATTCCCACCCATACCCAAAATACCGCTGCCAAAAATTTTCATTTTTTATGTGAGAGATTATAAGAGATAACGAAAATATGGAGATTAATGAGGAAATCGGCAGATTTATCTGGATTAAAAGCATATCTGTGGATTTGCGAGTCATCGGGGACTTCAAAAATTAAGGCGTATAAAAGATTTGTCGTATTATGGTGGTTAACGAGAAATTTGGGGGATTAAGATGGATTTCGTGGATAAAAGGGGATATCAACGGATATAGGCGGGTTAAGAGGATTTAGAGGTTGTTCCATGATATCCATCTAAAACAATCTCTCTTATTCATCGAGTTCCATAATCACACAATATTTACCCAATCTCACAATAATGCCACACGTTAATCATGTAAATCTAATCCATCCAAATCCCCGGTATCCTTCTAAAGCCATCGACATTCGCGTAATTCAACCACATTTCCCATTGGATTGCTTTTAATCCAGATAAATCTGCCGATTTCCTCATTAATCTCCATATTTTCGTTATCTCTTATAATCTCTCACATAAAAAATGAAAATTTTTGGCCGCGGTATTTTGGGTATGGGTGGATATTATGAATTTGTTCACTGACGGATCGTCCACTGACCGATTGTCCGACCACTGACGGATTGTCCACTGACGGATTTTCCACTGCCGGAATGTCCACTGACGGATTGACCGGTCACGATTTTTACATTATTGTTATGTTTCGGCGGTACCGCATCTGATCAACCTCCTCTTCAAAATATAAAACAGAACTTTATTCTTGAAATATTTTATACTTAGTAGAAGATGACACAATAAAAATTCAGGAAAATTTTTATTTTAATTTTTAATAAAATATCAAAATTCCTTTCATAGTTATTAATTAATCTCACTTTTCTTCATTCAACATTTTCTCATAGTCGTCACCAAAAAACGATTTTAGCTTAAATATTTTCTTTAAATTTTTTTATAATTTATTCAGGATTTACGTCTTGTTCCAATAAACTTCGTTTACGCTTTTTTGAACACAAGCCAATTCCAGTCTTTTGAGCCAGACAACAACCCTTGTCGATGACTGAAAAATAAAGTCGAAACTTATTTTTAATTAACTAATGAGGGTGATAAGTTGTTATTAATAATAAATTATTATAATTATATATTATAATTATAAATTATTATACCCTCATTATTATAATGAGAGCAGCTTAAATAAGGGAATATCGCTTAGACATACCCACTCCAAAAATGGCCAATCAGTTTCTAAAACATCTAAAATTGATGTTTTTGAGGTATTTTATATGGGTTTCGACAGTATTTTTCAAGAATACTTTTAATTACTTACCATCTACACACTTTGCACAGTCACAATTGCATCCTAACATGTTGCAGTCTGGGGGATGTCCCCACAAGAAATTGCTAACTTTGCAGCAATATCCATTAGACTATAAATTTTGAATAAAAAATATGTAAGATTTAATTAAATTTTTATAGACTAACCTGATCAACCGATAATAGAATAACTATTGATATTGTTAATAGAAGAAATAAGTAATTAGATTTCATTATATTTTTCTTAAATTCTTAAAATGAAATCTGTGAATAGTTAAATAAGGGCTTTCTTCGGATTCAGATGCTTTATCCCGCCCTCAAGGGCGTTCAAAAGTAGGTTTTTGTGGGTAACGCATTTTCAATTTTATTTTAGGTTTAGAGAGAAAAAAAAGTTTATGGCCTAGGTTCCCCTAGTTAAACAGTGTTTTATTTAGAAATATCTCCAAATATTCAGAAAATAAAAAACTTCCAAGTATTTCTACCAAAATAAATTTACAACACGCATTGACAATAAGTCATTTGTCAAAAATATAGTAGTTTGGAAACGAGGTACGGCACACACTTAATTGTTCTACTAATGATAATAAAAACTTGAGATTTTTATAATAATAAAGCTTTTAGTTCTAAATTTTTTTATTCAATTGTTATTCAAAATAACATCAATTTATAAAATCAATTGTGTTTGATCATATGGACATGTGTTTATGTTATTTATTTGTTTTTAAAAAATATTGACAGATTTAAAGTAAAAAGTAAATTTTTGTTATAAAACGAATTAAAGTTTATTTTAAAAATAATAAAAGTTTATTACAAGATTCTGAAATTTACACAATCTTTAAACCATATTGGAGGTTTTGGAGCCAAGTAAAATTCCTAAATATCACAAAGTTCACACAAATAAGAAATAGCGTTTGATCTGAATGAAGAATGAGGATGAAAAAGACAATTCATAAGAAGAATATTATTGAAGGAAAATCACTATCCTTTTACTGTCATTTCAATTCGCAATATTTCAAGAAGATTTAAAATTTCTTAAAATAAAGACAAAATATAATGTTTCCTTTAGACAGAAGAAAAACATTAACATAATCACTTCTTTCAATAATCTTTTTGCCAGAATTTATGTGAATCGAAATGCAGAGCTAAATATGTTCCTGTAAATCACAAAAAGGAATCACAGTAACAAAATGATGGCGACTGTTAAAAAAATTTATTAAAATAATAAAACAACAGAAATTGTTTAAAAGTTTACCCATTATCAATTTCAGTTGATTTGAAATTTTTTAATTTTAAATTAAAATTTTTTAATATTTATTTAAATAAAAACAAATATGAATTTTTTTTAATTTTAAATTACATTTTCTTCAATTCATTAAATACGCCATCAATATGCTTTATTCTTGTCCTCACTACCTATTGTCTCTAACTGAAAAAAATTAAAGTAATATGTATAATTATAGTATATAGGGCTCCGATCGAGGAAATTGATTATTCCACAATTTTCAACGTTTATTTATTTATATGAAAACTAGCTGCAGGATAAATAGCTGAATGGGTTTGATAGCTTTAAAATTTAGTTACGTCGGGGAAGCGTTTATTTATAATTGGAGGCGCGTCCATGGACGCGCGTTGAAAGCCTGCGGCTTTAAAACTGTGCTAGGTTTATTGTTTGCTTGGAGATTTACGTTAAATGTTTTAGTTTATTTAGAAATTTTTCGAAATAAGAAGGGCACCCTTCCTTTTAGATGGATCGGTCCCTTCTTTAGATGGGAGGTCGGGCCTTCGTCCCATTTTTACATTTTGGCGCACTTCGGGCCTTCGGCCCTCGTCCCCCCCCCCTTCCCCACCGTTGGGACCCATTTTTACATTTTGGCGCACTTCGGGCCTTCGGCCCTCGTCCCCCCCCCCCTTCCCCACCGTTAGGACCCATTTTTACATTTTGGCGCACTTCGGGCCTTCGGCCCTCGTCCCCCCCCTTCCCCACCGTTGGGACCCATTTTTACATTTTGGCGCACTTCGGGCCTTCGGCCCTCGTCCCCCCCCCCCCTTCCCCACCGTTGGGACCCATTTTTACATTTTGGCGCACTTCGGGCCTTCGGCCCTCGTCCCCCCCCCCTTCCCCACCGTTGGGACCCATTTTTACATTTTGGCGCACTTCGGGCCTTCGGCCCTCGTCCCCACCCCACCCTTCCCCACCGTTGGGACCCATTTTTACATTTTGGCGCACTTCGGGCCTTCGGCCCTCGTCCCCACCCCCCCTTCCCCACCGTTGGGACCCATTTTTACATTTTGGCGCACTTCGGGCCTTCGGCCCTCGTCCCCCCCCCTTCCCCACCGTTGGGACCCATTTTTACATTTTGGCGCACTTCGGGCCTTCGGCCCTCTTCCCCCCCCCCCCTCCCCACCGTTGGGACCCATTTTTACATTTTGGCGCACTTCGGGCCTTCGGCCCTCGTCCCCCCCTCTCCTCACCGTTGGGACCCATTTTTACATTTTGGGTCACTTCGGGCCTTCGGCCCTCGTCCCCCCTCCCCATCGTTGGGACCCATTTTGGGTCACTTCGGGCCTCGGCCCTCGATTCTCGCCCTCCCCACCCCCATCGAGACTCGAGGCAGGTTTTTAAACTCGAGACCCCCCATTTTTGGGTGTTTCACCCAGATGTTGTTACTTTTGAACCTATAACTTGGTCAGACTCAAGTGACCCCCCAAACAAAAATATATTTTTCGGTGCATTATAGGATCTTCTATAATTTAACCGTGCCAACTTTGATTTATAACCCTTCCTTTGGTACCCCACTGGGTATGGTACGGTACCACCCACACCAGAAATTTCGACCTTTTGTAACTTTGTACAAAATGGTCAGAAAATTTCGGAAAAAATATTTTTAAGCTCAGCTCGATGAGAGCTTTCGAATGATATAACATTTGGCCCATCTGTGGCCATTTTGCAAAAATTATTTTTTTGGCCGAAAATTTTGGCCGAAAAAATCGCCGAAATTTTCAAAAAATCATAACTTTCTCAAAGTTAACCCTTTTTAATAATTTTAAAAACTCATTCTATGCAGAAAAATCTGCTCTATCAAGAAAAAATATCTATGCCTATAACCGCCGGCAAAAATCCCGAAATTTTTTCGAAAAACCGAAAAATTTTGGGTTTTTCGAAATTTGACCCCGACACCTCCAATTTCGAATTTTTTCGAAATTTTCTTCGGTGAAAAAATACCTAATTTTTTACTCGATTTTTCAAAGGAAACCCCATCCCAATCCGATAATGCCAAAAAAAGTTAAGGTCCCTTAAAAAATCGCGGAAATTCCCCAAAAGGGGTACGTACCCCTTTGGAAATAGGGTGGGGGACAAAATTTTGGAATTTTGTGTCAAAAATAGGCCTATATGGTACTCTGACATGCGCTGAGTACGAATCCGGCCTCGAAAAAATTTTAAAAAATTTCCCCGGCCCGTTAGAGTCTCATAAAGTTTTGCGACATTTGGCCACATTCGCTATAACTTTTTAAGACTCAAGTGGACTCCCAACATATTATACCTTTTTCGGAGCCCCACGGGACGCTCTTTCGAACTGGCTATCGAAAACGCGTTTTAATTCACGTTACAAAAAGTAGGTTTTTCGACCCCGACTCTTTGACTCATATGACCCCCAAAACTTCATCTGAGACTCAAGTGGTCAACACCCGATAACTTCCCAACACTCTACCCTCCAACATCACTCCCAGGCCCAAGAACCCCCCACTTCTCAAAAACCCGTTATAAGCCTTTGAAATTTTCATCCGGCCATTTCAGTGCCACACTCGAGTGCGGCACCAAAATTGCCATGCCCATTAAATTTCTCATGGCCGTTTACCTAATACCCCCAGGTCCCATCCAAATCTGCGGCGTGGTTTCAGAGATATAGAAATTGTACAAAAGACCGCTACCCTATGGCGCGACAAAATGCCACCATTTAAAAAGGGTTACAACGGCATATCGTATCTTAGAGTTCGAATTTTTTCGAAATTTTTTTTTTATTTGACATCTACAAAATGCGGGGCATCCGCCTCTAAGCAAAAGTTTTTGGCTATCTCTTCCCGTTCACGAGATAGCCCAGTCCAAGGGGTCGTTTCGGCGCGAAGGAGCCGGCGCAGCGAAAAATGAATAATTATTTCAGATGCGCCTGATAAAGTACCTGAGGCAATGTGCAACTTTCCGGGAGCTTCAGCCAAAACTGTGACCCCTAGAGTTTTTTTAACGAAACTCAAAACTTCTTTATATATATATAATTACTTTACTTCATTTTGTTTTAAGCTACGCTTCCGCTTTTTAGAAGAACAAGCTATTCTACCTATCCCAGTATTTTCTACCAAACAGCAGGCTTTGTCCACCGCTTAAATTTATTTTGATATTCGACAAAATTAATTAAAAATATTTACGTTCATCACATTTATTACAATCACAATTGCAACCAAAAATGTTGCAATCTGGAGGGAATCCAATGGATCCTTTAACCGTACAGCAATATCCGTTTGTCTAAAAATAAATTTGTAGTGAAAGTTGATTATTATTTTAGTTATTTTTGAAATATCAACTTCAAATACACATTGGGAATAAAAAAATATTTTAAGATTTTAGAGTTAAATAGAAGGTTAAATTTGGGCATACCCCCTTATTAAATAAGGGTGTACGTTCAGTTAGCTCCCCTGCACATTGCCAACTAAATTTTTAAAATGTAAAAAGGCTTCTTGAGGGCTTCTCGAGGATTTGAAGCTTTTTACAATGAGGTCAGCTTTATAAAATTATGAAAAATACTTGATCAACAGAAAAAAGCAAAATAAAAACAATCGGTGTTGAAATAAAAATTAAATAGTAATTCATTTATTTTTAATAAATAATTTAAAAATATAAATTTTCCAAGCTTTATAAAATACTACAAAAATTATTTTTAATCAACTAAGTAATTTATAAATTACTCGAGATATTTTTTCAAGTATTATTTAATTTCAACTATTTTTTCGAATACAGTAATTACTTAAAAATATTAATTTGGAAATTATTTCCTGTTTATTCTTGAAAATACATTTTAAATAAACTTTAATTATGATTTTCTGCATAATTAGATTTTTAAAAACGTTTTCTGAAATAAGGCTTATAAAAATAATTTAAAAAATTTCTCAGGAAATATTAATTCTGATTATTCAAGGTAATTCAGTTTATTGGATATTTAAGCTGCCAAATATTTTTGGTTAATTTCTATCAGATTATTTAAAAATTATGTTAAAGAACTGAAAATGGAAAAAATAAAATATTATTAAAATAATCATTAAAAAATAAAATTTGCTGGAAAATAAAGATGATATAGTATTTTTTTCTTGTAAATTTATATAATTCATTAATCATGAATGTGTTCATTTTTCTCAATTTTTTAAAGAATTGGGAATGATTCATAAAAATGTTAAAATAATGAGGTGATGAATTGCAAAATAAAAATATATTTAATTAATTTCTCTAACTCTATATTTCAGCCAAAAGTTGCTTCCATGGGCTAATTTTGATGTCATTCGACTCAGTTGTTGAGCTTTTTCTTTTGACATATAAATTGTTCAAATCTAAAATGTCACCTGAAAGTGCACTTAGTCCAATGTTGACTTCATGGGATTTGGGTGGATAATAACGGATATCAGAGGCTTTGTTGAAATTCAGAAGATATCAATTTCTTCAAACATTCTGCTGGCCAGGATGTCAGATTTCTTATAATAATTACATAATTTAGGTGTATTGTAATGTCATCCTGCAGTTAATTTAAATAGAAATAACAAAAATCAGAAATTAAATAAATTAAAATTACACAAGGCAATTTTATTTAATCTTTAATTTATTTTTTTATTTGAGTACATATTTTATTTTAGAGCCAATAAATTGCGAACACTTTTTAATAATACAAATTTATTCTTGGTTTGTGTCTATTAAATGATGTGTGTGGAAATTGACACGCAAATTCGTTATTATTTAATTGATAAACTTTTCATTATAAATGATAATTAAATATTTTCCTTTTCTAAAAATTAATTTTAAATTATTTAATTTTTAAAAATAAATTTAATTGTTTAAAAAATCTGGTTAATTTTAAAATTTATTAAAAAAATATTTTTTTAAAAAATTTAAAAAATGTCCAAGTTCCGACTTTTTTTAATGATTTTATTTTTGTTAATTTCAACATTTGCTTCCCAACAAAATTTTAATAATTCTAAACAAACAAAAAGACAACTAAAAATACTCGTATATTCACCTACTTTAAGCTGGAGTCATGCTCAATTTTTAGGAAAAATTGCAGACACATTAGTTGATGCTGGCCATGAAGTGGTTAGTCTCTCTCCTAAATTGTTTTGTAAAATACATATGGAAATAATGTTCATCGAGAAAAAAACAATTTTAAAATAAAATTAGAAATTAATTGAAAATAAGTTAAAATGTGAAGAAAACTTATACAAATATCCCCAAAAATCCTCTAGTTTATCCCGCCATTTTCCTCTATAGCCCTTAAAATGCGGGTTTCGGTAGTGGTTTGTGTTGTGTATGGGCGTCAGCCCTTAAAGTGTTTACTATAAAAGCCAGAGAAAACGTCAGTCTAGTCGGATCATACTAGCGGGGCTAGTCACTGATCTCCTTCGTCTGTCCCATTCCCTTCGCCTACTTTGTTTATTTCTTCGTGTGATAAAGTGTTATTATTGTGCTCGTCACATTAGTTGAACCTCGGACACCTCGGGTCGTAACAATGGCGCGGTCGACAAAAAGTGAAGAAGTGTGGCGAAGTGTAGTGAATTGCTTTAGCAATTAGTGAAAGTGATTGTTTTGAGTTTGAGTGGACAGACGTCGTAGTTAGTGATCGGCATGAGTCGAAAGTGAATTAAGTAAATTGTTAGTGCGCATGGACATGTTAGTGAGTAGTGACCTGAAAAAGGACTCAGTGCGAGTGCCAATGGTCGAAGTTTGAGGCTGAAATGCCTAGTGGTCCGGAAAGTGCGCGAATTTTGGCCGATCAACTTGAAAATTTGAGAAGAGTTAAAAAGTGGATAGTGAATAAAGCGAAGTTTGACAGCCTAAGGGTGAGTAAGACCAAATAATGAGCTTTGAATTGTTAGTGAATAAAGCGAAGTTTGGCAGCCTAAGGGTGAGTAAGACCAAATAATGAGCTTTGAAAGTTGATAGTGAGTGAATTGAAGTGAGTCAAGGCGCTAAGGAGTGAGTATTATTAGTGATTGAAGTGTTACTCCAGCGCAAGTCAGTGAAGCAACCCAGACTACACATAGTGTAAGTTCAGTGAAGTGTTGTGTGTACCTGAGTCTTTGAAGGAGGCAGGATGTAACATGCATCCTTTGAGTGGTTAGTTAGTAGTAGTAGTATTCGAGTGTTAGTATTAAACCACGAGCCATCCTAAAAGTACACGGGAAAACGGCACCGAACTGCACACTAACTATATGTTAGTGTTGTGGAGTTTGACTTCACTTAAGTTTAGTAGTGATGCAATTCAGTGAATTTAGTTATTGGGCACAGTGTTAAAAAAAGTGAATGTAGTGCCGCAATGGAAGTGAAATAAAAAGTGTGAAAAATAAATCAGTGAAGAAAAGTGAAAAATAAAAGTGAATGCTTATGGACAAGCAGTGTGATTCAAAAGTTGGAGCTGCTGTGTGCATTGTAGATGTCCGCTGCCAGAAGAAAAATAAAATGTGGAATAGATGACAAATTTTGTGATTATTTTGTAATTGTTGTAATTTTAATTTGTTGTTTTTGCCCTTTTGTCATCCCACATTTTTTTTGTATTTGTTTGTGAGTTGAGTGTTAGTGAGAGACTAGACGCTCTGGCTTAGTGTTAATTGTATTGATAGCATGGAAGCTATAGTGAATGTTAAAAGTTGTAAAGCTTCGGCTTTAAGTGAAAGCCGAACCTTTTTTTTCAAGGGGGGAGGTGTTGTGTATGGGCGTCAGCCCTTAAAGTGTTTACTATAAAAGCCAGAGAAAACGTCAGTCTAGTCGGATCATACTAGCGGGGCTAGTCACTGATCTCCTTCGTCTGTCCCATTCCCTTCGCCTACTTTGTTTATTTCTTCGTGTGATAAAGTGTTATTATTGTGCTCGTCACATTAGTTGAACCTCGGACACCTCGGGTCGTAACAGTTTGGAGAATTTCTCTGGTCTATTAATAGAGAGAGAGTGAGAGCCTAGCTATGCCTTTCTCTTAACTAAGCAAAGCTTAATTCAAAATTGCTCTTATTACAGCATTTTCTCAAATTCGTCATGGACTTGGATCTCAAAATTAAAAACGAAACATCTCGTGTAAATCCAGCATATAAATATATCGTTGAACCAACGCCAGAAAATGCTGAATTGTTGGATGTTAAGAAAAATTCATTGGTTACAGATTCTTTTTCAAACAGGAGACCTTTCCTAACCTTATTTGGACATCAAAACGATCCCATTGGACCAGTATTTGCAACTGCATGTAAAGGTAAATTTCACCGAAACTAGATCTTGACAAAGCTCGGTTATGAGATCGTTATTTTTGGTAATATCGGTCCTGATTCTCGTCGACCCCCCCTCCCCGTCCTGTCTCAAATTTAATAATTATAGAAACAATAAAAGAACGTAAATTACTACAGAAATTAGAGGAAGAACATTTTGATGTTGGAATAGGGGAAAATTATGATCATTGTGCTGCAGCTATTTTCCACAAAATTGGTGTACGTGTACAGGTTACAGCCTACGCTGTTCAATTACTTCATTGGATTGCTAGAAAATATGATATTCCAACATTTTCTAGCTACGTACCAAGTTTGTATGGAAAACAAAAATTATTTTTAAATTAATTCTCAGATAATTTTGCACCAAGATTAGGACTAGAATCATTCAGTAATAGACTAATTAATTTTTATAATGACTTTTACGAGTGGATTTGGATGCATGATCATTTTAAACGACTACAAGTCTTTTTATTTTTTATAGTTTTCCAAATAAAATTTTTCAGGATCCCATTATTCGGTCAGAATTTGGTGAAGACTTTCCAGATTTGAATGAACTTCTTAAAAAATCGTCCCTAGTATTTATCAACACAAATCCATTTATAGACTTTCCTAGACCTATTTCAAATAAAATTGTTTATATTGGGGGTCTTGTGCAAGAATCAGCTCCTCCAGACAGCAAAATACTTGATAATGTAGGTCATATAAAATTTTGGTTCTTATCCGTTCAATAAAATTTCTAAAATCCCAATCAAAAATCCTTCAATTTTAAGAGATCTAAAAATATATTGGATGAAGCTAGAGGAGGCGCTATACTTTTTTCTTTTGGTTCAATTACTGATACTACAAAAATTACAAATAATATGAGAAATTCAATTCTAAAAGCATTTAAACGGTTTTCTAATGTTCATTTCATTTGGAAGTTGGACAAGGAAACAATAAAAAATCAGTCAGAATTGCTTAAATCTTTTCCGAATGTTCATGCTTTTGAGTGGATACGCCAAACTGCAATTTTAGGTGAATTCTTTTGTTGATCTAATTTTATTTGTGTGAAATATCTCGAGATTGGAGAGGATAACAAATAATTTGGAGGGATATAAGTGTATTTAAGCGTGATATCGGGATTTGAAGGAATTGAGAGGGATTACGGAGTATATCGGTGGATTAAGACCACTTGGTCTATCTCATGACTTATGATATTCGTTTCCCCCCTCGCCAGTCATTATTAACACCTAAATCGGGGAAACCATAGGGATTTGGAGGAATTTCAGAGGATTTGGAGTGAAAATTTAAATAGGATCAAATATTTAATCAATTTTGATTAAATTATTTGAAATAAAGTTGTCAAAGGTTGAATTTTAAAATTTATTTTTTGATTTGGTGAACATTTAATATTTTTATCGTTTACTCTAGCCCATCCCAACCTTCGTGCATTTATCTCTCATTGCGGACAAAACAGTTTAACCGAGTCTGTAACTGCAGGCGTTCCAGTCATTGGACTTCCTCTTTTTGCTGACCAATTTTACAATGCCGATGTTGCTCAGAAGCTTGGTTTTGGATTACGAATTGATGTTTATGATTTAAATGGACCGAATGCTGAAAATATTTTGGCTGAAACGATAGAAAAGGTATACATTTTTCTCAATATTGATCATCTCCTTGATCTTAAACTTTATTGGACTCATAAAATAGACTAAAGACTTTGTTACCAAAATATTTTTTAGATCCTCACAGACCCATCATTTCGTCAAAAAGCCCAAATTATAGCCAAAAAAGTTCAATTAACTCCATTTAATCCAAAAGAAAGACTTGTTAAATGGGTAGAATTTGCAGCAGAATTTAGCGATTTATCAGAACTTGATTTACCTGGAGCTAAGGAAATGAATTGGGTTGTCTATTATTCAATTGATGTAATTCTCTTCTCTATTGTTTTTGTGTTTATTTTATTCTGGGTTGTATGGAAGGTTGTAAAGAGGATTTTAGTGGAAATAACTTCAATATTATACTGCTTAACATTTTCGAAACTCAAAATTAGACGAAAGAAGGAAACAAGAATAATTTTGATTTTGTTACATAATTTAGTTTTTTAGAAATGAAATTTCACAAATACTTTTACGTATAAGAAGAATTATTTTTATAAACTTTATAAAATTATACATAGTACAAAATTTATAAATTTTAAATTATTGTTAAAATTGTGATAATTGAAAAAAAATAAATAGAAATTTTTAAAGTCATAATAAAAAGTAATAAAGATGAAAATAAATAGTAGAAATATGCGGAAGTGTGAAAAAATTAAATAAAAGTTAAGAAAAAATAACAGCTCAATTTATTAAAGCAGCTGGGCTATAGCTATTTCTCTCCTTTAGCTAGTGCAAAAGGTTAATCGGCGGCTGGGAATGAACCATCATCTTCAGTAGACCGGACTGATGTGTTAGCCATTACATCACTCCGCAAACGGCACAGCCTTAGGTATTAAATAGCTATATGCTTTACAATTTGTAAAAATGAATAATAAAAGCAAAGAAAAAATCTGCATAAACTGCATAATTTTGACAGTCCAACTCAATAATTTTTTCGTTTTAATAGAGATAACCATAATAAAAACATAAGGCTGTCAATAATCACTTATTTGGATAGTAAAGGAACAATAAAATTCGCAGAAATAATTTTTTTTGTAAATTTTAGATCACTCAGAAGCCAGATTTCTTCCAAAAAAGTCAATTCCTAGGGGATATATATGTTATTGGCCTTTCTTTTGTTATTCCATCCTCATCCAAATAAAATTCATATGTTCCTCTCATTAGAGATGGAGCAATCGAGGCCACAAATTGAGCTTTAGGATATTTTTTTATATAATCTTCATTACTAATTACATTCATTTGACCATCTTCAATATCATCTACATCTGTTACTGCAATATTTAGCATCATGTAACGTCTCAAACTTTTCAATACATTTCTCTCCAAATCATTCGGTTTCTTGAACATTTTGAAAACACATTTTTCCTTGTTTGCTTTTTTAATTTTAACGTAAAATTGAAACCATCCAATTTGTAAATTATTAAAGAGATTAATAAAATAATTTCCTGGATGTTCAAATTTAAAACAAATTTCAACGTGAGAATATCCCAATTTTGCTGCATGATTTCTATCATCTAATGATGTTGGCTCAATTGAATTAAATTTTCTAAATTTTTGTCTTTTTAAAGGTTTTCGTGGCCCTTCCGGATTAAAAAAACATATTAGTCTAGTTAATTTATAAGTTCTAATTTCTGTCCATAATTTAGACTTTATTCCATTTATGTTTATATCAATGCTAGAGTAACTAGATGCATTTGGCATTCTTTTATATGCCAATTCATTATCTCCCAGATCAATTTGTTCAAAAAACATAGGTAACAAGGTCATTAATTCCTAAAATGTAGATAAAATAAAAAGTTTAAAATTTTAATTCTTGGGCCAAACAATATAAAGGAGTGTGTTGCCGAGGTAGAATGGAAGAACCAGAGTGGCAAAAGTTTTAAGTTAGACCAACAACATTTTTAATTTACACTTATGTACGTGCCAATCATACCTTCCCGATTCCCAATAGCTGGAATTCCCATTGTTTTTTTCGGGCGGGAGAAGGGCAGGTACGTGAGAAGAAAAAGCGAAGAAAACTGGCTACTTGACCTTCCTAAATTCTCAAAATTTTCGCCTGCGGCCCAGGAAAGGGATTTGAGTTTAGATGGATAAGTTAAAAAGTCCATGGAAGAAGATGGAAAATGGACCCTGCCGGATTTTTCTGGATTAATCCGATTGGGACCCGGACTCGGGCAAAGACGGCCGGAGTCCGGTCTGGTATCGGGCACTAATAATAAGCAATCTTAGGAAGAGTCTTCTTCAAAAAAATGCACTAATGCTTTTATTTTTGCATCACTATCTAGTAATTTATAATTCTGAAATTGAATAAAATATTTTCAGAATTTTTAAATAATTTCGCTTTCGCGTTTCGCATCTTTCGCATTCTCGCATTTTATCACCTAAATTATTTTTAACATAAAAGTATTTTGTCTACCTTTTGTTTAATCATTTTATTACTAATTTCTTTTAAATAAACGGCAACTTCATATATCCTTAAATTTTTGTGGAATTTTTCAATCAAAATTAATTTTTTCCCATTTTTATTTATATTTTTTATTGTTTGTAAGGATTCGGAATCAAAGTTTATTTTAACAAATGGAAGAATGTCCTCATTTTTTTTATTAATTTCTAATAAAATTTTAATTTTAGTTTGACCATCAATTTTATTTATTTCCATTTTCAACAATTTTATTTTAAAACTTCCATCCTCATTTTTATTATATTCTGTAGATTCAACCAAAATTCGTTGATTATTTTTATAATTAGAAAAACAATGAATTATTAAAAATATTATTTGACAAAAAAATAAAAATTTAATTGAAAACATTATTTAAAGTAAAATAAAATTTTTTTAATTAAATAATATTTTGTTGATTTATAATATGTTTATACATTCGTTTAAATAAGACTGCACTTTATAGTAAATAAAAACATATTTCAAAGCATTATATATGTACTTATGAAATGTAGACATAATTATGTAAATAAAAATGATTTCATTAAATTGCATAATTATTAGACATTAGGTAAATGACGGCAAGAAAGGCAGAATAATTTTTAGTTTCTTTCAAAATTTCATCAATAAAACAAAAAATTAAAAAAATTTTTTTAATTTTAATTACTTCATTAAAAAGCTATATTCAAGATTTTTAACAATTTTAATAAAAGAATGCGACCATAAATTCCTAAGAGATATACCTGTCCATGTATAATCTTGAATTATTTTTAATAATCCAAAAGTTTTATCTGATCCTCATTTGCTCAATTTAGTTAAAACTATCAAAAAATATACAAACTAAGCTTTTTTTGAAATTTAAAGCCTTATAAATAATGCCTATTTTTTGCAATATTTTTGGCCAATTTCGCTCTATTTTTGAGTGGCTGCTCCCTATTTTATTAGTGTTTTGGAAAGGACCACCTTGAGAGGGATATAAGATTAGACTATTGTTATAAGAATTTATAGGTATTAAAGGAGATTTGGATGGATATCATGGAGGGAGATATGGAGGATTTCGAGGGATTTTTAGAAATTTTGTGGATTAAATCTATGTAAATTTGAGTTAAAATAATATATTTTTGAAGTAAAAGAATAATATACTACATATTACAATAAAGAGTTTAGAAAATTCAATTCTGATTGATTTGTTGATTTTGTACATTTACTTGATTATCCTCCCTTGGAGGATTTATTTGAGGAATAATAGGTTGGATAGAATTTGAGTGCAGATTTTTGTAGAATTTCAATGTAGTACTGCCAAACTTTTTTAATATTCCAAGACAATCTCGTTGAATCGACTTGTTCATTGTTAAATAAATGACAGGAGGTATTCCTAAATAGTAATTTTTAGATTATAGAGTTGTCATTTTTACTCTGATTTTATGTTAATAATTAAAATGAAAAAATTATAATAACTTTAATTTGAAAGAATATTTTTATATAAATTTTGATATGGCAATTGGAAGGACCCAGGATCATTTTTGATCATTTAAATTTAAAAAATTAATATCAATGTTTGTCACCGTGTGCATTCAACCAACAAATCTGACCAATTATAATAATTACGTAGTTCACATGGGTGTATTGCATAAAAGCATATATGGAAGCAGCGACACTATTAAACAAGCTAATTAAAAAAACTTGAAGAAAAATCTAAAAATTTAGGGTTTAGATCAATGTTTTAATTAAAAAAACCATTTTTTCAGAATAGCTTTGTCGATGTGATTGAAAACCTCCTTGTTTGGATTTTATCAAAAAATTATAAAGAATGTTATGTAAGTAATTAACAGAAAAAATATGACTGATAAATTGTGGAATGGCTGAAGAGTGTTCTCATATTCCTTTTAGAAGATTAAATATTTTAAAGATATTAAGAAACCAATACTTGATTAACGTTATCAATATATCCAATGTGCGGATTGAAGAACCAGCTAAAGTAAATGCCACTGAATGTAACTGGCTTTGACCATACAAATACTGCTAGGCCGTATAGAAAGGGAATGCCCAGCCAAATAAACAATTTTTTGCCTTTTAAAAAAATAAAGCTAAAGTTAAGGCTAAAAATGAATTAATTCCAACCGCCAAAAAATTTCTTAGCATATTCAGAAGACCATATTTCAACGCAACGATTAATAGCTAAAATCCCCTCTATTGTAGATTCAGTAGGCCAACAAACTATTAATTAACGAATATATGAAATTATTAAAAAATACAAACAAGTTCCAAATACTCCAGCAAAATAAATAAATTTTGGTGAAGAACAAAAAACATATCCAAAATATCCCAAATATCCAGTTAAATATCCAGCACATAAAACTGCTGCCATATCAACAACCCCCATAACAAACATAATTTTATAACAATTACTGTTTGCCATTCGCTTCCAAATCGAATACATACAAGGAATATAGAGTATCTATTTAATAATAAACAATTGGATTTCAATTTATTCTGACACACTCTAGTTGAAATACGGTTAAAACTCAGTGGGCCTAGACAAGTTCTGGTTTCACTTGCTCTCCAAAACAGAAATTTTCGACTAAGTAGTTCCAGACTTTATCTGATTTAACTTTTCTGAGCTAAATAGAAAAAAATAGACTTGTGTTTCCAGACTTGTGTTTCCATAATTTTATATAAAATTTATCTTGATCTACTTCTTAAACTTATTCCTTAATTATTTCTTCGTGTTATATTTACTTACTACATATATTGTAGAAAAATAATAAAGAAAATTCCAAGTATTTTATGTTGACGTTTTTCCAGGGGAATTTGGTCAATATTATAAATACTACAATTATAAAGACGCTCATATTCATTTTGATTAAATAAATATAAATCCATTTTTTCTTAAGTTGAACTAGGATTGGTTCCTCTATATATTTTAATTGTATCTGTTAATAACTTTAAAATTACGATACTGCTTAACTTTATATAAACAAAAAACTCTTAACACTAATAAAATGTGTCGTTAAATAATTAGATATAATTCACCTGTCTAAATTAAATTAATAACGTAAGGTTAATTGTTGTGTTTTACATTAAAATAACAAAATAATTCTAAGAAATTTAATTAACCCACAATTTTAAATGTAAATTAAACGTAAGTTTTTTTAATAATAAATTATAAATATATAATTTTTAATTATTAAAAATTAAATAATAAATAAACAAAAAGTGCAACTTTATAGCGAAACTAACATCTGGCCAATTAATTTTTAAAATATTAATTTTACTTCTGTGCTTCGTAAAAGTTAATGAATACATATTTTTCACGACTTTTTCTACTGAATACTATCTATTAAGTCTAACATTTGAGTTAATTAATTAATTGAAAATTACTTCTTAAATAAATATATTACTTTTTGAAAATTTTTCGATTTTTAATTTCGGCATGTTTTATTTATTCAGCACTGATAATTAATTTCGAAATTTTGGCTTTAATTCGTTTTAATATATTTTTCATGTGAATTTATTGGATTACGATCGGAGCTTATACGCCCGTATCAAGATTCGTACTCATACTTTGGTACGAATACGAGCAGAAAAATAAGGTTGGCCTCAAAGAACGAGTACAAGGCAAAATTTAGGGGAGTACGAGGTCTAGGTCGAGTACGAAGTAGTATTAATGGGAAAATTAGAAGTACATATAGTTAAGGAAGAAGAAGTCATACAGTAGTGGACCTATGCAAAAGTCATACAGTAGTGACACAATTCTAAAGACTCGTTGCTTCGTCTTGTTTAAATTTTTATAGATTTTTTTTTTAATTTCTTATAAGTATAATCTTGAGCTTATTTTGTAGCTTATTTTGTCCTCTTTAATTTGATATATAACTATTTAACATATACTTTTAAAATTTCATAATAATTAATCTTATTCTAAAGTAGGCACTTTTTTGTCGCGACAAAATTATAGACTTTTAATAAAAAAATTTTTTTGACAGGCAAAAGGTTAAAGAAAAATCCACTACAATCCACATCCAATTTTTAAGCAAAACGGAAAAAATTTACATCTTTTCGCCAACGAATCAAGACAAACGGCATAATGTTTGAAATGAGATAAAGCAAACAAATGGCTCTTAAAAAACACAATTTGTTGAAATTATTATTTATACATATCATATATTTTTAATATAAACAAAATCTTTTTCCCATTTTCTTATTATTTGTGACATCCATTCCTTCCATATTCAGCAACATTTATGCCATAATAATTAATATGGTCATTAATATTAAAATTGCTTTGAATTTGTTAAATTAATATATTTATAAGGATAAATTACTTGGTAGAATTTATACAATGTTTATCCTCCCCTGAAGTGCAAACTTTATAATTCTCTAGTGGAAAAGAAGAAGAATTTGTAGTTGAATTATTTCCGAAGTATAATATCTTTTAAATAATTTTAGATTTTTTTGAACATTTTCTTAGATAATTTTAAGTTTCAGGAAAATAAATGTTACACTTCCTTTTCGTTTATTATAATTATTTCCTCAAATTCCCTACTTTCGGAGAAGGAGACAAGGAAACCCCTACTGTGTTGCAAGAAAAAGGAAAAGTAAACTCGTAATTTAAACAAATAATGACGTTAATTCTCACAAATAAATATTAAATAATATTAATTACCTCCATTCTAAAATGTGTGTAATAAAGAAATGAATGATGAGGTAAGTCGGCAATAATATCCTTTTCATTAACAACTCGATAAGTGTAGTAAGGCAAATAAAAAAATATTTTTAATTCAATATTTAAATTAAAAAGTTTTTAAATTTTAGTTGGGTTTGGCCTTACTAAAAATATTACCAAGAGCTTGAAAAATTGTGTATTATAATTAGGTGTCATAAATAGGAGTTATTTATTAGGCAATCCCCCCCCCCCCTTCCCGATTTCCCTACACACCGCGATTTTAGAATATTCCCCTACCTCGATACCCGACATACTCTTTTTCCAACAAGAAAAATACCGTATTTTTTCGATTAATTCCCCTGGGGAATTATTTTTTCAACCCTTCCTTGGCATGGGGAATTAATCGAGGGAGGGGAATTATTCGAGTTTTGGCATTTGAACGTGCATTAGGGTATTTGGGGGTGGGGAATTAATGTTTCAACTCAACTCTAGCATGGGGAATTAATCGAGAGGGGGGATTATTCGAGGGGGGAATTAATCGAGAAAATACGGTAATAAATGTCGGAGTAAAAATTTTTTGCTAAATAAATTCTCGACCGAAGGACTAGAATTAACTAAATTAATAACCAAAACCGGATCTTAAAAATCATATTTTAAACTATATTGTATCTAATTCTAAGAAAATTCCTTTTTTAATTAAAAATTCAAAAATTTCCAACAGCATTTTCCATTGCCGCTGCCCAAGCCTTATTTCCCACTCTAGGCTGTCCAAAAGTAACCAATTTAATTTGTTTTGCATCAATTACATTAGCACTAGCTATTTTAGCGGCAGCGATCGAAGCTAAAGCTCCCCCTATTGAATGTCCAGTTATCTTTATAAAAAAAATATTTTTAAATTTAATAATTTTTAAATTCACCCAAAGATCATAACCATCAAAAAATTGAATCATTTCAAAAGTTTTTTGAGTTATTCCAGCAAGTTGCATTTGATAAAATATTGAAAAAAGATTGTCAGAAACCTGTCAACTTTTTGATAAAATTAATAGTTCATTAAAAAAATCTTTAAAAAGGGAATTAGATATAAGACAGAAGCAAACAGATAAAATAATTAAATAGATTACTGGTAATTCTTAAGATCATTGGTCCCTAGGAAAAAATGCTAAAAAAGTGCTCTTTTGGATATTTTTAAGGTTTTCCAGTAGGTAATCGAGTGTGCTGAGTCTGAATCTGAGCTTAGAATTTGTTTTTTCGAACCCCGAACCCGAATTCAACCAAGTCGGATATGGGGGGAAATTTCGATATTTCAAAATTGATGTTTAATCCGACTCGCCACATCGAGCTGAGTCGAAAGACATCAAAATTATTATGTTTCGACAAGCTTAAGCGAAGTTATGGTGCTTAATTTATATCCTGAAGTCTAACCAAGCGTGTATTTAATTGATCATAACTTTGTCTAATGTTGTCGAAACACATTAATTTTTATATCATTCAACTCAGCTTGAAGAGACGCGTCAGAATAGCATTAGCCTAATAGTTTCGAATTTTTCCCCCATATCCGACTTGGTCGAATTCGAGTACGGGGTTCGAAATAAACAAATTCTAAGCTCAGATTCAGACTCAGCACACTCGATTACCTACTGGAAAACCTTAAAAATATCAAAAGAGCACTTTTTTAGCATTTTTTCCTAGGGACCAATGATCTTAAGGATTACCAGATTACTTAATGAGGATTTAGAAGGATAAATGCGCAAAGAAATGCGAATCCAAATGATACTTGATTTTTCTAAATACATATAACTAAAAATTATTATTCTTATCCCTATATTATTGACAAATTAAGCGAGAGTTTAATATAAGTAGAAAAGAAGTGCATTGGTGGGGAAGTTCAAATCGTTTAGCTTTCATTTTATATCATGTTAAAAAAAGATATAAAAAATATAAGAATATATGAGAAAACTCTGTAAAAATGAGTTTTAGATGATAAGCTCATGAAAAATTAAAGAGTAAAGAGATGCGAAACAAGATTTCGCTCAAAAATCTCGAGTATTATCGGGATTTTGGGGATAACTATTAAAGATTTCCTGAACTCCAGGTTGGTTCTCTATTATCAGTATACAAATTTATTTAAAAAGATTCACCATTCCACTTCCATAACCTAACGGAGATCTTCTCCTTTTATTAAAAAGTGATTCTCCAGAATCGTTTAATAATTGTTTATATGCATATTGTGAAGTTCTAAAAAAGTGTTTTATTTTAAAATTAAATGTAACATTTACCCAAAAGATAGAATCAAAGCCTTATCCTCTAAAGACAAAGCCATAAAGCCAGTACAATTTTCATTGGTTAGACAAGGTATTTCAATGTTAAAAAATACCTGAGAGAATTTAAAAAAAATTTTCGTTATAAATCAAAAATTTATTCAATTTACACTATAACTTCCAGTTAATGTTTGTAGACAAGTAACAAAACCGTCAAAGGATCCATAGGCTGCTGCAGCCATACGAAAAATTTTGGATTGAACAAAGACTTCGTCATAAGGAATTCTTTTGACCTATTAAAAATGGGAACTCTTTTAAATTTTTAAATTCATATTCTCTTGCCCTAATAAATTTTCATTCAGTTTATAATTAAAATTTAAATCAAAACCGGTCTAATTAAGATACCCTAAGGTCTTCTAGAAGATTTAAATCTCCTTGAATTAACTTATTAACTAGCCAGCTGTATAGGCTCTTTACTTGTAATTGCTGTTTTATCTGTAACTCACAATGAAGATAACATAAACATATCGGGCATGCTCTTGAGAATACCCAAGAACCGTGATTCTGCAGATATCGTTCTAAATTTAACGAATTATTCTTCCCTACAATTATTGCTAGTATGCTTTTCTGTGTAAATAACTCCAGAAAAACTCTTAAAGTATACTTAATTTGCTAAGTAAGGAGCTATAGCTGAAAGTTTTAGAGTTGAAAAAGGTCGGGACCAGGGTGGCCTTTTTACCCTATTTATAGAGGATTTTCCCTATTTTTGACCTTTTCGCCCTATTTTTTCCCTATTTTATACTTTTGCCATATTTTGCCCTATTTTTAGCATTTTGTAATATTTTTCAAATTTTTTGTCTTTTGTAAAAAAAATGCGAAAAAAAACAAAAAAAAACTGACTCTTGTACATCAAAATTTCCAAAAATTTCGCCTGCGGCGCTGAAAAAGGAATAATCTCTCCTCTTGGTCTTGCAAATATATCAAAATTTAAAGAAAGAATTGGGAAATCGGGCTAAAAGAAGAAATCGGGCCTCTTAATTTTTCAAAATTCTCAAAATTTTCATAAAAATGGAAAAAATCTGACCTCTTGGTAATCCGAAATTCAAAAAAATTTTCGCCTGCGGCGCTCAAAAGGGGATCCAGAAAGTATCTCACGAGATTTTGCGCTATCATTTGTTCCAAATCTGTATATCTGAACTAGAGACCGGATCAAGACGAGATCTCGAACAAATATTTCGACACTCCACTATTTTCAATTTCGATATTTTATTTGATCGTCTTACAATTTTTGAAATATATTTATTTACAAACGGCTTCATTGTGATCTACTCAATTTAGTTAAAATTAGTGGAGAACACGCGGAATAAAGCTTTTTATTTAAAATTTTAATTATTTTTAAGTTTTTAAAACAATGCCCTATTTTTTGCCCTACTTTTGACCGATTTCGCCCTATTTTTTCCCCATTTTTGAGTGGCTGCGCCCCATTTTAGTGGTTTGGAAAAGGCCACCCTGGTCGGGACCGGTGTTACAAAACGTTCAATACCCATTATTAATCAACAATTCGTTGAACTCCTTATCACCCAAATTGTAGAGAATTAATTTTTTAATTTCCTCAAAAATCAAAAAAACATACAGAAATTAAATTTTGATCTTCCTTTTGATTATTTAAAATTTTTAAATTTTCTTTCGTTAATAAATTATTTTTCCCTCTCTTTGATAATAAATTTTTTGTACTTGTCATATGAAAAATAAAAATAAATAGAAAAATTGAATAGAGACGAACAAACGAACAAAAACTTGTAATAAACATTATTGGTTTTTAAATTTAGGAAGAGGAAATTTTATTTTGAATTTAACATTTCCTCTAATTATCAATAATCGAGAATATTTTCTAAAAATTTTATAAAATTTTTTTAATAAAAAATATTTTTAGAAAAAATAAATTGTTTTTATTAAATAAATTACTCGCTTTTGGTAAATACTTAATGAAAAAGCCTTAATGAAAAAGAGACAAAACCGCAATAATAAAAATTTTGCAGCTGTCCTTTGTCGAGCCGCCCAATTTGATGGGTAATTCTCAATCACAAAAATAATAAATATATACATTTTTGCAATAGAACAAAGCACAAAAATTAATAAATAAAAATTTATTTGCCACACTATCAACATGATTAAATCAATTTTAAAATCATAAAATTTTCCACATAGTATATCAATGTTAGGATAAAGTAAATAATAGAAAATACTTTCCCTATTTCGAAAATTGTGACTTCCGATTTTGTTTAACTTTGTTATTTCGTTAAAATTCTTGAGTTGGAGCTTCTTCCAAACTCAAAAGTTATCTATTGGAGTGTGTTCATGTTATACAATCTATGAAGAGTTGCGTCGTAATCGAAAATTCTTTCGTAATTGTAATTTAACACAAAAAATGCCGTAATTCGTATTGTTATCTACTTTTCGATCTTCTTTTCGATTGCGATATTCTCTTTTACATCCTGATATTCGTTTTATAAGAATCATTTTTTATAATTTTGAGTATCCGGATTTTTGAAAAAAGGGATATTCTATCGTCATTTAACTCATTTTCTAATTCAAATTTAATTAAATTAAGGTATAAAATTACAAATTAAATTGACTTAATTGTTAAAAATGTCCGAATTTTCTACTAAATGTTTGAAAACAAGTGTTTCGATTGCGATTTTACGGACCAGGTAATTAAATATCATTAATATATTACTCACTGCACTCTAAACTAAATTATCAAGTTGAATATTATAAGAATATCTTGTTATCCAAAGTATAATGTAACAAGATAGGGAGGTGAATTTAAAGCAGATGTTAGTATTAGCGGGTTGTATTAACTAGCTAGACCGGTGTTCATTCAGGCTTATATTAATATAACCAGTCATTATATTGTTTTACCAAACTTAAAGGTATATATACCTTTTCCTTATAAGTGTTAAAAGTCATATCAAATTTAATCTAATTTATTAAATAATCTAACTTAATTTATTAAATAATTTCATTAAACTTTAAATTAGCTTTTTACAACATTGTTTCGCCTTGATTACAAATTATCGGCAGCTTTGGATGTCTCGGCTGGGCAAACAAATCTAGAGAGGCCTAATTTGCAGTTCATAAACAGTGTGCTGTTAGAAGCTGGTGCTGACATTATTGAAATAAAAAACGATATTATGAAAATAACGTTTTTTTGATAATCAAAAATAATTTTAATTAATTTTCGAATTTTACTAAAATAAAAACTATTGTTATATTTAAATTTTCGAATTTTACCCATATCCTTTCTGTTAATGTATTCCGGACCTGATTTCTGCTCTTGACTGAAATTCCCAACCCTAAATAGCTCAGTCCTTGATTGAAATTCCCAGTCCCAAATTAATTCAACTCCAGACTGAAATTTCCAGCTCTAAATACTTTATAGCCAGACTGTAATCATAAACAGTTCAGCCCCAGACAGAAATTCCCAGATTAATAAATTTCAACCTAATTTAAAATTCCCGCCAATTAGTGTTTTAAAGCTGACGTTTTGTGAGCTGGCATTTTGTCGTTTTGGCATTTTGAAATTTAGTATTCTGAAATAATTGGTTAATTCTCCTTACAGTTGACTTGCGTTATTTTTTGCAAATCATTTGTATTTTTTTGTAAAATTTTGTAAATTTTACTACTAACGTATTATTTTTAAATATGCCCACAAAAAAATAAACTGAGAAACTAAACATTAATCTTCATTTTCATTATTTAAAATTTTTAAATTTTTTTTCGCTAATATATTATTTTCCCTCTAATGCTTTTTTGTGGTTGTCACCGAAAAATAAAAATAAATAAGTGAATAAAGTGGAACCAACGAACAAAAACTAGTACATAGATTGTTGTTTTCTAAATTTAAGAAAAGGAAATTTTATTTTTAAATTAACATTTTCTCTATTAATTATTAAGAAATCGAGAATATTTTCTAAAATTTTATAAATTAAAAACAATTTTTTAATAGTAAAAATTTTTTCAACTGAAAATAAAACTGCCTTATTTAAAATTTCCAATTTGGAAATTTTCCGTTCAGCCCATATAAATAAAGTAAAATTTATAATAAAACAAAAACTCAGCCACAGGTCAGGAATTTAACCTTTTACCTCATCATTTAAGCTTGAGATAACAGAATCAAAAAATTTTAGAAAAAATCATTTAGGTTATTTAACGACTTACTCGTTTTTAAGAAAACCAGCTTAATACTAGAAATAAAAAACCGCAATAATAAAAATTGTGCAGCTGCACATTATTGAGCCGCCGAATACTCTTTAGTTAAAAGAAAAAAATATTAATAAAACAAAAAATTTTTTGTGATAGAACAAAGCACAACAAGAAATTAATAAAAAATACATTTGCCAAATCGAAAATCAACTTCAATCCCCATATTTTGACATATGTACATCGGTACGGCAGGAAGCTGCTGCTGAATCTCATATTTTCTATTTGTTTTCATCATTAGGCCGTAAATTGTTGACTTAAATTTACCGACACTTCTATGCCTCTACAATGGTTTTAAAAGTATGTGGGCAATTGTTTTTGAGTTGATTTTTTTCCTATTTTTTCAAATTTTAATTAGTTTCTTTAATTTTTGCTTTTTTCCTAAATTCTTTTTTTATATTTTTATTTCCACTTTCTTCTTAGTTAAATAAAACAGCTCATAAAAACAATTACCGTATTTTCTCGATTAATTCCCTTGGGGAATTATTATTTCAACCCAACTCTAGCATGGGGAATTAATCGAGAGAGGGAATCATTCGAGGGAGGGGAATTAATCGAGAAAATAAGGTAGATTATTACCAAAAAAACGTCTATATTTTAGTATCTCTCAGATTCTTTTTCATTCTTTTAAATAAACAAGGAAATAAATCTACTTTCATTGAAAAATTAACAATAAAAATTTTTTGAAAAAATATCTAAGAGATATATAGACTTGGTAAATAAAAATTTTATTTGAAAGAAAACAGCTGTGATGAAATAAGGAAGGTTTTTAAGTTTTTTATAAAATAGAATAATAAATTTTTTTAATAAAATTATAAAGAAAGAGAAGATAAAAATTTATAGAAAAATAAAACACTTCATTTATTTACTCTCAGAAAATAATTTTATTTGTTAAATATTAGAAATTTTGAAATATAATTTCCGATTAAATTTCGATTATTTTATTTACATACTTAATTCTATAAAAATTCTGTTTCACATAGACAATAAAATTCTGATTTTACTTTCAGAATATTTAATTATTGTGACTGTTTAATAAATTCTATTTCTAATTTTTGAAAATTCTGATTTTCATCATAATTCTAATTTTTCTGATAAATTAAATTTTCTTTCAATTTAACAAAATTTTGTTTTATTTTTTTCTTAAAATTAATAATTATAATTAATAGTAATATGTAATATTCTCCACAAAATTTTCTAAATAAAAAAATATTTCCCCAATTGCTCTCAAAAGGAAAACATGTTGTTTACTACGAAAAACAAAATAAATACTAGCCCACTAAAAACAATTTTACATGAGAATGATTCATCTTTACTAAAAAAATAAATTTATTTCCATCGTTACATTACCTAAATTTATTTATTTTTTACTTAATTTTCCTCCAATTTTTTAAGGAAAATTATTATTTAAATTTCCCATCCAATTATTGTTGTGTCTATTTTTTAAATTTTTTGATTTTTCTCATCATAGACATCAATTATTTCCTCAAAACTTTTTTTTGCCTTACTTCTTTGGCTCCTTTGACATATTTATTTTTTGATCATAAACTTTTAATAGAATCTCCCATCTTTTGTTTTTTGACCCATTTCCCATTTTGACCCATTTCCCAGCTTATATTACATAAAATAATTCCTTCAAATTGCTTATTTTTGTCTTCGGCATATTCAAAGCTTACTCCTCAAATTATACTTCCATAAATTCAATATACAGTACCATTCCAGACATGCTTAATGCTTCATATACATGCATATTTTTCATTCTCTAGTTATTTATTTTCCAAACTAAATATTTTTATATTTTTTAATATTTAATAATTTTTTATTTAGAAAAAAAATTTAGAAGAAATGTCAAAATCGGAAATGGCAATAATTAGAGCCCAAGCTGATTTTGCAATTAATTTACTTTCAAATGTTGTTTTTGAACAAAATAAACCTTTAGAATCCACAATACTTTCCCCTTTATCTTTATCTATGGCTTTGGCAATGGTTTATGTTGGGGCTGATGGTGAAACTAATAAGGAATTTGGAAAATTGTTGTCAGGAGGTGAGAATAAAAATTAATTAAAATAATTAGAGGTAAAGCAGCGACACGGCTCGGTCATAACAAGAGACTTATTCAAAGAGATATAAATCGGCATGTTAATGTTATGTAAATTAAGCAGATTTTGCAATTAATTTGCTTTCAAATTTTTTCTTTTGATTTTTGAGACATGTTTATTTTAGACCGATGCGTAGAATTTGATTCTTTCCTCGAATACACGAAACCAAACCGAAAATTTCTGATATTCTGTTTGAGTATTTTTGGTTCCAAACTGATAACCCTATTTTATGAATACAATGAGATCCAAATAAAAAATGTAGACGATCCTCCGCACCCAAAATAAATTTCAAAAACTATGAAAAAGTCCAATAAAATTTTATCTAATTTTCAAGGCTTAAAAGAAGAGGAAACCCATGCATATTTTGCAAAACAATTAAATTCTTATAATGACGATAAACCAAAAAATTATACTTTGGAATTGGCAAATAAAGTTTTTGTTCAAAAAGGATTTAATATTTTGGAAAAATTTAAAAATTATATTGATGAATATTATGGAGGGAAATTTGAGCTTTTAAATTTTGCGGAAAATGTTGAGGCTGCCAAAGTAATAAATTGATATAGGATTTAATATTTTAGTAGCTAAACACGTAGGAATTACTTTTGTCAGTAGTCAAAATTAAAGACCTGACCGAAACGAAATCTTGGTTATCGAGATCGAGAATTTTTCGAGATCTCGATTCTCGCACTATACTCGCAGTTCCTTCTCTAGTTAAAATAACAAGATTTTTAATGATATTTCAATACCAAGTCTTATTTAAATACAAAAATACCAAAGTCGATTCAACATAGGTTCCTTCCCCTGAAAAATACATATATTGGCATTAATGCACCTAAATATTTTGTCGTAAAACATCTAACGCAGATAACGCAAGATGCAATGCGCTCACCCCTTATCCTGATATATACATACTTTTTATATCAACCGAACATTCCAGTTCTGATCCAGATTTTTTTACAAAAACTTTTAAATATAATTTAAAATTTGCTTATACTTAATATTTTTTAAAGATAATTAATGAATTCGTGGAGAAAACAACACACGATAAAATTAAAAATTTGATCAGTCCAGATTCATTAACTACTGATACTCGGTAATATTTATGTCCCAATAATTAGAATTTTGTTAAATTTAAAGTCTTGTATTAGTCAATGCTGTCTATTTCAAAGGAAAATGGAGTTGCCCCTTTGATTCTGAATTAACTCAGAAAAAAACTTTTTATATTACTGAAGGGAAAAATAAAGAGGTTAATTGGATTATTAAAAATTAGAAAATTGAAAAAAATTTAAAGGTTAATATGATGAAAAAGACAAGCAGTTTTGTTTATTTTGAAACTGAGGAGGTAAATATTAAATATAAAAATTATAGTTTAAATTAGACCTACCTAATAATAATTCCGTTTTTACCCCCAATGAGATAATAAACGAAATCATTGAAAGCAATCTTTACACAACTTTCTATTATTCCACTTTTTAAACAAGACTCCGAGGTATATATATTTAGTCTTTATCAAAACTTTGGTATATGCTATTACTTAGCTTTATTGTTAATAATCTAATAATAGATTAAATCCATGCCCATTAAATTTTCATATTGGACATGGGGAGATTGAGAGTTTAGGTAATGTAAAGAACTAATCTTACTCCGATATTTAAAATCCTTGTATTTATCTCTAATTATTTCCTTTTTCTAAATTTAATATTTTTAGCTGCAAATGCTAAAAATGTTTTATTCTTCTGGAAGTTCTGAAGACGATGAAGATATTTATATGGTTGTATTCTTGCCAAAAGAACGCTTTGGTTTACAAAAATTGATCAAAAATCTGGATGGAGAAAAGATTCTAAAATTGCTTGAACGTGGATATAAAACTAAAGTGGATGTAGGTGTTTGGAAAAATTATTTGATGCTTGAAGATACCTTTCATGCCCAAGAAAAATACGGTTATTGGTCTTTGGATATGAGTTATTCTTCCCTACTTATCGTTAGAATTATGTTTAGTAAAATTCTTACACATTCAAATATACCAAAATCTTCTTAAAATGCTTATACCTTCTCGAAGTATAATGTTTGGACTCATAAGACCGACCTATGACCATCTAATCATCTCTCCTACATTAATATTAATTCCCAGGTTTTGTTTCCTAAATTCAAACTTGAATCTACCCACGATTTAAAAGATGTACTCATCAAATTAGGCCTTAAATCGGCCTTTGATAAAGCCAATTTCTCCAAAATCTCCAAAGAACAACCTTTAAAAATTGACAAAGTTGTCCAGAAAGCTTTTATTGAGGTGGGGAAAATTTTTGAAAAATTTTTTTTTAATTTTTGTTGTGTGCTTTTTTGTGTGGCTTAACATTATTTGCTTCATTTTTATTTATTTTTTACCTTCCAATATTAAATTTCTCTATTTTCCGGTCACTTATTTAAACAGGTAAATGAAGAAGGGACTGAAGCAGCTGCAGCTACCGCTATAATTATTGAAACACGTAGCATGATTATACCAACTAAAACACCTCAATTCAATGCTGATCAACCTTTTTACTACGCAATAATGAATAAAAATAAAGATGATGGACAGGAATTTTTGTTTGCTGGAGTATTTTATGGATAAATGAGAGAAAGAGAGAGAGTAAGGGGAGAAACAAGGAAGTAAAATAATAAATGGAATTTTTAAAAGTGACCGGAAAATATATAATTTAAATACGGAAATTTTTGTTTTTATTGTGTTTGTTTCCGGAAAATATTAAGAAAAAATGTTTGTTCCTGAAATGTTGTTACAGTAAATTGTAAATTTGTTGTTTTTGTGGAGTTTGTTACTGTAAATTATGTTGTCTAAATATTTGTTTAAAAAATTGTTTCCGTCTAATCATTCTTTTAAATGTTTGAAAATTGTGTTTAATTAAATATTTGTTCAGGTTCATTTTATTAAAGTTATTTCCGAAAAGTTTGTTTTGTTTGTTAATGTTTTGACTATATTTTGTGCCCATAGTAGTAGTTTCGGAATGTATTTTTGAGAATTGTAATGTTTAGTTATTGAAAAATATCCAACTTCTAGTAAATTGCACTTTTTCTTCTCAAAATAAAACATTTAAAATAAACAGTTGAATGAAAAAGGTACAAAGGCGGCAGCGGCAACTTTTGCCGAATTAAACTAGGTATATTAGAGGAACGAATTAAGAACCACCACCACCTCCAAAATTTGTTGCAAATCATCCTTTTTTTTTATAATTAACAACGTTTTTTGGTTGTTTAGAATGTTTTTAAATTTTCCGGTCCATTCCGGAATTTGTTTTTAAAATTTTGGAGTGTTTGTTTAAAAGGTCGCTTTGGGATTTGTTCCTAAACATAATCTAAATGGTTAATCTTTTGTTGGATTTTTTATGTAATGTAATTCTGAAAGTTTTTTAATGTTTGAATATTTTTGGAAATGACTTTCGGTATATTAAATTATAGAAAAGTTTCAATGTTCCCAGCAATATTTGTTTCTATGAAATGTTACCCATCAAATCTTTTCAAAATTAATTCATTTAATCTGTTAATAGTTGAATGAGGAAGGTACTGAAGCAACTGTGGCTACAGCTTTAATAGTGCAATATCTTCGCCTACAACTACGGCCTAAACCTCAATTTTTTGCTGACCATCCTTTTACCTTTATGCTTGTGAAGGAAAATGAAATTCTCTTTTGTGGAATATTTCAAGCATAAATTGCTAACTAATTTGGAAGAAAACTTTTTTGAGAGTTAATTCTTATTTGTTATGGATTGAATTTTAGTAAATTTGAATAAAATAAGTGACTGATCTACTAGCTTAGTTTTTCGTTAATTTGTGCCTAAATATCATTGAGGGAAAATTTTCTTAGATTTTCTGGAATGCATGCTATATTGCGTTTACTTCCGTAATTAATGTTTTACGGATATTTTCTGTTTTATAAATGCTTTAATTGTTGCTTAAAGTTATGTTATTGTCTCTAAGCTTCTAAATTTATGGTGTTAGCATATTTAAAATTTTATTATGTTAACAGTTGAATGAGGAGGGTACTGAAGCAGCTGCGGCTACAGGCATGATAATAGTTCCTCTTAGTCTTCCACCGCCTCCACCAAAATTTTTTGCTGACCATCCTTTTACCTTTATGCTTGTGAAGGAAAATGAAATTCTTTTTTGTGGAATATTTCAAGGATAGGTTTAAATAAAGGAAGATAATAATGAAAAATTAAATTTATTGTAAAATGTTTTTATAATAAAAAATCAGTTTGTTTTTCAAAACTTTCAAAATCTACTAAATACAGAGATAATAAAAAAATTAAGCTTTTACTTTGTAAATACTTTTTGTGGTTAATGCTAGTTTTTCCAAATAACTCAAAACATAAAAATTATTTCCGGAGAATGTTATCTGAATAAATGAGAATGTATAATATGTATTTTGTTTAGAATGTTTTTACTCTTCAGAAAGTTATGTTTGGATAGTTTCTTTGTTTGCTTTTCTGTCTCTATAAATATTTTAAAAAGTTTTTGGGAATATTTGTAGTTAATTGTTTATTTAATGTTTAGATGCCTTAATTAAAGTTAATGTCCGAATCTGTTGAGTGTTTGTTTTAAGTCTTATTTCTCTTTATTAATATGAAAAATCAAATAATTCAGAATGTTTTAATTTTCTAAAAAACATTTGCTAAAAACAGTTGAATGAGGAAGGTACAGAGGCAGCTGCAGCCACAGCTATTGTTGCAGTCCCTGTAAGTTTAATTATTCGATCTCCGCCAATTCCAAAGTTTGTTGCTGATCACTCTTTCGCTTTTATGCTTGTGAACAAAGGAAGTGAAGTTATCTTTTGTGGAATATTTATTGGATAGTTGATAAGAATGAATGAAAATTTTTTAAAAGAATGTAATTTAATATGTAAAAATAATAAATTTTTAGCGGAAATAATTTCTAAAAATAATTTTATTTTAAATATTTTTTAATCTCTTCTACATATAAATACTCTTTAAATAAATAAATAATTTATTCAAAAACAATTCAATCATGTTTGTTCTTGTTTACTTGAATGTTTGTGTTGTGTATGGGCGTTAGCCCTTAAAGTGTTTACTATAAAAGCCAGTAAAATCGTCAGTTTAGTCGGATCATACTAGCAGGGCTAGTCACTGATCTCCTTCGTCTGTCCCATTCCCTTCGCCTACACATTGTACATTTCTGCATGTGATAAATTGTTATTGTTGTGCTCGTCGACATTAGTTAAATCTCGGACACCTCGGGTCGTAACAGTTTGAATGTCTAAAATAATGCGTGAATGTTTACTAGAATGTTCTTCATGTTACAAGTTGTTTGAATATTTGCTTTTGTTAATGAACATTTATATATTATTGACCACTTATTCTGTATATTTTTTTGATCGCGCGTCAAACATGACGTAATAAATTAAATTAAAAAAATTTAAAAAATTGATAAATGTTTAAATGTGTTAAATGTATTCTTGTGTATTTTCGGAAATAATTGTAAAATATTTAAATTTGATATTTCAATTAAATTAATAAAATATTTGCTATAAACAGCTAAATGAAGAAGGTACAGAGGCCGCTGCAGCTACAGATGTTATTATAAGTATTTTCAGACCAGGTGTGCCCCCTCCTCCGCCTCCAAAATTTATTGCTGATAATCCTTTCACCTTTATGTTAGTCAAGAAAAATGAATTTCTTTTTTGTGGAATATTTAACGGTTGAGATAAATTGGACTAATAAACTTTTACTTAAATTTACTAAAATAATATAAATTTTTTATGGCTAATAATTAATTATTAAATTATATAATATGTTGTTTTTTGCGCCTATCTTTTGTGCTTTATTGCTAATTACAAACTTATTTTTAAAGAAAATTAAAATATAGCTTCACTAATTTCTTTGCTCGTTTTTAGTTTTAAAATTAATATCCAAACTTTTGACTTAACTCGCGCCATTAAGGCTTAAATAAATAAATTAAATTAAATATAAAATTAATTAGTTAAACGAAGAAGGAACTGAAGCGGCTGCAGCCACAGGGTTGGAAATAATGCCTACTAGTTGGACCTCTACACCTAAATTTTCTGCTAATCATCCTTTTCTTTATGCTTGTTAACAATGACAATGAAATTATCTTTTGTGGGATATTTCAAGGATAGATTTTAATTTAAAGACGAAAGAGTTTTGTAGATGCATTTTTATGGATAAATTTTAGTTTTCTACGAAAAGTTTTATTCCGAAATGTTTAGTTTCAAATACTTGTGTTTTAAATCAGTCATGTTAATAAATGTATTTTTGATGGAAATCCAAAAAAGAAAGTCCAAATAATATTATTCCTTCTGTAAATGTGTATAGTTTTCAGAATGTTTAGTTTCCAACTGTTTTGTTGTTATTTTGAAATGTGTTCTAAATTTGTTTCTTACGATTTAATTTGTATTTTTAGAATAAAATACTAAACAAAATACTTACAATTTGTTTTCTTAAGTTTATTATCGTATTGTTTGTTATCTTTTATGTTTGCTTAAATAGTTTACCAAAAGCTTAAAAAGTTCCATTAAAATAATAGGCACAAAAAATTAACGGAATAATTAATTAGGTCAATGAAGAAGGTACAGAAGCAGCTGCAGCTACAGCAATTGTTGCAACGTTTAGAAGTTTACCGCCACCAACTCCTAAATTTACTGCTGAACATCCTTTCGTTTTTATGCTTGCCAACAAAGGAAATATATTGTTTAGCGGGATATTTCAAGGATAAATATATATTTCAAAGGAATTCGTAGAATAATTTCATTGAAAATAACCTAATAAAAATTAGAATTTTCGATTTGAAATATTGTACTGTCAGTTTATATAATCCTAACCATGAAGCATCAAGTTTAAAATGTTAAAAATATTCGATCTATAATTTTTATGGTTTTTTGTGAAAAGTTTAAGGAAATGTTTGCATTCGAAGGTTGAATGTTCATGAATAGAGTATTTTAGTGCATTTTTGATGTTTTTTTACATTCAGAAATTATTTTTTTCTATTATAATTTTATGTTTATGAAATGATTGAGCTTGATCTGATTGATTTGTTTGTTTAATTTATTGCAGAAAGCATTAGAAATATGAATTTAATTAAAATTTAAATGAACAGGTAAATGAAGAAGGTACAGAAGCAGCTGCAGCTACAGGGATAGTTATGACAAAAAAGAGTTCATCAACTCCTAAACCAAAATTTATTGCTGACCAGCCATTTATTTTGTGTATCAACAAAGGAAGCGAATTAATTTTTATAGGAATTTTTTCTGGATAAAGGGAAAAATAAAAAGAATTTTTATTGGATATTTATTTCAATGGATAAAAATTAATTAAAAAAATTATTTAAATAATTAAAATTATTTTTCAATAAATTATTAAAATTAATTTTTTCCGAAAATTTGATGTGAGAAATTTTATAATAAAATCCGACTAATTTTAACTTTTTTAAATTAATGTTTGTCAAAATTTTTAAATATGTATCACCTATAATTTAAGGGTTTTAATCTAGTATATTTTGCCTAGACTTTTATCTTAATGAACAAGTATGTAAAATAGTACTCTATAATTTTGAAACAGAGTGTATATTTATTATTTAGCGCAATACTAAATGAAAATAAATATATAATAAATACATATTTCAAAGAATATTTTTTTGTTTATAAAAAATGTTTTATTTATAATATTTATGGATATGTTTCTGATCGAATTTTTTGATCAAATGTTGTTTTTAGTTCTTAACAAAAGTATTTTAATTGCTAGATACCTTTTTAATTGAAAAAATATTTCTGGTTTTTAAAATCCCTGGGGTTTTCATTAACTTTTTCTAAACACAAAAGTAAAATTAATAGGCCAGATGTTAGTTTCGCTAAAAAGTTGCACTTTTTGTCTATTTATTATTTAATTTTTTACACTTTTCTTCTAGTATGTATTATTATAATTTATTATTTAAAAAATATAAGTATTAATTTACATTTAAAATTGTCGGTTAATTAAATTTCTTAGAATTATTACTTTATTTTAATGTAAACACAACAATTAACCTTACGTTATTAATTTAATTTAGACAGGTGAATTATATCTAATTATTTAACGACACATTTCTAATAAAATAAATTAGTGTTAAGAGTTTTTTTGTTTATATAAAGTTGGGCAGTACGTAATTTAAAAGCTATTAACAGATACAATTAAAAGATATAAAGGAAACAATCCTAGTTCAACATAAGAAAAAAATGGAATTATACTTATTTTATCAAAATGAATATGAGCGTCTTTACAATTGTAGTATTTATAATATTGACCAAATTCCCCTGGAAAAACGTCAACATAAAATACTTGGAATTTTCCTTATTATTTTGTCTACAATATATGTAGTAAGCAAATAATTAAAGTAGGGTAGCAACGCGACCGCCGAAACCCCCGACCCCGATAGATTTTTTGGCAAAAACCCCGACCCGAACCCCGACATGCCATCCCCGGCACACTCCGATCCCCGACACACCCGCCCCCGAAGAGTCGGGTTGCTACCCTTAATTGAAGTAATAATATATAGGTAACATGAAGAAATAATTGAAGAAATAAATTTAGGGAATAGATAGATCAGAATAAATCTTATAAATATAGACTAACGAAACAAGTTTTGATTTAAGAAAACTTAAACTGAGATAGAAAAGTATTAATTAGATAAAGTCGGACATACTTAGCCTTAAGTTTCTGGTTTCAAGAACAAGTGTAATATCTAGGCAAACTAAGTTACAACAGTATTTCAACTATAGTTTGTTTACAATAAATTGGGGTTCAAATACTTATTAAATAGATTCTCTATATTCCTTGTATGTATTCGATTTGGAAGCGAATGGCAAACAGTAATTGTTATAAAATCATGTTCGTTATTGGAGTTGTCGATATGCTAGCAATATTATGTTGTGGATATTTAACTGGATATTTGGGATATAGTAAAATGTATTCCTTGTGGGGGTGGTTTTACCTACTGTTATTCCTATAATTATTTGTGCGCCGAAGCGGCTAAACCCTTTCCAGATGTTAAGGGATAACGTAACGGGGAGGTTGTGATCGGGACGTTCCTAGAAGACCCTCGGGGTTGATCAAGTCCCTTGGTTTCTTCCCAACACCGAAAACACCGAAGTATTAAAAGCTTTTATTTACGAACTAAGAAAATGCGAAACAATAATATAAGTTAGCTAAAACATCATAAAACAATAATTAATCATAAAGCTAACAACTGAACCACTTGTAAAAGAAAACAAAAGAATTAAATAGTTGTAAAGTAGGAGGGATAAAATTGTTTGTCACATAAGAAATTATTGGAAATAATAGTGGACTTTGATATGCTTTATACCTCCCTTATCCGACAAGATCGTCCCTGATCTTAACAAAAAAAAATTGTTAGACTTTAAGAAACACTGGTTATTATCTATAGCTACTGTTTGAGGGAATGCACATAATTTATCTTAGTTTGTTGATGCGCTCCTGAATGAGCAATATTTTATCTATAGAGCTAAATGTGCGTCATACGACAGCACTCCGAAGATGAGTTTTATCTATCCTTGTGAATATTATTTATGGCATTCCCCTTTTTATTATTTAATATTTTTATTACCAGTGTTTCTTTAAAAATTATAAAAATAAATGTTTTCTTTTTGACTATATCTTTTTGACAAAATTGGGATTTAAAGCATATCTAGATTGGAAGAAAAATATCGTTTTGAAAAAAATGTATGGCTATTATGTGAATTAATTTTGGAATATTTAAAATAACAATGTAATGTATAATTGAAATTTGTATATGAAGTATTTGTAATTTAAGTGAAAATTTAAAGAAAAATTAATAAATTCAATGATTGAAATAAAATATTGACAATATTGAATTTGTGAATTTACAAAATTTGTAATTGTATGAGTTAATTTAAAAAAAAAACTTATTTTTCTTAAAAAAATTATAATAGTGAAATAACCTAAGTTAATACATTTCTTATTGAGTGGATAATAAAAAATCTTTTAGTAATAGAATAATTACAAAAAAATTGTGTTTTTTTTTTGTGAGGAAGAAGAAAAAAAATGTTTTTGTAAAACAATTTGAAAAAAAAATATTCTATATTTTTGAAACAATCAAATTAATGTTAAAGTAAAAAAAATTGATTTAAGTATAAAACAAATTTGTTTAAAGGCAAAAATAATGAGTTTAAGACACACATTTTTTTTAATTAAGGAAATAAAGAGAGAAAAATAGTTTTACTGGCTACAAAAAAATTTTTTCAAATAAATTTCTTAAAAAAAATGCATTATTTAAATTACGTATTTTGAGATAATAATTAGATCAAGAGAATTATTCATAAAAATTTAATGGGAGAGAACAAATTGTGATTAAAAAATAAAACAGAACAAACAAAAAAATAAATTCCAGCCATTTGTTCCATTGATTTGCAACATTAGTTGAGGGAGCCATGGGCTTTAAATAGAAAAATTTGTGTTTAGAAAAAAAAAAATTTTTTTTTAATAGAATTAAATTGGCTTTCCTCTACCACCACGCCATGAATTGCAGTCTTTTGAAATATGCCCATATTGACCACAGTTGTAACAGTTTTTTGATTCTGATCGGGAAAAGGTTTTTCCAGTGAACATTTTCCAATTGCTGCTCGCGAACGGACGTTTCCTTAAATTGAAATTGTTAGTATTTGTATTTTCAAAATTTTTATTTTTATTTACAAACCATTCTTCTTGGTACCTGTTACCACTGCTTGTTCCTTGAGCATAATTTCTCCACGAGTCATTGGATCGATCCTGAAAATTATAATTTTCAACATTTTGACGTACGTTTTGACCCTCCACAAAGAGAATTTGACCAAATCTGTCTCTTTTAACTCGATCTGACTGTAAAATATTTAAATAATTAGTTCCTACCACTGATGTGAATTCTGTAGCCTTCTCAATAAACCTAGACCAAACTCTTCCAGTTTTAAGCAACTCAATATCTCCTACTAGAAAGAGACCATGTTTGCTTCGACTTAACGCTACAGTACTACGGTTTTCATCAGAGAAAAATTCCGAGGAGTCCGTTGAGTTACTATCGTTACTATGAGAACGAGTAGTTACGAGTACAATAAGATCCGCTTCCATTGATTGATAACCATCTACCGACACAGTGAGTACATTATATCCAAGTTTTTCAAATTCGATTTGTAAGCATTCTTTTTGAAAAAGATAAAGACAAATCACCACAACATTTACTTCAGGCGAAATGTATTCATATAAAGACGAGATGAGTGTGACAACCGAAGTCGTATGTAAATCATTTGTAAGCCTATGAGAAACTACATCTTGGCGACACGAACCAACGACATTGAGTAGCACTATTGGACAACTTTGTATAGGCAGTGGAAACCGAGAATTCGTCAACAACGCTCTTCATCTGCAGAACGTCCAGGCTCTAATGGTTCATTATGTATTTCATAAGCAGCATACGACACACACAACACTAGTAAAGGATGCATGCGGTAACAGACAGAAAGACGAGTTTGGTGGACTGACGGTGAGATGAGTAACTGTGGAACAATCGAGTCAAGACCAAACCCATCATGAAGCGATTTAGGTAAATCTTGCAGATGAGTCCCAATTTGAAATTTATCGCCAGTTATGAGAATCTTTTCCAAATTCGGTAATCTGGCAACAAGATTTGTTATTTCAGCGAAGCTCGTTTGGGTTGCTTCATCTACAATGAGGACTGTTGTGTCAAGCAAAGAAGAGTAGACCATATTTTCGGCCATTGCTGCTGTTGAAAAGACTATCTTCAGATTTACAATTTCAGAAAGCATCGAGCCCATTTTCACTTCACTTGTCAAACGAGGACGCGTTTCAAAGTTTTCGCAGTATTCTTTCACATCCTGTTTTGCATTATTATCGAACTTTTCACTAATTTCCTCCAATTTTAGTTTGGTAATAAGCATGTGACGTCTCAGCTCATTTATCATTTCTTTGTAACGATCCTTGGGAAAACCTGAGAAAAATGTTATTGCCTTCGACTCTTCCATTTCTTCCGGAGATAATACATTCTCCAGTTCTTTTGCGAGTTTGGCTAAAGGCAAATTAGCAGATGTAATAATAGCAATTTTAGCATTGGTGAGACTATGGAGAAGAATAGCTGTAACAACTGCTGCACAGAAGGTTTTTCCTACTCCGGGAGGTGCTTGCTGGTAAACCAGCTTGCACCCCCCAGAGAGCAAACTGTTAACCGTTTCTTTTTGCCTTTCATTTAATAATCTCATTAAAGGGTGTGGATTTAGAGGCTCGTGGACATCTTCCAAATCTACTATTTCAACTTCACGTGCCAAAAGAGCTTTCATTAATTGACCCTGCTTAGTGTCTAATTCCGATAAACGAGACGGCATATTCGCTGAAAAACAAGTTCTACGACTTTCAATACCCTTTATAATGATTGGATGTACAACAAGCAAACCACCATCTTGCGCATTCAAAAATTCTTCCTCAGTATCATGATTTCTACGTTCTTGAACATTCAGAACTCTTATCACTACACTAAAATTAAATTTGAGATTCCCGAAGGACCTGACATTTTCCGTTTCAATTTTCTTGACTACTCCAAGACCAAAATGAGAGTGTTGCATGCTGGACTTGAGTTCAACTTGATCATCAACTGCCCAAACACTTTTCAAATTTTTAACTTTCATAGAGTCAATTTCAGAGAACTTCAAGTAGAATTGTTTGTCCCAATATAATGCCGCACCTTCGAATCGATTTTCAATAATTTTCTTTCTTTCATCTTCGAACGAATATGCAATTGCGGCACTGATTATGCTTTCACAAAGTTCGACTTCATCAATAGACATTTGCGGGACTAACGGATAGAAGACATTTTTACCCTCGCGCTTGTAATGCCACGGTGAGTGAGAACGTACGGTTCCGAGAACACCTAGATCATCTCTTATCATTTCCTCAGAGCCCATTTTGAACTCTGATTGTGGCGGAAGAAGGTAAGCCTCATCAACTAAACATTGTTCAGGAATTTCAGCCACAGAAACCGTCACGAGCTGTCCAATTTCTAGTTCATCCAAGTCCAAATCTACCAACTGTCTCCTATAGCATTTAGAACAGACTTGTAAACCCGCCGAAATGACTAAACAACACAACAAGCTGTTATATTTCCCACCCCGCTTCAGACTTATTACAACACCAGGAAAGTCTCTTCTGTTCGCATGATGAATGAATTCAATCTCTTTAATTATTGCCTGAGGATTAATTCGACCAACATTCCAATTTTTTCTGTTCTGACTGACTTCAAACTCATTTCGAGCCAAAGTTTCGTAGCCAATTCTCCATTGAAATTAGAAAAAGATTTTAATTATTTTATATTTTTTTTTGTATATATTTTAATTAATTTTTATTTTATTCTTACTCACGTAAGATTCTATCTCTAATAGTCATGAGGATTCTACCAAGTACATTCAAACCCCTCCACTTTTTCTTGTCAATTATGTCTTTAGAATCTATTTCCAGCCCGCAAGCCCAATACTGATCACTTCTACAGGCTTCCACCAAGAGTATACCACGTGTTGACAACAGAATTCTTTTTAACTCCGGATTTTGATTATATTTGTACCAATTTGCTATCGACATTACTAAAACACAAATTCTGCGCCACTCTTTAGTATTATGTCCGGGTAAATTCGATCCTAATTTTTTGACCATCGCTGCCGATTTGAGATTAAGAATTTGCTCTGCTATTTCATAGTTGTTTGACAATAGAGCCTTATAATACATATAGTAGCCTTCTGATGAATGGAATGTAACTCCATCAACAACAAAAATACAATTGAAATGGTTGCTAAACACAAATCTCTTTGTAAAAAAGGAAGTATCTCTTGTCCATCATTAGAACGTATTGTTTTCATTCTTAAAAGGAACGGCTAAAATCGACAAGAAAGAAAAAAAATGGATTATATTTTTTTTAACAAAATTATTCGAGAAAGAAAAATTTTTTTTGTATTAGTGGGTACAACCGAAGTCAGTTCAAGTACTCGTTTTTCTACTGCAGATGGTGAATTCAGATTATATCCACAAGACACACAAAGAGTGAAATTACTTTTAATTATAAATTTTTAATTCAGAACCAAAGGCAGTTTAGTAAAAAAAATATATTGAAATCGCCGAAGCTCAAAAGAAGTGGACTTTTTTCTTGGGATTTCTCCTTAGATTATATCCTCCTTTGTTTTGATGACTCGGTTCTTCATCTTCGTTAGGTACTTGTGGGGAATCTACAACTATTTCTTTATTCAGATGAGAGTACCCGGGAACATCAATCAACTCTTCTGCATTGGATTCATCGAGAGCTGCTTCTTCTTCTGGTTCCAAGACGACAGTGGTACACGCCGGTTCAGATGGTAATGGTTCCACACATTTTTTCAGCTTATTTATGTGGACTATTCGAGGATTAGCTTGAGGAGATTTACAGCTCGTTATTGTTACATGAACTCCGTCTATGTGTATTACCCTAAATACCCCTTTCCAAGGCAGATGGAATTTCTTCGATGTGTTAACTTTCCCCGTATAATTTCTAAGAAGAACTCTGTCACCTACAGTGATCGTGGGATTTCTAAGTAGCCTATCATAGTAAGCTTTAGCTCTTAATTGAGCCTCAGCATTAGCCTCAGCCGCGCATTTCCAAGCACTTCTTAGAGATACAATTAATTTTTGTTTAACTTCTTGTTCATCATTTAGCGCTATCGGTTCCCTAACTTTAGGATCTAATATTAAATCTACACAGAAAATGGGATCTCGACCAAACATAAGAAAGAACGGGGTCTCATTAGTCGATTGATGCACCGAAGTGTTATAACAGAAATTAGCAAATTCTAAATGATCATCAAAATCTGGTTGATCTCTGGAAATATACTTAGCTAAAATGTTATGGAACGTGCGAAATGATCGTTCAGTCACAGCATTTCCTTGACTCCAGTGTGGGATGGCATATGTTTTATTTATATATAACATAGCGCATAAACTTTTAAAGAAATCAGAGGTGAAAGCCGTAGCGTTATCAGTGATAAGCTCGGTACAACCTCCAAACTTTAAATAGCAATTTTTGAGGAACGCCGAAGCTATAGTTGAAGCTTTCGCATCAGGAATTGGAACCGAGATTACAAATTTAGTAAACCAACAGACAATATTCAAAATGTGTCTATTGCCTGATTCAGTTCTTGGAAATGGACCTGCCAAATCTAAACCAACTTCAGCAAAGAGTGTGTTCACCGGCGGTGTACACATTTCAGCCCTATAAGCTGGGTTCGGTGAATGTCTAAGTTGACAAGTAATGCATTGTTTATGCCAAACAACGATGTCAGAATGCATCCTTGGCCAAAAATATTTTTTACATTTATTCAGAGTTTTTCTAAAGTCCATGTGACCCCCTCCCAATTTGGTCGTATGAAAGGAATCAAAAATTAATGCTCTAAGTGAGACAGGAATATAAATTCTTGGTTTATTGTCTTTGTGATGTAAATAAAGAACATCCGATTCCACGCAAAGATCCTTAGCTAAATGTGCCAAGTTATCTTTTTCACTTTCAGGAAGTTCCTCAGGGAATTTCCCAGTTTTAAGAAATTCAATTAGCATAGATGCTTCAGGATCCTCATTCTGTTCATCTCTTATGTCTACTTGGAGTATTTCACCTTCCATTGACCTAAGTGAGAGAGTTAAACCGAAGTTTTCATGCACAACGCGAGGTCTCTGTTCAATTGCCAAGCAAACAGGGAATTCCGCAATATCTTCAAGTTCTTTAATTTTATCCACCTCTTCAGGTGACAAATCTTCATGAGAGAACCTAGAAAGCGCGTCAGCTAGCGTGTTCTGTTTACCGCTTATGTGAACAATCTTAATGTTATAATTTTGCAACTCAACTAGCCATCTCGCAAGATGTTGATGCGTTTCTGATTTTCTTAATAAGTACGCTAACGGCTTATGATCAGTATGCAGTTCAACACTAGACATAAAAATAAAAGGTTTGAACTGCCGAAGCGAGTAAATTATAGCACCTAGTTCTACTTGTACAGGCGGCCACTTTCGTTCCGCATTAGACAAAGTTCTACTACAATAACTTATAACACTATAAACCCTTTTATCTTCATCCCATTGCATTAGTGCTCCCCCTTGTCCAACTTGCGATGCATCGCAGAAGATGTGGAAAGGTTTGGTGTAATCGGGAAAAATAAGTACGGGTTTTTCTGATAAAATTTTCTTTATTCGATCAAACGCTTCTTGCTGCTCTTCACCCCAAACAAAAGGTTTTTCTTTTCTGGTTAATCTCGTTAACGGCTCCACTATTGTGGAAAAATTTGGTACGTGCTTCCTAAAAAAATTAGCCATACCAATTACATGTCTTACTTCTTTAACCGAAGTTGGATTTTTTAAATTTAAAATTGTTTCAGTTTTCCTTAAACTTGGACTATAACCAGATTTGTTAACTATAAACCCTAAAAATTCCATATGATCAGAAGCAAAAGTACATTTTTTAGGACTTAACTTTAAATTAAAGCGCCTAAATCTTTCAAAAACACTTCTGAGAGAATTAATATGTTCGTCAAAATTTTCAGATTTGGTAAATAATAAAATATCATCTACATAAGCTATAACATTTTCTAAACTTGTCAGTACATGTGCCATAATCCTAGCAAACGCACTTGTAGCATTTTTCAGACCAAATGGCAAGTTAACCATTTGATATATTTTGTCCTCGGTAATCACCCCACACTTCCTAGAAGCTCGTTCACTTAATTTAATTTGCAGGTAACCACTAGCTAAGTCCAGAGACGTGTAGTATCTACAGTTTCCTACCTTTTCTAGAATTGTTTCAAGTCTGGGTAACGGAAAATGATCTGGTACCGTTACTTCATTTAACTTTCTAAAATCTATGCATGGCCGAAGCCCTCCATCCTTTTTCTGTACTAACACGATATTCGAAACCCATGGCGTGTCTGACTCAATCATGACCCCCGACGCCAGAAGCTGGTCGATGTGTTTTTGTAATTCATCTCGGTATTTAAACGGAACTCTGTGAGGTCTGGACGCTACAGGATCTTCAGACGTAGTAATAATGTCATGTTCGCCAGCCGTGCAACTTCCTATATCATACTGACTTTTGCTGAATATATCTTCAAATTCATTACAGAGGTCTTTTAACCTTTTGAGATCCTCTCCTACTACCGAGGTTTTTTCAAAATCAATTTTATAAGTTGGATCAACAATTATTCCTGCTTTCCCTAAGGAGTTCATTTCTTCTGAATTTTCATTTAATTTTATTTCTGATAAAATATTTTCTGAATCAGTTTTTAGTACTTCACTTGCTATGGCTATACAAGTATCTTTATAAATTCTTTTTACTATTCCCGTGGGGTTAGACAAAATAATTCTTATAGAATCCGTGGGCCTTGTCACCAATGGCACTAGACTTAAACCTTGTTCAGCCAACCTATTTTCTATCGCATGAATATAAATATCATGCCTCAGAAGTTCAGAAAAATCAGCCCTAGCTTTCATTACACTCTGTTCGTTTGGTCCTATTTCACTAGTCTATAAAGCATAAACTTTGAAATTTCTTAGCGGCCTATTTAATCTATTATCTATTTCCAAAAGACATCCTTCAATACGCAGATTTTTATTTTTAAAATCAATTAAGATCGGTGGTAGAAGGACCATCGCATCACAACCCAGCATAAAATGATAGTCATGGTTGTCCCAATGAAATTTGTCATTGAATAAATGAATAGTTATTTCCGCACAAATATTTGCAATTTTTAAATTAACCGAAGTTGCTTGCCTGGCACACATAGAATGCTCTGAGGCACTCTGTAGATATGTTTCAGTTTTGAAAATTTTTGTTCCTAACCACTCCGCTAGTCCTATATTTGCCACCGAAGTAATTGCACCAGTATCAACCAAACATTTAAGTGGGACTCCTTCTAGAGTTACACTAACAATAACATTGTTAGAATTAGATCCTAAAGCTCCTATGAAATTTCTGTTTATTCTATTGATGGATCTAGGCAAAGTACCCGACTCAGCTAAAGGTGAACCTCCTATTCTCCTGACAGTAGGTGGCCATGAGATCGACAATGGACGAGGTCTATTGACTGGTTCCTCATAAGTTTCATCAATTTCAATACTTTGCTCTGGTACTCTTCGAATGTCACGTATATCAAGTACCCTTTTTGGGACTTCCTTAACCTTAGAACCAAATATTAACTTCCCTAGTCGGCCATTCCCAGCATACATTTCAAGTAGAATTAAACCTAGCCTTATTGTGAAATCGATAGCCAGAATCCCTATAATTACGTTAAGTATCGTGGACCAGATACTCTTGTAGTCGCCGATTGCTCCTTTAACTATTTGATTTTCTACCTCTTTCCATTCATCAGAAACCGAAGTTAGTACTACTGAATCTTCTTCATTAATTTGGTAAGTCATTTCGCTAATCCTAACCATATTTGAAACAAAAGAATGTTCTTTGACATCAGTCATATTTAAAAGAACTAATTGATGAAATGCATGGGACTCGATTTTAGGAATTAAACCAGTCCAATTTAATTTTAATTTCTCAACATTTATTTCATTTGGTTTAACCGAGGTTATTTTTCCTTCAATTTGATCAACTTCTAAAATTTGATCATTAACTTGAATTACTAATTTCCTGAATTCTTCACACGGACCTATTTTAGCAGAGGCAGAGACAATCATTGTCGAGGGATCGAGGAAAGCTAGATGTTCCTTACTTTCAGTTTTTAACATTATAGGTAAAAATTCAAAGCATCGATCTAATTTAGTCGGACGAAATTCATAATCATGCCTTTCTAAAGGCACACAAGGCCAAACTTTCATGAGTGACCTCGCAGACCTTTTAGCCACTAAGTAAGGATTCGAGAAAATTGATCGCGCTAACTCAGTTGGGTTAGTCATATAAGAGGATTCTGTCCAATGTTTAACAAGTTCAGTATATTCACAAAACGATGAGAGAGATTGTACAAAAGCAAAATTTATTGCCTTAGTTAAAGACTGGTCTAAATACGTTAATTGCGAAGCAATTTGGGAGGAAGTAGGAAACCCGTCTGAAAAATATTTTCTGTATGTTCTACTACTTCTCTTTTTACGGACAATTTCAGTTTCAGAAAGTATAATGGAACCTAAACCTTGGTCAGATACAGTTATGTTCACACCACAATCCGTCACACGAGTTTCATTTTCAAAAGTAAGTCCCAGGCGAGCATCATCTGATAGCCATACAGACCCCATACATCTTCCATTCTTATCCCCTATAGGTATGAAGTTGCACCTCCTGACATTATTTACTTCCCACACTAAAACTGTTTTATCCTCCAGAAAACAATTCCCTTTACTATATGGACATTCATGAGCTAAACCTAAAGGCGTAATAATTTCAGATGCACCAAAGTGCGACTCAATTACACTTTCAAACAGAAAACAATTTTCACTAGAAATATTTTCCCAAGAGAATGAACCTATTATCCATGACCTTGGGGTCAAATCTATTTTATTTTCGGTTTGCCAGAATTTAGAATTTTCTTTACATTCTTCTAAAGTCACATCCATAGCTTCCGGAATTAATTTTTCTTCCATGGGAACCCCAGTAATTGTTGTATACTTCCTAGCACTCTTTTTAATTTTTCTACAAGCCCAAGCTTTTGTAGAAAATTCGATACTATTAGGAAGAAATATCCTTCGTTTTTCTAATTTTGGCGTGTGTCTAGCTGTTAAATTTATCGGAGGACAGCTCGGAATTTCAGGAACTTGCCACAACATTGCTTGCCTATGCGTCTGACATATCATCGGACCATTTGGAATGAGAACGGGATTGATTGCTAGTGCACTACAACACATTATCATAAACATCAAAGATGTGCTGGCAATTGAGGGTACCCTTACTCTAAAGCTACTTTCCCAACTAGAAATCTTCTTAGGTTCTACCTTTTCCTTGGTTTCACTTTTAGCTATAGCTTTTTCAGATTGTGCCGGAGGGCTTACAGGTTGGAGTGATTTCATATTTCCTTGATTCGCTAGTGCATAATTAGTTTTCATTTTCATTTCATGGACTTGTATTGCTAGATTTTCAACAATTTCTCTAAGGTCTTGGTCATTCCTATTGTTAGTACCTCTGTTATTTCTATACTTATAACTCTCATTTTGCATTTCATTTGCCTTACGGACTCTACATTGATATTGTTCGTGACCGGTCCTATTACAGTAATGACAGTAAGGGCGTGTATTCCATCTTCTGTCATTCTGTGGTCGTTGCTGGCCCCTATACTGATTACTCCTTTGTCCTAATTCTTGTGCATTACTAGAAGTTGAAAGTCTATTGGTTGAGGGTCCCCTAAAGGTCTGTAAGTGGTATGGTCTCCTGGGTTTCCATGTATCAAATCTACCCCTAGGCATTTGATTCGGTTGCTCTGTGATGGCGTGAATACCATCATTGAAAGTCCTGCTTTCCTTTTCAGAGGCTACTTCAAGCTCCTGGACATAGGCAGTAAGCTTATCAAAGTCCTTACGTCCTATCAAAGGACCCACAAGTTGAAGAGAACGTTGGTACTCCGGTCTGACTTTCTCCATAAAACATCTACACAATGTTTCCTCTTTAACCTCAGGTGGAACTTGGCACGATGTGGAATTGACAAGTGGAACTAATCTCTTAATAAAGTCATTTACTGATTCAGATTCTCTTTGATAGCAAGCTGCAAGCCTTTTATAAGCTAGCTCTCTAAAATGGGGACTATCTAACTTTTTCCTAATATTCTTTAAAGTAGTGGCTAACGTTGGGCGTTCGTTTACCGTTAAGCTTTCAAAAATACTGCGTGCTTGCGTACCTAAGTACAATTTTAGTCTGTTTATTTTTTCAGGTTCGGTCCAGGTCATACCAAATACATCAATATAATCAGTGAATTTTATCATCCACTCATCAAACGCAAAAGCTGTTTCTCCATTAAACACCCCCAACTGTGGGCCAGAGGAACTCGCTTCCCCTATTATATTAAGTTCAAATTCATTGGCACGCTGATCCCCATTATTGATAAGCTCAATCGAATTATTTTGTACTAGATTACTTTTATTCCCTAAGGAGTTCTGATTTTCAATGCGACTTGTACCCGAAGACTGAGGAATTTTGTGTGGAGGTATCGGAGGAATTATTTCTTGTTTTTTGTTTAAAGTAAGCAGTCTTGACGCACCGCTGCTTCTTATTTCATCGTATTCAAGATTGTCACGGGACTCTAAATCAATTACAAATTTTTCGTATTTTTCCTCTAATTTGCCTAGTTTTAAGTCTAGTTTATCTACTCTACCAGCAACTAGAGCAAACCCGGCGTTGGTATCCTTTTGGATGCCAGCGTCAGCTTCATTGAGCTGACTAATATTCCTATTTACAACCCTAAAGGTTCTACTGACTGCCTCCTCTAAACCCAAAACCTCTTTATGTACTTTATCCAAATCTCCTATTTTCGCAGGATTAGAGAATATTTTAGATTCTAATAATTTTTTGTCACAGACTGAGATATCCCAATCCTCAAAAGTTTCAGTCATACTTTAACTACTTTTACTGACTTCGGTTATTTTAATTCAGATACGGCACTACTTTTTATCCCCCCTTTTAATTTTAATTAATTCAATCTAGTTTGAATATATATATTTTTTTTTATTTTTATATATTTTTTTAATGAGTTTAAATCTGCCTACTTTTCACCAATAGAAGCACGAAGATACAATATATCACCGAAGTAAAACCGAGAGAGCACAAAGTGTTATTGAACACCCAATCAAACAAAACACAGCAAGACTGGAGACAGTTGACAGTCGAAGAACACCTCTTTAATAAATGAAACGATGATATTATTAGATTTTTTTTTAACTTTAGTTATTTTTGTTAAAACAATATTTGTTAAGGCGATTACTAATCAATAGAGAGCTATCACTCTGAACGTTAAATAAGATTTAAAAATAACGAATAATAGTAGGAAGCGAGAAAATAGAGTTTTTAGAACGAAACTTAAAAAAAATGTATATAGTCGTTTATAAATCAAAAAGATATTACCGTAAAAACTATTAATTACCCTGGGTAATTATTGTTTCGATCTCTCACTGGAGGGGGTAAATAATAAAGGTGTACAAGTATCTATGTTTCCTATTTAAGGAATATACTCTACTGTCGCGTCTCAACGCGAATTATAAATTTAATTAAAAATATAAATTTTATTGAAATTACTCATCCACAAAACAATTTCCCAGACGTTATCTAACATAATCATCTTAAAGTTTTTTATGTTCGCTGGCCTTATTTAAATGACTTTCACGTTCCTACCAGGTGTTTTTTCCCTTCAATCACTTTGTTTAGTGCCTCTTTTTTTTACACACATTTTTCTTCCTGCTTTTCAATCAATTGTAATTTTTAAATTAAAAGAAAATAAATATATTTTTATTGTGTGCGGAAATTTAAATTAATTAAAGTGTCTTAATTAGCGTTATCTGAGCCTAACGCTAAAGCTCAGCCGGTGATAAATAAGTTACCGATCCACCGGACTTTCCCCATTTCTGTTTGCGTTCTGCGGAACTTTGTGCCAAACGGACCCATTATTTAATCTCTAACTTAATAAATTTTTGACCGCGGGTGCCATTTTCTTCTCCCAAAATGTCTGCCCCATATCGTGATCAACTCAAGATCTTAAATACCGACAGCCTTTTATTGCTTGAAAATCAAAAAATTTACCCTCTCCCTCCGGATGACTTGAGCCCTTCTAAAATCCACTCAGAAATACGCAAATTAATACCCTCCCTAGAATTGGAATTAGACAACGTGACTGAAGCAATTACTGACATTTCATCAAACCACGACCGTTGGATGGCGGTCAGAAGCAACATGACTGGCGCGGAGAGAATTGCGGACACCCCACTTTATGAAGCTTTTACAGAAACTGTTCCTTATTTGACGACACTGTCCAACTTGAAAAAATATCAAAAAGCCCTTCGTGCTTCTCGTCAAATTTTAATTTCCGCCTTACCTGACCCTTCCCAACCCACTCAATCACATATGCATTTGCCGAAAATATCGCTTCCCAAATTTTCGGGTAATTGCATTGAATATGTTTCTTTTTGGAACTCGTTCTGTGCCGGAGTCCACGATTTAACCACTATTTCCAATTCTGTAAAATTTTCCTATTTAAAAGAATGTCTAAGTGGACCGGCTCTTTTACTTGTCAAATCACTCCCACTCACCGATGCTTCTTACAATGAAGCCATTCGACTTTTAAAAGAAAATTACGGACAACCCGATGAAATAAACCGTAATTTACACATTTCCCTTCGAAAATTACCAATTGTCCATTCCAACCACGGACCTGAAATTTTATGTAGAGAACTCGCGACATTTGTCGAAGAGTTCGAAATTATTTATTTGCAAATGCTGGAGCAGAATTTCGATGCCAACACGCTTGCTACACAAATGGAAATTGAAGGAAAACTGCCTCCACCAATTTTGGAAGAAATACTAAAGGCCAAAGAAGCTGGAAATTGGAACACGGATAAATTACGTAATGTTTTAAAAACCATCCTTAAACGTAAATTAGGGGTCTGTGCTATACGTGACCAAAATAAAGAAATTCAGTCCCCCATGAAACCGCCCAAAATTAATAAATTTTTTACACCTTCACGGTCCCATTCTGACTCTTTTTCCCCACAAAATCAATCACACGAACAAAATTCCTCGCTTTCGTTTGCTACTCAGAGAAGAGAGCAAAATAAATTTTCTAAACCAACTATTAGTCCAAAATTACCTTGCCTGTTTTGTTAAGAGAGTGGACATTTTTCGTCCAATTGTTTAAAATTTTCCGATATAAATTCAAGACACTCCCGACTCAGAACTCTTAAAAGGTGTTTTAGGTGCTTGAAGCCCAATCATTTTGCTAAAAACTGCCATTCGCCCAGTAAATGCTCTCAATGCCACGGTAATCACCCCCGACCATTATGTCCTACCAATTCGAAAAAAGGTAACCAACAGACCAACAATATTCAATCCACGTCCGCCCCTAACAAATACAGTCCAATAAACACTAACCAAATTTCCCCACTATTTCCGAATTCGAACACACCGGTCTCGTATCTCCCTTACCAGAATTTCCAACCATATCCCGGGTTTAGCCCTTATTTTTACAACAATATGTACGCCCCATCCCCAATCCCCATACAGAATTTAAGCATTAAGCCAGCTACGACTCCACAGGCGAATGAAATGGAAAACAACACGAAAGACAACCATCAAATCAACGTTTCTACCAGCACAGTGCAGAATAATTCCAATCCAATACTGCTAAAATGTGTTTGTGCTAAAATATTCAATCCTGCCTACCCAGCACTAAATAAAGAATTAATTATACTTCTTGACGACGCAAGCACCAATTCGTACATCCGAACAGAAGAAGCTAGGTCGTTAAAATTGACACTGGAAGAAACAACAATGAATTTGGGAGTATTTAACAACCCGAAATTCAAGCCAACACAAACTTATTCCACTACATTTGGAATCCAATTGCTGAATGGCCGGATCTTACAGGTCAAGGCTAATACATTAGACCACCTCACCCACAGTACCTCGTACTTACCTTTTAGCCCTGAGGTACTTCAATACAGCGATTTAACCCCCGCAATTAAATCTACCTGCCCAACCATTTTATTAGGTAGTGATTTTTATTACGAGATAGAACCCAGTCCCATTTGCCGTTTGCCTTCGGGCTATCATCTCATCCAAACCCTACTCGGCCCAATAGTTGCCGGAAAATCATTTAAACACACTTACCAAAAAATTTATAACACGGTGACTAATTTTTGCGTCCAAAGTACCCCATTTGAACCAAACCCAGATTTCTTCACCCTGGAAGGTATTGGCATAACAGACCCTCCTCCAGCACTCAACGAAGACGAAGTCTTCCAAAAATTTAAAAAAGAAATACGCTTTATTAACAATCGGTATGAGGTAAAATTCCCATTCAAAGCAGATCCTTCCACAATTTCACTTCCTTCTAATTATGGCCTTTGTTACGGACGACTTCGTTCGGCTTTAAAAATTTTAAATAAAGACACTGCTTTACTAACAAAATATAATAACATTATCCAAGAACAATTGAAACTTGGAATTATCGAACCGGTAATAGACCCCACCCAATATTCATCACCCCTCCATTATCTCCCTCATCAGCCCGTAATTACTCATAAACTTCGTATCGTATACGATGGATCAGCGCACATTGGAAAAGAAAATTCGCTGAATGACACATTAGAACCCGGCCCCTTAATTCTTCCAGATTTAGTCGGAATTTTACTCCGATTTCGAATCCCACCAATTGTCATTATCACAGACGTAATGAAAGCTTTTCTCCAAATTTCCGTCCACCCCTCACACCGAGACGCAACCCGATTCATTTGGCTCAAATCGATTGAAGAGCCTTTAACCAATAATAATTTACTAATTTATCGCTTTACTAGAGTCCCTTTCGGCCTTTGCTGCTCTCCATTCCTATTGGGAGCTACTATTTTACACCACCTTTCACAACACCCTTCAGCCCTTTCAGACGAAATTAGTAATAACACTTACGTTGACAATATTGTCTTTTCCTCTCAAAATGTCACAGAAGCTCAAAATAAAGTAATTGCGGTAAATGAGCTCTTCGAAAAAGCAAATATGGAACTACAAGAGTTCGCTAGTAATTCCAAAGAAGCTATCGATCCTATCCCCGAGACAAAAAGATTAAAAGGACCCTCACAAAAAATTCTTGGTCTAAGTTGGAACACCGATTCCGATTCATTTGAAATAAAGATAAAGCCATTCCCTGCCACACCAATACTAACTAAAAGAGAAATTCTAGCCTTTATAGCGTCACACTTTGACCCTTTAGGCTTAATCACCCCATTAATTCTACCTTTAAAAATTTTTATGCAATCATTATGGGAAAATAAGCTTAAATGGGACGACCAACTTCCAGTGGATTTGGTTGAAAAATGGAATACTCTATTAAAAGAATGGACTGAAGAAGTACCTATCAACATTCCAAGACGACTCTCAAATACTAATCAACAACAGAGATTCCAACTACATTGCTTTACAGACGCTTCTGAAGCAGCAATGTGCGCAGCTATATTTATGAGAATTGAAAACTTGCCTGATGGTAAAACGGACGTGAGACTTATTTTTAGTAAAACAAAAGTGAAACCCATAAAAACAAAAAGAACAATCCCCCAATTGGAATTAATTGCCATTTTAATGGGCACAAAAGCCCTCCAATTTGTGTATAAACATTTAGAGAATTTAAATATTGACCCAATAATGAACCTTTGGAGCGACTCCTCAGTTGCAATTTCTTGGGTAAATACTAAAATACACATCCGTGACATTTTCGTTTCCAATAGAATTAAAAGTATTCAAAAAATTCCCAATTTGATTATTCGCCACGTTTCCGGTCAAGAAAACCCATCCGACTTAGGAACACGCGGAATGGCTTCAGTAAAGTCTTTATCCTCTAATTTAATGTGGTGGAACGGCCCACAATGGCTTTCACTCCCTTCCACCTGTTGGCCAAACAATAAAGAGGTCAAGCCATTTCTCTCTAACGAATATAAAGGGCCAAAACAAGAGGAGGCAGAAAACCCTATATTCGCGTTTGCCATTACCCAACACCAATCAATTTTTGATCTAACACACCACTCTAGACTATATAAAGCGTTGCGCTGTATAGCGTATGTAATTCGTTTTCTCTCCCATTTAAAACCAAAATCCAAAATATTCCCAATGCTTAAAGAAAAATACCCGTCACTGAAAATTAGTATAAAAGAATATAGACGTGCGCTTTCGATTGTTCTTCAACAAGAACAGCGCTTATTTCCACCCACTGATAAAAATAATGAATCACTAGGAATTTTTACTGATAATCAAAATATACTGAGGTCAAAAGGTAGACTAGGAAAATCCTCATTACTAGTGACCGGTAAAATCAATTTTTCCGGAACCGGATCCGGATTCCGGATTTGCAACTTGAGCCGGACCGGATCCGGCCGGATTTTTCCGGATAAATCCGGTCCGGTTTTAATCCGGTAAAAATAATTTCCGGAGTCCGGCAGAAATTATCCGGATTCCGGACCGGACTCCGGTTTTTTTCCGGATTTTTCAAAAAAAATTTTTCAGTAATTTTTGTGTTAAAATGTTGTAATATGTGTGTCGTTTATGTCTTAAAATGTTGTTAGAGGGATATCTAAGGATTTTGGAGGCTATGAAGGATATTTTGTGGATTTTTCGAGGTTAAAAGTTTGGAAAATAAAGTAATGCGTGATTGGAATTTTGAATTTTGCTCCTACTTTCGTACAGGCCTTTCTTTACCTCGTACTCGTACCTGCCAATTATTGAGCATTTTGGAGTCCAAGGAGCAATATTTCCTCCAAGGATTTCCTCCAATATTTTCTCCAAGGATCCTCTTAATCTCAAATCCCTTCCATGCGCCGCAGGTGAAAATGTTGAGAATTTTGTAAGTCCTTAAGTCAGATTTCCATTTTTTGCGCCGCAGGCAAAAATTTTGAAAATTTTTGAAAGCCATGAAGCCAGATTTCTTCCATTTTCACCGCCGGAGGCGAAAATGTCGAGAATTTTGGAAAACCTTAGGAGAAAAAAATTCTATTGTTAGAGCCGCAGGCAAAAATTTTTTTGAAGTTTAGATGGTAATGAAGCTTAGACTCTCCATACCAACCCTAATTTCGCCTAGTACTGAAACTGAGTTGAGGTATATAGAAGGGGAACCCAGTCGTGCCTTCCGGGTGCGATTTTTGGAAGGCCAATAAGAAGAATGCATCCCTTTTCAGCGCCGCAGGCGAAAATTTTTTGAATATCAGTAAAGTTAGGGGACAAAAATCCACCTTTTTTATAAAAAATACAAGAAAAAATGGGAAAATTCCAGAACCGTATAAAATCCCAAATCCGGTGCTCAAAATTTGCCGGACCCGGATCCGGATTCCGGATTTTCAACTAGAGCCGGACCGGATCCGGCCGGATTTTTCCGGATTAATCCGGTCCGGTTTTAATCCGGAAATTCCAAAAAAATCCGGATTTGGGACCCGGACTCCGGAAAAATCCGGCCGGATCCGGTCCGGCCCCGGTCACTACTCATTACCAATAAATACTGTTGAACCGATTTACCTACCTCCAAATTCTCATTTAACGTCACTCATTATTTATGAAACTCACCTCATATACCACCACTCCAGCCCTTTACTTACGTTGTCGATAATAAGACGACAGTATTGGATTCCTAAAGGTCGACGAACTGTTGAACGAGTACTTTTTAAATCCTGTCTTCCGTGTAGGAAGTTTCAAGTTAAACCATTCGACCCACCCCCGTTCCCACAATTACCAATTGAACGAGTATCACCTTCCCGGCCGTTTTTAGCCACAGGCCTTGATTATTGCGGTCCATTACACATAAGGACCGATAAAAAATTTCCGAAAACCTCAACTACAAGTACACCGAAAACAAAAAAGTTCTGGATCGTTATCTGGGTTTGTTTGTCCACTAGAGGAATTTCCCTTGACTATGTGCCAGATTTGACTAGCGAATCTTTCCTACTCGCCTTTAGGCGATTTTGTGCCAAATTTTCACCTCCTACAACAATTTATTCAGACAGCGACCCAACGTTTATTTCTTTTAAGAAATTTTTTGAAAATTCTTGTAAAACCCATCCCATTGTTTGGCATTTAAGAGTACCGTACGCCGCATGGCGTGGAGGTTTTTATGAACGGCTTATAGCCTTGGTAAAATTTCATTTACGTAGGTCCTTGGCAAAAGGACTTTTTCCACATATTTCCAAATTTGACAACTTCCTTACCACCCTCTTAGAAATAGAGAGTTGTGTAAATTCGAGACCAATCAGTTTTTGTAGTTCCAATCCAGCGGACCCCCTCCCACTCAGGCCTATTGATTTTATGCGGCCTTTAGGCTATAACCTCCACAATTGGCCGTTACTGATAAACAAAGAAACCGAGAATGATCCTGATTATTCCCCCGAAAGTAATCCCTCAACTTTAGAAAACTTATGGAAAAGTTTGTCAAAAACGACAAGAATTTTTTGGGTACGGTGGGGGGATGATTACCTCCTTTCCCTCAGGGAGAGATTCCACAAAATTTCCTCCCAAAATCCACGTTGGCCTCAAAAAGGAGAGCTTGTATTAATTCATAGTGAGTCACCAAAAGCCCTCTGGCCTATTGCGATTATAATCAAAGTACACTTTAACGAAGGACAATTCCCAGACACGGCACTTATTAAAACTTCTCATAGTGGAAACACTTTGCTTAGATCCGTATCACACTTATATCCATTGGAAACGGCAGAAGAAGTAGAAAAAAGACGTTCACAGGAAAAACCAAACACTACACAACAAAAAAGCGAAGAAAATGAGAGAAACCTTCGATCCCCGACCAAAGTTTTACAACTCCGGAATAGAGCCATTTTTCATTAAATTGTTTTTTACATTAACTTTTAGTTTTTAATTTTTACAATTTTATTTCCCATCCTGTAAAACACTATTCAACTTCCCGGGGGGAGGGCGCTTGAGCGAACTTCATAAACAAACTAATTTACGCCTACCCCATCATTTTTAAAAATGTTTTAATAGTTTTAATTTTTGTAATTAAATTTTAAATTTTAATTTTAAAATCTTTTTCAGTTTTTTCGAATTAATGGGGAGTCTTATTTCCCTTGAACTTATAAACGTTGAACTACAATTTATTTCCGAGCCTGATAACTACAATTGGCTTACCTGGAATTTGTTGGCTATTTTTCTGCCAATCTTTGCCATCATTTTAACTTTAATTATTTGCTTAATCAAACAACACCCGCCAAAACTAAACACTCAACGGTGGACACCTCCGCCGACTTTTCTCGTAATTTTGCTTTTTATCCTTATCGCCCTAGTTGGCGGCACTAACTCATTTCCAGGCCGTAAATCTCCATTGTGGAAGAAACCCCCCCTTTTCAAACGTTTAGGAAAACCTATTGCTAAGGGCACTCTTCCTATTTTAGCCACTTCGGCTGTTTATCTAGGTTTTGAATCCTTCGCCCAATTTTTAACTGAACATCCCGACCTTTCCGTAGCGGTTCTATCCATTTTCGGCTGCCTATCTGTCCTTGTATTACTGTTAATAGTAAAAGTAGCCATCTTCCTATTCCATTTGTTCAAGGGCAAGAACGCCCGACCGCAACCTCCTATTGAATTACAAGACTTAAATTCCAACATCCAGGAGCTCGTTAATCGCTCAAACCCACGACACTAAACCCCCCTTAAATTTAATAAGTTAAATTCAAATTTTAATAATCCCTTTTCATTATTTAAGATAAATTAATTTAAATTTTAGTTCATTATGTCCAAAATTTCCCAAAAAGACATTGCCCACATACAACGTTATTTAAAATTTATAAATATTTCTAATGATAAACCTAAAATTCCTTTAAAAGATAACAGATCACAACAGGCAGAAACAACAGACTCGACTATGGAATGTGACCCTACTCCGACGATTGGCATTGCTACTACAGAATCCTCAGCACCACCAACAACAGAAACAACGCCGACCCATTCACGGGGGCAACCGCCTTCACCACCTGCTGCCATTCATGAAACAACGGATGACGAACCTGCTGCCGTCGACATCCCGCTGCCTGATGGTCCGCCACCGTTGGCTGCCCTCAAACTACCACAACGCCTCAACATTGCCTCACGAGTGCGCATTCTGGAAACTGGTGCAATCGAAGCCCTGCCCATCAATGAACACACCATAAAGAAGAACATGATAAGAAAATGGGAGAGGACAAAAAATAAAAGAATACGTAAAAGAATCACAAATTTGAAACCCACTCCCCTTAATAAGGTCCATCTTAACCCGACTTATATACACAACTTACTAACTCCGCCACCACCTCCAAATGTCTCTTACAGTCTAATTAACCGAGCCCCATCAATGCAATCATTATGTAGCAATTCTATTGTTTCTGCAGCTGTTCCTACCTATATTCCCAATCCCCAAATTTTGTTTGTTGTACCAATCTTAACCCCCGCAACTCCACTCTTGCCATCCCAATTTTTTAATGTCCAACCATTTGTTGGCCCGGGAGTGTCGCGTCTCAACGCGAATTATAAATTTAATTAAAAATATAAATTTTATTGAAATTACTCATCCACAAAACAATTTCCCAGACGTTATCTAACATAATCATCTTAAAGTTTTTTATGTTCGCTGGCCTTATTTAAATGACTTTCACGTTCCTACCAGGTGTTTTTTCCCTTCAATCACTTTGTTTAGTGCCTCTTTTTTTTACACACATTTTTCTTCCTGCTTTTCAATCAATTGTAATTTTTAAATTAAAAGAAAATAAATATATTTTTATTGTGTGCGGAAATTTAAATTAATTAAAGTGTCTTAATTAGCGTTATCTGAGCCTAACGCTAAACTACATTCTCTTATCAAACTTTTATATAATTTACCTAAAAGTGGTGCCATACCAACAATAATTTCGTTTTGAAATGTATAAAGTCACGTAGTAAATCGCAGATTATGGAAAGAGTCAGAAATTGTTAAAAAGATTTTTTTTTTGAGACGAATTATTTTTCACTTGACTTACATAAATCTCTCGATAATTCCCCAAATCCTTTTAATCTCCTATTATTTTTTTTTACCTATATTATACATAAAATTTATAACGATTTTTTTTAAACAATTTTTTTAAATAATGTATGCGAAAAAATAGGGGTAATTATTTGAGGGAGGGAAATTATTGATTTGATCTCCCTTTACATGAGGTTTTAATACAGGTGGTGGGGTAATTAATTCAGGGAGGGACATTAATACAGTTTTTACGGTAATGAGCCTTTAAAATATTTATATAAGCGTTCTTTTATTTGATAAACTGAGAGTGAGTAATACGCAAAAAAAAATTACATAGAGAAGAAATTGACTGGCCAAGATTTATTGTTATATTTCTGATTATTAAATTTAACATATCAAAGGTTTTTTTTTTAGATTTACCGTATTTCCGAAAATAGAACCCCATGGGGCTCTATTTTTCAACCTATTTTTCAAATTATCAGATAAAATTTTGACCTTAGTAGGCTAATCATTTCTTCAAAAATTGAAATTTTATAATAAAGACAATTAAATTTTAGAAATAATTAAACTTATAATAAAAGATACTCCTGGTAAAGGACCAAGTTTCAGTCCTCTCTGTATATTATACCTCGGTTTTTTTTGATAGCTTAATGAGATTAAGAAAGGACAAAGAGGATTTTGAGGGATATCAAAAATGGGAGCGTGATATCAAGAAAATTAGAGAGATTGAGAGAATATCAGTGAATATGAAGGGATATAAGCTGATCTCAAAAAGTCCTCCATTGGCATTCCATTAAAAATAATCCAATAATTGTCCCCTCTGGGAAAATGGGGCTGAATATAATAAAGTATATTGATATCGGCTTAAGTTGTTATTATCCCTGTTAATACTCATACACTCAATTAGTTCTACTCCCTATTATTCCTCCATCTAGACTGAAAGGAGGTACTTACAAAAATTTACGGATTCAAATTATTAATCTCGCGAGTTTCCACCAACTCGATTTCTGAAAAAAAATCACTATTAAAGGACTCCGTGAGAGCCATTTTACCGATTACAAACAAAAAATTACAAATAAATTCTAAGTCAGTTTAGTATTTTTGGAAGGTGTAATTTTAATTCGAATGTCAAAATCGAAAATTCGAAAAATCTGTCCCTAGAAGTAGAATTACAATCTTTAGAATAATTTTCCATTCCTATTTGATTTATTAAGCTAAAATGAATGAAAAAAACAGCATATTAAAAGTATCAATTAGTAATTAAATTATAGGCATTTTTTAATTATCGGAAATACTGTAAATGGATATACTGTAATTTCGGAAATACGGCTAAATTGAGGTTTTCTGTTTTACATACTTAAAAAAATAAAATAGATGGTGACTAAAGAGAGAGATTTCAAAAAGTAAAAAAAATAAGTAGAATTTAGAGAAGATGTAGAAAAATTTGTTTTTTTTTTAAAAAGATAATTCAATTTTATTATATTTTCTTTATTTTACTCACCTCCTTCAACAAAGTAAAGAAAAGGCCAAAAAAATCCCAAGTTCACAAACAAAAAAAGGTAGAAGTTGTAGTCCCGAAGGTTGTAGTTCCTGAAATTTCTCTTAGTTAAATTTATAAAAAAAAATTTTTTCTTTAACCAAAAATATTCAAATATGGTTTTTTTTGTTTAAACTTAATTAAAAAAAAAAAAATTTTTTTTTTGTTGACTCACGTTTGCCAAATCCAAATAAATTGAATCCAAATAATCTAATCCAATAAATGAAATCCAAAAATCTGAATAAATTGAACTTATTAGAAAAAAAAAAAAATTATATATATATGCTCGAATAATTACTCTTATCGTCAAGAGTATAGAAAAAAATAACCACACAGGACAATTATTTGAGTAATTAAGATAAGGAAGTTGTGACCGATTCAAGAAAAATGAGAAAAATAAGCAAAAACATAAAAAAAACCTATCCCTGTCAGGGGGAATTAATCGAGAAAATACGGTAAAAAGAAATTCTGTCTAAACGAAACTTTTGGATAACAACGTAAATACTTATATAAAATATATGTTTTAAATGTAAACAAAAAAATATATTTCTAATGTAAAATTTAAATTAAATATGAATAATTTAAATGTTTAAAATAAAATGAAATGTTATCCTTTAATTTTCCATCTCAACATTTTTTTGTAAAGAATAAAAATAATTTATGTGTGAACGACAAGAGAGACTAAAAGCTGAAGAAAAGACTTTTTGCGATCTTATCTAGTTGGAAAAAAAATATTATTAATATTTCCTTTTATTTTTAAATGAATAATTTCCGTTGCTGTAATATATGGGAAAGTAAAAAAAAAGGAGGATATATATTTTTTTTATAATCTCGATTTTTTTTTATCGGTGTCTTTTTGAGTTTTCTCGACGGGATTTTTTGAAGGTTGAAGTACACTCCTCCACAAAATTATAGCCCCACCTATATTTTCACCGGTTTCAATACTGTAACCGATGTTTTTATTTTCAGACTTTTTTGTAATAATACATACTGGTCTAGAATTAGGTTTGTAAAAAAATTTTGTTTTCATATCTATTTTTTCGAGAGTTATAGGAAATTTCCAGTTTTAGGGTTCCACAAAATTATAGCCCCACTTTGAAATTTCGAGTTTCTAACATTAGGAAAAATCTACAAAAATTTGAGCAAGCATATCTATTGATACTAAGAAAAAATAAAAAAGAATTATACCCATATCTTTACCCGGAGCCGAGATCCTGAGACCCCGAAAATCAACGTAAATCAGGGGTAAGGCTCTTCAAAAAATATTTTCGACCCCTTATGGTTTGTTTTAAAATTTTAATTTGGGCTCATTCGAAAGCCCTTAAAATTTGCTAAAAGATAGCATAAGTTTAATTTTCTAGAAAAATCATTTCTGTAAGCCCCATAATAATTATTTCAGTAAGCCCTCTAATGCCCCATAAAATTGGCTCCGGAAGATTAACGTCGTGCATTTTTCTATTGAATTTTTTGTTGGATATAAGAGTATTACTATCTTGTAGCAAATTTTAAGGGCTTTCGAATGAGCCCAAATTAAAATTTTAAAACAAACCATAAGGGGTCGAAAATATTTTTTGAAGAGCCTTACCCCTGATTTACGTTGATTTTAGGGGTCTCAGGATCTCGGCTCCGGGTAAAGATATGGGTATAATTCTTTTTTATTTTTTCTTAGTATCAATAGATATGCTTGCTCAAATTTTTGTAGATTTTTCCTAATGTTAGAAACTCGAAATTTCAAAGTGGGTCTATAATTTTGTGGAACCCTAAAACTGGAAATTTCCTATAACTCTCGAAAAAAAGATATGAAAACAAAATTTTTTTACAAACCTAATTCTAGACCAGTATGTATTATTACAAAAAAGTCTGAAAATAAAAACATCGGTTACAGTATTGAAACCGGTGAAAATATAGGTGGTGCTATAATTTTGTGGAGGAGTGTACTTCAACCTTCAAAAAATCCCGTCGAGAAAACTCAAAAAGACACCGATAAAAAAAAATCGAGATTATAAAAAAAAATATATATCCTCCTTTTTTTTACTTTCCCATATATTACAGCAACGGAAATTATTCATTTAAAAATAAAAGGAAATATTAATAATATTTTTTTTCCAACTAGATAAGATCGCAAAAAGTCTTTTCTTCAGCTTTTAGTCTCTCTTGTCGTTCACACATAAATTATTTTTATTCTTTACAAAAAAATGTTGAGATGGAAAATTAAAGGATAACATTTCATTTTATTTTAAACATTTAAATTATTCATATTTAATTTAAATTTTACATTAGAAATATATTTTTTTGTTTACATTTAAAACATATTTTATATAAGTATTTACGTTGTTATCCAAAAGTTTCGTTTAGACAAAATTTCTTTTTACCGTATTTTCTCGATTAATTCCCCCTGACAGGGATAGGTTTTTTTTATGTTTTTGCTTATTTTTCTCATTTTTCTTGAATCGGTCACAACTTCCTTATCTTAATTACTCAAATAATTTTCCTGTGTGGTTATTTTTTTCTATACTCTTGACGATAAGAGTAATTATTCGAGCATATATATATAATTTTTATTTTTTTCTAATAAGTTCAATTTATTAAGATTTTTGGATTTCATTTATTGGATTAGATTATTTGGATTCAATTTATTTGGATTTGGCAAACGTGAGTCAACAAAAAAAAAATTTTTTTTTTGAATTAAGTTTAAACAAAAAAAACCATATTTGAATATTTTTGGTTAAAGAAAAAATTTTTTTTTATAAATTTAACTAAGAGAAATTTCAGGAACTACAACCTTCGGGACTACAACTTCTACCTTTTTTTGTTTGTGAACTTGGGATTTTTTTGGCCTTTTCTTTACTTTGTTGAAGGAGGTGAGTAAAATAAAGAAAATATAATAAAATTGAATTATCTTTTTAAAAAAAAAAAAACAAATTTTTCTACATCTTCTCTAAATTCTACTTATTTTTTTTACTTTTTGAAATCTCTCTCTTTAGTCACCATCTATTTTATTTTTTTAAGTATGTAAAACAGAAAACCTCAATTTAGCCGTATTTCCGAAATTACAGTATATCCATTTACAGTATTTCCGATAATTAAAAAATGCCTATAATTTAATTACTAATTGATACTTTTAATATGCTGTTTTTTTCATTCATTTTAGCTTAATAAATCAAATAGGAATGGAAAATTATTCTAAAGATTGTAATTCTACTTCTAGGGACAGATTTTTCGAATTTTCGATTTTGACATTCGAATTAAAATTACACCTTCCAAAAATACTAAACTGACTTAGAATTTATTTGTAATTTTTTGTTTGTAATCGGTAAAATGGCTCTCACGGAGTCCTTTAATAGTGATTTTTTTTCAGAAATCGAGTTGTTGGAAACTCGCGAGATTAATAATTTGAATCCGTAAATTTTTGTAAGTACCTCCTTTCAGTCTAGATGGAGGAATAATAGGGAGTAGAACTAATTGAGTGTATGAGTATTAACAGGGATAATAACAACTTAAGCCGATATCAATATACTTTATTATATTCAGCCCCATTTTCCCAGAGGGGCCCCATTTTCCCCCTGCCCCATTTTCCCCCTGATTTACGTTGATTTTCGGGGTCTCAGGATCTCGGCTCCGGGTAAAGATATGGGTATAATTCTTTTTTATTTTTTCTTAGTATCAATAGATATGCTTGCTCAAATTTTTGTAGATTTTTCCTAATGTTAGAAACTCGAAATTTCAAAGTGGGGCTATAATTTTGTGGAACCCTAAAACTGGAAATTTCCTATAACTCTCGAAAAAATAGATATGAAAACAAAATTTTTTTACAAACCTAATTCTAGACCAGTATGTATTATTACAAAAAAGTCTGAAAATAAAAACATCGGTTACAGTATTGAAACCGGTGAAAATATAGGTGGGGCTATAATTTTGTGGAGGAGTGTATATATACAGTATTTTTAAATTTATTTTTGTTTTTGATATTTACCCGAAGGTGGTGGTTAATTAGCCAAAAATTAATATTTTAAAATTATTTTATATTTATATATTAACACGAAGGTTTTTAATCTACTAAAAATTAATATTTTAACCTTATTTTATATTTATGTATTTTTAACCCGAAGGTTTGGGACTTAGGTGCACTGCCCTTAATTTATTTTTATACCGGTTTATCTTTTTTTTTAATTATTATTAGTCCCGGGATTTACCTAGTTTTCCTGTATTCTTTCCCCGTTACTCCCCCGGTGACAATCTTGTCCGGTGCTACCAGTAAAATGTATTCCTTGTGGGGGTGGTTTTACCTACTGTTATTCCTATAATTATTTGTGCGCCGAAGCGGCTAAACCCTTTCCAGATGTTAAGGGATAACGTAACGGGGAGGTTGTGATCGGGACGTTCCTAGAAGACCCTCGGGGTTGATCAAGTCCCTTGGTTTCTTCCCAACACCGAAAACACCGAAGTATTAAAAGCTTTTATTTACGAACTAGGAAAATGCGAAACAATAATATAAGTTAGCTAAAACATCATAAAACAATAATTAATCATAAAGCTAACAACTGAACCACTTGTAAAAGAAAACAAAAGAATTAAATAGTTGTAAAGTAGGAGGGATAAAATTGTTTGTCACATAAGAAATTATTGGAAATAATAGTGGACTTTGATATGCTTTATAATATTTTGGATATGTTTTTTGTTCTTCACCAAAATTTATTTATTTTGCTGGGGCCTACGGATTTTGTTTGTATTTTTTAATAATTCCATATATTCGTTAATTAATAGTTTGTTGGTCTACTGAATCTACAATAGAGGGGATTTTAGCTATTAATCGTTGCGTTGAAATATGGTCTTCTGAATATGCTATGAAACTTTTTGGCGGTTGGAATTAATCCATCTTTAGCCTTAACTTTAGCTTTATTTTTTTAAAGGCAAAAAATTGTTTATATGGCTTGGCATTCCCTTTCTATACGGCTTAGCAGTATTTGTATGGTCAAAGCCAATTACATTCAGTGGCATTTACTTTAGCTGGTTCTTCAATCCGCACATTGGATATATTGATGACGTCAATCAAGTATTGGTTTCTTAATATCTTTCAAATATTTGAAATTCTAAAAGGAATATGAGAACACCTTTCATTCAATTCACAATTTATCAGTCGTATTTTTTTTGTTAATTACTTACTTAACATTTTGTATAATTTTTGTGATTAAATCAAAGCAAGGAGGTTTTCAATCACATCAACAAAGCTATTCTGAAAAAATGGTTTTTTTACTAAACTATTGTTATAAACCCTAAATTATAGATTTTTTTCCAAATTATTTTGATTAGCTTGTTTAATAGTGTCGCTGCTTCGATTTATGTTTTTATGCAATATATCCATTTCAATGACGTAATTATTATAATTGGTCAGATTTGTTGGTTGAATGCACACGGTGACAATCATTGATAATATAAATTTTTTAAATTTAAATGATCAAAAAATGATCCTGGGTTCTTACAATTGCCATATCAAAGTCTTTATAAAATATACTTTCAGATTTAATTTATTATAATATTTTCATTTTAATATATAACATAAAATTGGAATTATAATCATGAATCTGAAGACTATTTAAGTGTTAAGGATTCCAACACAATAATTTAAATATTATTTAGGAATACCTCCTGTCATTTATTTAACAATGAACAAGTCGATGCAACGAGATTGTCTTGGAATATTAAAAAAGTTTGGCAGTACTACATTAAAATTTTACAAAAATCTACACGCAAATTCTATCCAACCTTTGATTCTTGAAATAAATCCTCCAAGGGAAGATAATCAAGTAAACGTACGAAATCAACAAAACAATCAAAATTGAATTTTCTAAACTCTTAATGATTATTGTAATAGTACATATATTATTTCTTTTACCTCAAAAATTTATCATTTTAACTCAAATTTACATTGTCCAATCAAAATTTATTCATGAAAAAATCAAAAATTTCTAATCAAAATTTATATATTTAGTTTATAAATTATATACACTAGCGAAGAAGCTCACCCTTCGGGCGAGCCTCTTCGCTAGCCTAAAACAGACAAAAACCATTTTCTCCTTCAAATTTGCGCACTTATGATCTTGTAACATCGAACTCTTATATACCAGGGATGTCTCGGGTCGAGAAAAAAAGTCGGGTCGGGTTTCCAAAATTTTCTTCGGATTGGTTTCGGGTTTCGGGTCAAAAAAGTCCGGGTTTCGGGTCAGGTCAGTTAAAAAATTTAATATAATAATAATTTTATTCATCAATTTGCAAATCAATAACAAAAGTCATAAAGTGGAAAATTAGGATTAATACCTATTAAATTTTTGGCAGATTAGTTTTTTAACTCATTTACCTTAATAAACTAGTTAATTAGTTAATATTATTTTATATCCATATTTATTTTAGTTTGACTCGAAATAACTAATTTTTTCGTTTAAGCACCATTCTATACGATTTATTTTTCTTAGGTTAACTTAGTTAATATTATTTTATATCCATATTAATTTTAGTTTGACTCGAAATAATCTAATTTTTTCGTTTAAGCACCATTCTATACGATTTATTTTTCTTAGGTTAACTTAGTTAATATTATTTTATATCCATATTCATTTTAGTTTGACTCGAAATAATCTAATTTTTTCGTTTAAGCACCATTCTATACGATTTATTTTTCTTAGGTTAACTTAGTTAATATTATTTTATATCCATATTCATTTTAGTTTGACTCGAAATAATCTAATTTTTTCGTTTAAGCACCATTCTATACGATTTATTTTTCTTAGGTTAACTTAGTTAATATTATTTTATATCCATATTCATTTTAGTTTGACTCGAAATAATCTAATTTTTTCGTTTAAGCACCATTCTATACGATTTATTTTTCTTAGGTTAACTTAGTTAATATTATTTTATATCCATATTCATTTTAGTTTGACTCGAAATAATCTAATTTTTTCGTTTAAGCACCATTCTATACGATTTATTTTTCTTAGGTTAACTTAGTTAATATTATTTTATATCCATATTCATTTTAGTTTGACTCGAAATAATCTAATTTTTTCGTTTAAGCACCATTCTATACGATTTATTTTTCTTAGGTTAACTTAGTTAATATTATTTTATATCCATATTTATTTTAGTTTGACTCGAAATAATCTAATTTTTTCGTTTAAGCACCATTCTATACGATTTATTTTTCTTAGGTTAACTTAGTTAATATTATTTTATATCCATATTCATTTTAGTTTGACTCGAAATAATCTAATTTTTTCGTTTAAGCACCATTCTATACGATTTATTTTTCTTAGGTTAACTTAGTTAATATTATTTTATATCCATATTTATTTTAGTTTGACTCGAAATAATCTAATTTTTTCGTTTAAGCACCATTCTATACGATTTATTTTTCTTAGGTTAACTTAGTTAATATTATTTTATATCCATATTCATTTTAGTTTGACTCGAAATAATCTAATTTTTTCGTTTAAGCACCATTCTATACGATTTATTTTTCTTAGGTTAACTTAGTTAATATTATTTTATATCCATATTCATTTTAGTTTGACTCGAAATAATCTAATTTTTTCGTTTAAGCACCATTCTATACGATTTATTTTTCTTAGGTTAACTTAGTTAATATTATTTTATATCCATATTTATTTTAGTTTGACTCGAAATAATCTAATTTTTTCGTTTAAGCACCATTCTATACGATTTATTTTTCTTAGGTTAACTTAGTTAATATTATTTTATATCCATATTCATTTTAGTTTGACTCGAAATAATCTAATTTTTTCGTTTAAGCACCATTCTATACGATTTATTTTTCTTAGGTTAACTTAGTTAATATTATTTTATATCCATATTTATTTTAGTTTGACTCGAAATAATCTAATTTTTTCGTTTAAGCACCATTCTATACGATTTATTTTTCTTAGGTTAACTTAGTTAATATTATTTTATATCCATATTTATTTTAGTTTGACTCGAAATAATCTAATTTTTTCGTTTAAGAACCATTCTATACGATTTATTTTTCTTAGGTTAACTTAGTTAATATTATTTTATATCCATATTTATTTTAGTTTGACTCGAAATAATCTAATTTTTTCGTTTAAGCACCATTCTATACGATTTATTTTTCTTAGGTTAACTTAGTTAATATTATTTTATATCCATATTCATTTTATTTTGACTCGAAATAATCTAATTTTTTCGTTTAAGCACCATTCTATACGATTTATTTTTCTTAGGTTAACTTAGTTAATATTATTTTATATCCATATTTATTTTAGTTTGACTCGAAATAATCTAATTTTTTCGTTTAAGCACCATTCTATACGATTTATTTTTCTTAGGTTAACTTAGTTAATATTATTTTATATCCATATTCATTTTAGTTTGACTCGAAATAATCTAATTTTTTCGTTTAAGCACCATTCTATACGATTTATTTTTCTTAGGTTAACTTAGTTAATATTATTTTATATCCATATTTATTTTAGTTTGACTCGAAATAATTAATTTTTTCGTTTAAGCACCATTCTATACGATTTATTTTTCTTAGGTTAACTTAGTTAATATTATTTTATATCCATATTCATTTTAGTTTGACTCGAAATAATCTAATTTTTTCGTTTAAGCACCATTCTATACGATTTATTTTTCTTAGGTTAACTTAGTTAATATTATTTTATATCCATATTTATTTTAGTTTGACTCGAAATAATCTAATTTTTTCGTTTAAGCACCATTCTATACGATTTATTTTTCTTAGGTTAACTTAGTTAATATTATTTTATATCCATATTTATTTTAGTTTGACTCGAAATAATCTAATTTTTTCGTTTAAGAACCATTCTATACGATTTATTTTTCTTAGGTTAACTTAGTTAATATTATTTTATATCCATATTTATTTTAGTTTGACTCGAAATAATCTAATTTTTTCGTTTAAGCACCATTCTATACGATTTATTTTTCTTAGGTTAACTTAGTTAATATTATTTTATATCCATATTCATTTTATTTTGACTCGAAATAATCTAATTTTTTCGTTTAAGCACCATTCTATACGATTTATTTTTCTTAGGTTAACTTAGTTAATATTATTTTATATCCATATTTATTTTAGTTTGACTCGAAATAATCTAATTTTTTCGTTTAAGCACCATTCTATACGATTTATTTTTCTTAGGTTAACTTAGTTAATATTATTTTATATCCATATTCATTTTAGTTTGACTCGAAATAATCTAATTTTTTCGTTTAAGCACCATTCTATACGATTTATTTTTCTTAGGTTAACTTAGTTAATATTATTTTATATCCATATTTATTTTAGTTTGACTCGAAATAATCTAATTTTTTCGTTTAAGCACCATTCTATACGATTTATTTTTCTTAGGTTAACTTAGTTAATATTATTTTATATCCATATTCATTTTAGTTTGACTCGAAATAATCTAATTTTTTCGTTTAAGCACCATTCTATACGATTTATTTTTCTTAGGTTAACTTAGTTAATATTATTTTATATCCATATTTATTTTAGTTTGACTCGAAATAATCTAATTTTTTCGTTTAAGCACCATTCTATACGATTTATTTTTCTTAGGTTAACTTAGTTAATATTATTTTATATCCATATTTATTTTAGTTTGACTCGAAATAATCTAATTTTTTCGTTTAAGAACCATTCTATACGATTTATTTTTCTTAGGTTAACTTAGTTAATATTATTTTATATCCATATTTATTTTAGTTTGACTCGAAATAATCTAATTTTTTCGTTTAAGCACCATTCTATACGATTTATTTTTCTTAGGTTAACTTAGTTAATATTATTTTATATCCATATTCATTTTATTTTGACTCGAAATAATCTAATTTTTTCGTTTAAGCACCATTCTATACGATTTATTTTTCTTAGGTTAACTTAGTTAATATTATTTTATATCCATATTTATTTTAGTTTGACTCGAAATAATCTAATTTTTTCGTTTAAGCACCATTCTATACGATTTATTTTTCTTAGGTTAACTTAGTTAATATTATTTTATATCCATATTCATTTTAGTTTGACTCGAAATAATCTAATTTTTTCGTTTAAGCATTTATTTTTCTTAGGTTAACTTAGTTAATATTATTTTATATCCATATTCATTTTAGTTTGACTCGAAATAATCTAATTTTTTCGTTTAAGCACCATTCTATACGATTTATTTTTCTTAGGTTAACTTAGTTAATATTATTTTATATCCATATTCATTTTAGTTTGACTCGAAATAATCTAATTTTTTCGTTTAAGCACCATTCTATACGATTTATTTTTCTTAGGTTAACTTAGTTAATATTATTTTATATCCATATTTATTTTAGTTTGACTCGAAATAATCTAATTTTTTCGTTTAAGCACCATTCTATACGATTTATTTTTCTTAGGTTAACTTAGTTAATATTATTTTATATCCATATTCATTTTAGTTTGACTCGAAATAATCTAATTTTTTCGTTTAAGCACCATTCTATACGATTTATTTTTCTTAGGTTAACTTAGTTAATATTGTTTTATATCCATATTCATTTTAGTTTGACTCGAAATAATCTAATTTTTTCGTTTAAGCACCATTCTATACGATTTATTTTTCTTAGGTTAACTTAGTTAATATTATTTTATATCCATATTTATTTTAGTTTGACTCGAAATAATCTAATTTTTTCGTTTAAGCACCATTCTATACGATTTATTTTTCTTAGGTTAACTTAGTTAATATTATTTTATATCCATATTCATTTTAGTTTGACTCGAAATAATCTAATTTTTTCGTTTAAGCAC